CTAATCAAAACAAGGAATCGAAGACATTTCCAACATTCTAAATTTAGTTAAAGCTTTGACTATTGGAAAATGTTTCGAAATTGTTTTTATCAAGCAAAACTAAATCCTATCTTCTAATAATGTTGTGAAATATTATGTATTTCTCATGAGACTACTATTTCAATGGTATTTTATGAGACCCTAATTGTGTTTTTGCTCATTTAGACACACAATAAGTGGTTGGGCTTTTATGGAAATCACTGAATCTATATATTACATAAGCAAATCAGAATTTATGAAAAAAATTTAATCAGTTTTAATATTTGTCTTTATTCCATTTACTTTAATTGGAATGATAAGAGTTATAAATCGAATAATAGAAAGACAAAGGGAAGAAGACTATTTCAAAAGAACATTTTAAATAATTCTAATAATTTTCGTAGCTTTACAACTCTTCATTAACTTTTAAAGAATTAGTTTTCATAAAGAAAATGCTTAAATTCATAAAATTAAATAATCATGATAATTTTATATAATATTTCAATACAACAATTTATAGAAATTATAATTTAATTATTCGATAAATGATAAAACAAAGTTATGTTTCTAAATGAAATTAAAAGAAATAATATTTTTTCACCAATAAATTTAAAAATAAATGTGTTATACAGATTGATTATCTCCTTCATTTATAAATGATTTATGATAAGAATAAAAGGCTTTCTTTTGTCATCTTCTGATTCAACAAAATATTTACTTTATTTTATTAATCATCTGATTATAATTAAGAATTGAAAATAATTATTATTTAGACGATTTATGCAGCTTATAAGTGATCGGGAAGATCCAGAACAAATTATAACCTAAGGAGCATATTCAGTAGATATTCCAATACAAAGAAACCGACCTTCTTCATAATATATGCTTCATGGTTCATAAAACAGAAAATTAAAAACCTAAGCTACTGTTTCTATATTTGGGTATATCAGTTTATTAATAGAAAGGACTTTCAATACATAAGAAGATAAGACCACAATAACTCGGGACACTAGAAGTGTGTTTGTTAGAATAGTAAGGAAATTGATCATCATCAAATGTTTTTTTGATTCTTTAGAATAATATAGAAAAGAAAGATTGTAACAGAGAATAGAGTTTTATTTTTAAAAAAGAACAAAAATGATTCCATTTTATCCAGATGATTGTTTTATTGTATTTTGGATGAATGTAGTAACTCTTCTGTAATTTTGCTCTTGTATAATTTATCCGCTCTTTATTACATTTGATGATTTAGAAATTGATTTACAAGGTATTGTAATGGTTTTGGATATTATATTCTTAATTGATATATTATTAACATTTTTGACAGCATATATAGATGAGGGATCGTCTTTAAAAATATCTACAATTGACATAGCGGTACATTATTTAAAAACATGGTTTATTTTTGATTTATTATCTATTTTTCCTTGGATATAATTAGGAATAGATAATTTAAGATTTTTTAGACTGTGCAGAATATTCAAATATTTTATATATAAATAAAAGCATAGCTACAAAGGGTAAGCAGAGTAATAAAAGGTAGTTCCATCATTTACACCAGACAATAAAATATAATTAAAGGAAGGAATTAAATTCATAATAGATGTTATGGTTACAGCCTTCCTATTAATTCACATATTTACTTGTGGATATCATTATTTATTAGATATAAAATATTTAGATGCATTTTATTAATCAACTCAAACAATAACAACTATTGGTTATGGGGATAATTCTTAATTTATTATGTTTGAATATTAAACTTTATGGTTGATTATAGGAGTTGGATTTTATACTTTTACAATAGGGGATTTTGCATATATGATGTAAAGATCAGGAGTTAATTAGGATGATGAATATTATTTCTAATTAGAATAATTGTGTTATGTATCCGATTTCCCTGAAAAGATAAAAAATTAATTCTAGAGATTCATATCAACTAATTTAAACAATAATGCATTCTGGTCTAATTATCATAAAAAGATGGTTAGTGATTTACCATACTAAATATAAAATTATCTGGTTTTAAGTGGCATGCTTAAAATATGCGAAGCAGTGCCTTTTTTCTTGCAAGACATTAATTTTGCAATAGAATTATTGAATAATGTCTAATTCTTTATTATTGAAGAAAATGATTTAATATATAGAGAAGGTTAGAATTCCAATGAAATTTATTTTTTATTGTCAGGTGATGTAAGAATAATGACCAAAACTAAATTTACTTTACTAAATATTTTAGAAGGAACAATGTTTGGTGAATTTGAAGCCATTGAAGAAACATTGAGAGCAACATATGCTATTGCTCTTTAAAAATCATTAATTTTAAAAGTTGATTATATAATATTAGAAAAATCTATGAAGATGAGTCCAAATCTATATTTTGAGGTTTAGTAACTATTTCATCGTAGACGAAAATTATTGTTAAATAATCTTAAAGTTGAGAAATGTATGTAATTCTAAGCCATATTAGTTAGCCTAAAGAAAGAAGGTTCGAAGATCGGTTTTAATTTAACTTAGCCATGAATAATTATAGTTTAATAGATAAGAAATGAAAAAGTAAAGAGAAATAAGAGAATTTAAAAATATTAATGAATATAATTAAATGGTGCTATAATAATTGATTAATAAAAAGAGACAATAATATGAAAAATTAATAGCATGTTTTAAATCAGTTGTTTTTAGAATTATTCATTTTAACCAATAATTGAATCGTACACCTCCAGAAGATTGGAAAGATTTAGATAATTACAATTTAATAAAGAGAGTATTTCCATTACGTTGTTTATCAGATAAATTTTAAGTTTTCTTTAGGAAGTCTTCTTCAGTACATAGTTAATCAGTTCATCGAAGTTCTATTCGTAGAAGAATAGATTATCATAAATATAATAAATATAATTGGAGATTAAGTGATGTTTAAATAAAATAGATTATTTTAATGCATAATAAAAGATCAGCAAAAATATATCCAACCTTAAGCAATATTGTATAAACATACTAAGTAGGTACAGTGGCATCATCTCCTTAGAGGATTAATAGATATTATCCTCGATGGATTAAAGATTTAGTTTAAGAAGATTATTCATCTGAAGAAATGGAATAATTTGTCTGGAAATATCATCAAATTAATAAAAGATTAGATAGGATTGATAAGATATGGACAAAAGGACTAATACTTAGATTTGATAAATTTAAACTAAAGAGTTAAAATGATTTAGATCATTTAGATACTGAATCTTCTGAAGAATAATGAAGAGTAAATAAGTAATATCTTTTTCTTTGCAATTCTTTTTAAATGATTATTAATATATTATTAATTAATGCATTACATTTTTAAGAACATAAGTTAAGTTTCCATAAAAATAATTATTTATTTGCTTGTAATCAGTGAATGATTGCTGCTAACTTAAATTTAGAAAGAGACAAATATAAGGATTTGTTGAAGAGTATAAAAGATGAATCAATGTAACTAGCTATAAGACATCAAAGTAATTCATAGTATGTTTTGGAGAAAAAGAGAAAATTAAAAATGGATTCTGAGCATAAGATGATGTTGGCTCTTCCTAGCATAGAGAATAGTTCTTTAGAAGATATTTCGTCTCATTTCCATTCTATACGTAGAAGTCAACCAGGAGGATTTTGTGAATTAATAGCAAATAAATCTTAATAAAAGTTTATTTAGCAAAGCTTTCTTGAATTATAAAGAAACAAAATGTCTTAGACATATAGAGATATAAGTTTAAATGAAAGAAAATTTAAATCCTTATAACGTAAAGTTCCCCATAGAGAACCATTGACTTTAAAATATTTAGAAAAACAATTAGGAATAGTAAAAACACCAGAAAAATAAATATTGCCAACAGTTTCAAAACAATAGTAATAAAAGAGAAAAATAACAGAAGAAGACATTCAAGAAGAATAACCAATTGTTTCATTTTTTGAAGAGACATTGAATTCGTATTCATATGCTGTTCCTAGTAGAAGAGAATCAGCTTAAATAGGAGTAGTTAGAGATAGAATGTATGTTTTTGGAGGGATGAGCGGAGGAGGAATAACAAATGAAATTTGGTGGTTTGATTTAAGTATATATATATATAAAGAAATTAGAAAAACAAGAATGGAGTAATTATTGTTCAAATGTATAATTATTTATAACGAGTCATTCAATGGTAGTTTGGAGACAATTCTTAGTTTTATTTGGAGGATCAGGTTATTATGATCATAAAATGAAAATTAGATAAGTATATTCTACTATTGGATTATTCAATACTTTAACTAATTAGTGGGTAACTTCATTGGAATCAGTAGAACCTCGAAGAGAACATAAAGCATCAATCCTTTTTGGAAAATTGATGATAATAACTGGTGGTTTAGATTCAGCTGAGAAATTACTAAACGATACATTAATTTATTCATTAGAATCAAAAAGATGGAGTGGTTAGAAATTGTTATTTGAAGAAGGTATAGCATAACATGCTCAATGTACAGCATATGATAATAAAAAAAATATAGAAACTGTTTATATATTTGGTGGATAAACTGCTAAATTATCTTCATTTCCTTTAATGAAAATGGTATTTTTTGGACTTCATCCAATTGGTTGGGAGAAAGTACAATATTCAGGTTAAGCACCAGAAGGTCGATATAATCATACTATGGAATATGTTGGAGATTATTTAATTTTAATAGGAGGTCGTTCTTAAGAAAAAAGAGAGTATTAAAATGAGATTTTTATTTTTAATCTTTAAAAAAGTTATTGGACCTTAGCTCAAAGATAAGGATTACAAACTAAACGATGGAGTCATTCAAGTTGTACATATGGTAGTTATATTTTATGTTTTGGAGGAATAGGTGAAAATACTTATTTACCTCCTCATATTTATTAAATAGAAACTGATAAATTCAAAATCACTGGCAAAATTGTTGTAGTTAAGCCTTTAGCTACAATTAATGAAGAAATGACTATTAATAATCCTCCTATGATAATTACTAGAGAATAAGATTAAGATTCTAAGAAAATTTGTAGATTAGAAAAATTTAGAAAAGCTAGAAAAATGTATGAATAAATTACAACCTACTTACCATTGCCAAAATTAAAAACACCTAAAATGAGATACGATATCTTAATTCATTTTGTTAAGAACGTACTAAAATAAATTGGTTACATCTGAATATATTTTAAGAATAAAATATTCTATTCATTTTAAATTTAAATAATGGTAATATAATTATTTTATTTTAATTATCTACTACATATGGATGCCATGAGTTGTAATGTCTGTGGAAATAGATTAGTTATTAAGGGTATTTCACTTGTTTGCACTGGATGTGGAAATGCTACTGTATGAAAATATCACTAATAATTAGAGAAGTAATCATATATTCTCAACTGAATAAGAATACTAAAAATCTGTGCTTAAAAGAACTACATCACATATTAAACAAAGAAAAGATAGAAATATTTAATTCAATTTTACATTATCCGAACATATAAAAAACAACTGGGTATAATATTTAGCAGCATTTACAAAATTTATCAATAATATTGCAAAATAATTAAATTTAGATATTAAACCTCTTTATTCTAGATATTTATTTCATCATATCAATCAACCTGTCACTTCTAATTGGACTATTGCAAGAAAAGGACATTAAGCATTTTCAGATAACAGAATTGTCAATTCTAAATATACATTTAATACATCTAATACAGATTCAACATTTAATATTAAAGTAGAAGATGACTTTGATCATGATTTTGAAAAATAATTATATAAAAATTTTATCTAGGACTAATAAAATTAAAGCTCAGTATTAGAAATTCATTAAATTAAAAAAAAAATATCCAAACCTAAAATTCCCTTCTATTAAAAAAGATTCATTAAACTTCAATTAAAGTAGGGAAACAATCTAAATTCAGTTAATTAAAAAAGAAAATAATCTGTTCATAGAAAAGGATCTCAAATTCTAGATATTCCTGTTAATTAGGACAAAACTACTTTTATTAATGGAATTCTTACTTCAACCAATCTCACAAATACAATTTATTATGCTTTGATAGAAATTTATTTTGAAAAATTTTACACAATATCAAAAAACGATTTAAAATCTTCAATCAAGAAAATTAAAAATATCAAATCAAATTAAGATAATTGTTCTTAAATGCTTTTAATTAAATCAATAAGTTAAGATTTATTTAAAGAAATGTCTCCTTTTTTATAAAAGGAATTCATCTTAGTTTAAGATATCTTAATTTATATGTTGGGATCTCAAAGTTCTTTTTTTGAAATGTCTGATTAATGGAATAATGTAGAATTTAGGAATATTAACAAGAATCTAAAGAAAAGAAATGTTAATTTTATCTCAAGAAAAATAAAATATATTTCATAGTTTTTACAATCATTTTAATAAAAAGAGATAAACACTTAAGAAACTGATATTACAATAAAAATAAACAATAAATTATTCTAAAAAAAAAAAAAAAATTTGATTCCTCTAGATTTTACTTTTGGTTTAATTTTAATCTATTCTACAAATTTGACCTAAGGAAATAAATTATTTCCAAGTAAACTAATTTAATTGATTAAACAAAAAAAAATAAATTATTTAGAAGGTTTTTCACATTTAATGAAGGACACAACAAACTAATATTTAACAATCCCACAACATATACCTAAAGCTAGCTTTATTAGAAATAATGCAGTAAAACTATTGAAATAATTCTCTATTGAATATTAGGAATATAGTAAGGAATAGTTTTTAGAGATGTTTAAAAGTATATGTATTGATTTAAAAATATCATAATAAATATACAATATTGCTATGTCATTTGAATAAAAATACTTTTAAAATTTGAAAATCCATAATAGTGAATATGATATCTATTCTTGTAGTCTAATATTACTTGCATTTAAATATTACATTTATATTGATAAATAAAATGCAATAAATGATTTATGCTTGATTAGTGAGCATTGTAAAAACATATAACCATATGATTATAAAGATTTAGAGGATTGTAGCTTAGAAGATTTAAAATAAAAAGTGAGTGCTTTTTAAAACTTAGAGTAATTTTATGGTGATAGAGATATAAATATGAAACTAAATGAAAAATTATAATAATTAGATAATTATTATGAATAGCAAATAATCTAAGAGTATTAAAAACAACTTTAAACTGTTGATATAGTAAATGAAGTAAGAATAAAAATCATTCATGAAGACTGGGACTTTTACAAAACTGGTGATTTTGAATTTGAATCTCCTGAGGTAAGATTTTTAGAAATGAAATTAAGTAAGTACATTGAAGATGATGATAATTCTATAATAAATTTTCTTCATGAATTAGAAAGACTGTTATTGTGATCAAATTTGTTTATAGCAATAAGTATAATGAAAATACTTAAAAAAAATATCTTATGATTATGTTATTTTTATATGATTCTTATGTGAAAATTCTTCACTGCAGATGCACTGTCTCAGCATAACTGATTAAAAATCTCATATGTGTACTTGATGCTCCGGCATGGTAAACAGCACATTTTTCTATTGAAATGATTATTTTTGATAAGATTACTTAAACATTCTGTTTCAGACTCATTAAAATCACGATTCAATTTTAGTGCTCCACATCTTTTACTACAATCTTTTGTTGCTCTAACCATGTAATGTAATGCTTAAGCACCTACTCCCCAATCAATTTCTTATTCTTCAGACATTTGATCAAATGTTTAATATTAAAAATATTAATACTTAATTGAATATAATTTAATTTTATATCATTCTTTATAAGCAAAAAATAGTTCAAATCTTATCTGATATAAATAATATTGTGAAATGTATTATTTTAAAGACAAAATTGATGAAATTTAAATAAATTTAGGAGATATGAAAAATGAAAATAAAAATGGAAAATAGAACATAAGGATTTAAGAAATGTAGGGAATGGTTTTAATTTGATTAATTAAAAGTAGAATAAATATAAATAAAAAGTATTTAAATTTTATAGATAATAGAATGTATACCTTGAATAATTTTTTATATATTAAAATGTAAAATAAATTATTAGATAAAGTTTAGGAGGAGAATGCGAAGTACAAAATGAGTAAAATGTTCACGGGAAGTTAAAATGATTATTATTTTACAATGAAGGAGGAAGATAGAAATTAAATAGAAATGAATAAAATATAAAAAAAAAAAGTGTTTTTATCAGGAAGTGAGGATGAAGAAGAAAGATTACCAACTTAAATAATAAAATAAGAAGATAATAAATAATGTAAGATAATTTCTATTAGATTAGAAATTTAAGTTTATTAATAGACAGAGATAAGAAAGAGTGATATTTTAGATGAAGTACCTACATAAGAGAATATTGATGGTTTAAATGGGATGACAAATTTTGAGCTATCTCCATTGAATATTCAAAGTGGGAAAAAGAAAAACAAAATGAAGAAAAATAAATCCAAAAAAAAAAAAGTGAAATATTAAGCATTACCATTTAATTGGAATACTTATAGATTCTTATTACACTATCCATTATAACATTTAAAATTAACTATATTAGTGAATGTATTGATAGTATTATCAGCTGTAGCATAAATGTTATTACCTTGGATACTTGGTAGATTGATTGATGCAATCACTAACTAGGTTTAAGATTCTCATAACTCAAGAGTAGATGCTGATAATACTTCATTTATTGATGAAGAATTGCATACCAAATTATCTAAATAATTTTTAATTGTTTTAGCAATTTATACAATTTTATCATTATTTAGAGCATTTGCCAATTAGATTTGGTAAGAATAGATATATAATGATATGAGAGAAGATGTTCTGAAATCTTTTTTATCTTTTGATTTAACATTTTTTAATACATATAGGAATGGTGAAATAATATCAAGAATGACAAATGATTTATAATCAGCAAAATCAGCTGTGAGTGGAAATATCATTCTACTTATAAGAAATTGTTGTCTAACAATATTCAATATAATAGTATTATTTGCTTTGTCTTGGAAAGTCACATTAGCAATATTAGCACCAATGCCATTATATACAGTTATAACAACAATCCATACAAGACTTGGAAAGAGATTTGAAAAATTAGGTTAAGAATATTAAGCAAAACTAACAGCTTTAGCAGATGAGATAGTTTCAGGAGTAGTAACAGTTAAGAGTTTTTGCACTGAATAATTTGAAATTAAGAAATTTCATAAATAATTAGATTTAAACATTAAATTGGCTTAAAAAAGAGGAATAAATAATGGATGTTATTAAGCTGCTAGTGCTTTATTTACATAATTAGGATCATTAATAGTATTATGGTTTGGAGGTAAATTGGCAATGAATAATTCAGGAGAATTATCAGCTGGGTATAATATATGATATAAATAATTAGGGATTTAACTACCATAATTTTATACTCTATATAACTATCTAGATCTAGTTCTAATATAAGTGAATCATTTGCTAAAATTGTGAGTGCAACTGGAGCTTTTGAAGGTGTTCTCGAAATGTTGAAATGGGAATCTCATGTAAAAGAAGCTACTGATTCAATAGATCATATAACACCAACAGGAGAAATTTAATTTAAAAAAGTTGTATTCTAATATCCCAATTCATAAGTTTAAGTATTAAAAGGAATAACACTTAAAATTAATAAAGGAGAATATGTTGCATTTGTTGGACCTAGTGGTAGTGGCAAATCAACAATTATGCATTTATTAGAAAGATTTTATGATCCATAATCAGGTTCTATTTATTTTGATGAAATTAATATTAAATAATTCAAACTCAAAGCTTTGAGAAAGGCAATAGGATTAGTTTCTTAAGATCCTGTTTTATTTGAAGGAACTATTGAATCCAATATTACATATGGAACTGAAAATCATACAACAGATGATTTTGAATGGGCTACTAAAGCAGCAGGAGTTTGGTAATTTGTATCTGATAAATTCAACTTTCCTCATGGATTCGATACTTTTGTTGGAGAACATGGTTATACATTAAGTGGTGGATAGAAATAAAGAATTGTTATTGCAAGAGCTTTATTAAAAAGACCTAAAATATTAATCTTTGATGAAGCTACTTCTGCTTTAGATGCTGAAAGTGAATTCCAAGTTTAATCTGCTATTGATGAATTAATTCAAAAAGGAAACAAAAACATCACTGTTTTAGTTATTGCTCATAGATTAAGTACTATAGTTAATTGTAACAGAATTATTGTATTGCAAAATGGTATTGTTGCAGAATAGGGAACTCATTAGGAATTATTAAATAATCCTGATGGAATATATAGATAATTAGTTGAAAGATAATTATCAGGAGTTATTGATTCCAAAGATAATGATGGTGATTCTGAAGCTTTATGATATGTATTCTAAATATTTTTTAACAAAAAATAATATTTATTTTATTATGCAATTAATCAAATCATTTATTTTAGCACCTAAAGTAGAATATACTAGATATGAAGCTGAGTTTATTTAACGATTTATTAAAATATTAGAAGAAGAACTCAATATTCAACATTCAAATAAACCATCAAATTGTAGGGAAAATTCCTCCAACAAAATACCCTTAATTGTGAATCATAGATTAAGATCTTATAGTACTAATATCTAGAACACTACAAAATTAAATGATTAACCTCATAATTCTAAAAATACTAAGAATAAATAAGAAACAATTTAATTGCTACCAAAATTATCAATCAGAGAGTTTGAATTTAAGGAAATTCAAAAGCCTTATAGAAAAAGAAAATTAATTTAAAGTAAAAAGAATATAAAATAATGAAACTCAATCATTAACAATTAACCTTCTCCTAAACATGAAATTACTTTTTTCATTTGCAATTTTTTGTGTTAACTCTGAATTTTCTTTTCTTTCATTAGTAAAGAAATCTAAAGTCTATTTTTTTCTTAATGATCTATTAACTTATACACTCTTTACTCTACCAGTGTCTATCTTAGGTTTTGATTTTGCTATTATTTCCTTTGATTTATAGAATTTTTATTGATTTTCTAACATTTTTAATTGTCCTAGTCTAATCATTTCATCAGAATTTTCACTCACTTTTTTAGTAATCATCTATTTTAAACCAGTTATTCCTTTATGACTTTATTTTAAAGTAGTGTTTCTTCTATTATTTCTTTTGATAGTTTCTGGAGATAAATTATTGATTATAGATTCTCAAATTAGATTAAAATAATTATACATACCTTATTTTTCATTTCTATTAGTTAACCAAGAGAAAGCAACAGTGGCTGCATATTTAGCTTATATCTTTTCCATAACTAATTCTTTTCTTGTATTTTCATCCTATATTTAATGTTATTCATCTATAATTGCATAATGTTACGTTGAATTTGGTATTTCACTAGGAGGATCTATTGGTTTATATCCAATTATTGATTATTTCTTCATTTTATCAGCAGATGAATTTAATCTTTGTTTCAGTTTTAATTTTCTTCTAATTACATTAAAAATTGGTTCTAATTTTTTTGCTTTTAATCTTAAAGTTGCTATTTACATTTCTTCTTTTCTCTCCAAAATTTTATCAATTAAAAGAATTCTAGATTTTAATCAATTTATATAAAATTACCGTTCTTCAGCAGTCGATAATGATTTTAAAGATTAAATTATCTATTTTTTATCATTAAAATCAGATAATAAATTATAAGCATCTCTAACCTTCTAACCTTTAATATCATTTTAAACAGACTTTATAACATCTTAATTTTTCACATTTGCTTTTAATTTCTCATACAATTATCCTCTTTCTGAACTCTTAGGAATTGATGAAATATCTCCTATTCTTGGAGATTCAATAGGAGAAACCTATGTAGTAATACTAAAAGGTGTTGGATTATGTGAATGAACAGTGAGAGCCTGATATTTGTTATTTGGACTATAAAGTGGTCGAGATAACAATATTTAATCAAAACTCATTTAATTTTAATAATTACTATATGATAATGCAAATATTTCATTCATGGTGATCTATACTTTATCTCTTTTTTCCTACTTCTTCACTTAAACTTGTCTAAAATTCTTAGAATGTGATTTCTCCATCACCATTTTCATCAAAAAATTCAAAACATGCTGTTATTTCTTCTTATGAAATGTTTGGTTCAATTCTTTTAAGCAGTAAACCCATTTCACCTTTATCTAATCTTTAATCTGATGATTTATCAAACTAAATTTATTAATATAAATGATCACTTTTTTAAATAAATCTAACAAATTGATTTTATATTTTTAGATAGATAATTTTAATTTCTCTATTACATAATTAGCTCTTTCTTCTATAGAACTTTGAGTTTTTAATTAATGAGGTAAAATAGACAATTTTTTATGAGAACCACCTCCTCTTTATTATTACTAAGGATTAGCATTTGTAACAATCTATTTATGCATCATTTTTAATTACTTAATTATCTTCTAACCATTTTTTAAATTCCTCAAATTCAATCTAATTATTCCCATCATCATCAAATTTATTAAATATATACTCAATTTCTTCTCTTGTGATATCTTTATCTACTTTTTATAGAAATTTGCCTAATTCATTAACATCTAAAGCCTTATCTTTTGACATGTCTAAATCTGCAAATAATTTATAAATATCAATTTTCTCTTTACAAATCATTTATCTAATGTCATTAATTAAATATTAAGCTTTATCTTCTAATTTACTATTTCCTTTAATGAAATCCTAAGATTATAAACTAAATTAATTACTGTAAAATATTGACTAATAGCTGGATGTTTATATATTTCTTCCCAAGATAATCTTTTATTTTCATCAGCTTAGAGACATCCAATAATTAAATCTTAGGTTTCTTATGAGACTTAATTTTTATCAGTAGGAAATTTCAAAGGCTAGGTTCTAATATTTTTTAATAATTCTGCTGGGGATCTAGCTGTCCATGGTGCTAATTAAGTGGATAATTAAATATATATATGTACTTTTGCCAAATAATGCTTCATAGAATATAAAACCTATACTCCAAACATCAGTTTTAGAATTGTATCTTTTATGATCCAAGATTTAAGGACTCATATATAAAGGAGTACCAACCATTGAAGCCATCATTGTTTTTTTAAAATTATCTACACATTTTGCAAATCCAAAATCTGCTAATTTGTAAGTCTTCATAAATTAATTAACTTACTTGTTTGTCTATTAAAATATTTGCAGGTTTCAAATCTCTATGAATTATACCATTTTTTATTAATTGTGTAAATCCATTTAATACATCAATTAAGAATTTGATTGCGTCTTTTTCTGGAAGTAACTTCTTTTTTTTAAGAAGTCTTAAAGTAAAATAACATAATCATACTCATCAAAATCTCCTCCATCACAGTATTCTTAAACAATATAATAATTATTGTTTGTTTCCATTACATCTAGTAATTAGACGATATTGGGACTTTTTAATTTTTGCATAATTTTTATTTCCTAAATCAATCCATCTCTGAGATAATCATCTCTAAATACATAAATAGATAAAATTACGCATTTATTACAGATTTACTTAACATTTTGATTGCTACTTTTTCTCCAGTTTTCTCATTTGTTCCTTTAAAAACCTCAGCATAAGATCCTTATCCAATTCTATCCTTTACATTAAAAATATATTTGTCTATTCTTTTATCGGTCATCAAAATTAAATAATTTTTAGATTAAATATAAATATATGACAATTAAAATGTTTATTTTTATGTACTAATTATGTACATAAAGATAATCATCTTAAATTTCCGACATTTTTGACAGTATTACTAAAAATAGTACTCAACTTGAGAACCTGGTAAACTTGCTGCTTTATTAAATATTTTAAAGCTTTTCTAAGTCTTTAGTCTTAAAATTGTTATTATTCATAAAATGTTGCAATCTTATTTGTACATTTAGAATTTTATAATGTAAATCAATCCTGGCTACAAGAATTCACTTTCTTGAAGTTTCTGTAAATCTCAAAGTTTAAACGTTAATATATAAAATTTGAGATTTGAATGCTATACATTTTTTTCTGTATATATTAATTACTTATATGTGACAGTGCCTAAAACAATTAAAATCATTATTTTGTTTTTGGATACATTTATTTATTTTACAATCCTTCTTACAATAATTAGAAATCTGGCTGTTATCAAAATTTTAGTTTGTTTTCTTTACTAAGAACTTTTAACTAATTAATCTCAAATTATTTTAATCAATAATTTTAAATAGAAATTTATTGACATTACTATGTTTCTTTGCAATCCTCTCTTTTCTATATCAACTTCTTAGNTTTTTAAAATTATCTACACATTTTGCAAATCCAAAATCTGCTAATTTGTAAGTCTTCATAAATTAATTAACTTACTTGTTTGTCTATTAAAATATTTGCAGGTTTCAAATCTCTATGAATTATACCATTTTTTATTAATTGTGTAAATCCATTTAATACATCAATTAAGAATTTGATTGCGTCTTTTTCTGGAAGTAACTTCTTTTTTTTAAGAAGTCTTAAAGTAAAATAACATAATCATACTCATCAAAATCTCCTCCATCACAGTATTCTTAAACAATATAATAATTATTGTTTGTTTCCATTACATCTAGTAATTAGACGATATTGGGACTTTTTAATTTTTGCATAATTTTTATTTCCTAAATCAATCCATCTCTGAGATAATCATCTCTAAATACATAAATAGATAAAATTACGCATTTATTACAGATTTACTTAACATTTTGATTGCTACTTTTTCTCCAGTTTTCTCATTTGTTCCTTTAAAAACCTCAGCATAAGATCCTTATCCAATTCTATCCTTTACATTAAAAATATATTTGTCTATTCTTTTATCGGTCATCAAAATTAAATAATTTTTAGATTAAATATAAATATATGACAATTAAAATGTTTATTTTTATGTACTAATTATGTACATAAAGATAATCATCTTAAATTTCCGACATTTTTGACAGTATTACTAAAAATAGTACTCAACTTGAGAACCTGGTAAACTTGCTGCTTTATTAAATATTTTAAAGCTTTTCTAAGTCTTTAGTCTTAAAATTGTTATTATTCATAAAATGTTGCAATCTTATTTGTACATTTAGAATTTTATAATGTAAATCAATCCTGGCTACAAGAATTCACTTTCTTGAAGTTTCTGTAAATCTCAAAGTTTAAACGTTAATATATAAAATTTGAGATTTGAATGCTATACATTTTTTTCTGTATATATTAATTACTTATATGTGACAGTGCCTAAAACAATTAAAATCATTATTTTGTTTTTGGATACATTTATTTATTTTACAATCCTTCTTACAATAATTAGAAATCTGGCTGTTATCAAAATTTTAGTTTGTTTTCTTTACTAAGAACTTTTAACTAATTAATCTCAAATTATTTTAATCAATAATTTTAAATAGAAATTTATTGACATTACTATGTTTCTTTGCAATCCTCTCTTTTCTATATCAACTTCTTAGTATTGGAAAATAAAATTTTATTGCCATTTTTTCATATAAAATTTTACTTAATTTATCGTTCAACAAACAAATACTTTACTATAAAAAAAAATTAATATTTCTATATGATTTTACTTTTGTCTTTTTTTCAATTTTCTTATTTAATTGGCTTTGGATTAGATTGATCTGTTTTTTTCTACTAGTTTATACTTTTTAAAATTTCTCGTAATATTATTGTTTTTTATTTTGACTAATTAAAAATAACGCTCCTAAATATTTAAATATATTTTCTTTCTTAGCCTCTAATGAGGAATTATTATTAATTATTTGATAAATTTAACTGGTTTCTTAATGAATTTATGAATTAATATTAAAAATTTGAAAATCCAGAATTGATAATTAGGATGTTTTATATATATATAAAGTCTAATAAATTATAAATATTTATATTAACAAATTAATTCGTTTTAAATGATTTTAGTACTATTGGTTAATCTTATTTTGGCAAGTGGTAAACTAAAATAACATCATTTAAATCATTAAGTGATGTTTAAAAGAGAAAATGATGTTGTTGTATTAAATATATACAATTTTGATGCAGCATTAATGAGATTTGAAGTTTTATTAGTAGATTTTTATGCTCCATGGTGTCCACATTGGTAAATTATCAAGTAAATTTAGTTAAAGATTAGAGCCATAATTTGCTGAAGCAGCTGGAACCTTAAAAGAATAAAGAAGCAAAATAACTTTAGCCAAAGTAGATTGTACAAAAGAATCTGTTTTATGCGTAAAATTTGAAGTTAGAGGTTATCCTACTTTAAGAATTTTTTATCATGATAGAATATTTCATTATCATGGAACTAGAGATGCTAAAGGAATAGTTGATTTTATGGTAAATCACTTAAAAGAAGAATAAGAGAAAGAAAAACAACTATAAAAATAGAATCAACCTTGAACAATTATTATTTGAGCAAACACAAAAGTTAAAACATAATTTAACAAAAAGATCATGGTGTATGTTCTTCAAAATTTTGTAATTCTTATTCAATTTATGCTTAATCTTCATCACCAACAGCATTTCCAATTAAATCAGTATCATCTTATAACATTTAATCTTCTGATACAACTCCCCTATTTATTGAAGAGATAATCTAGAATACATACAAGATGATTATACATTCCAATCTTTTGAAACTTAAAAACTAACAACACTTCTTCCTACTTGTATAGCCATATTATTATTCATATCAACTGACATTTAAGCTGGATTCTTTAATAATACTAAAGTTCCAAATNTTATCGTTCAACAAACAAATACTTTACTATAAAAAAAAATTAATATTTCTATATGATTTTACTTTTGTCTTTTTTTCAATTTTCTTATTTAATTGGCTTTGGATTAGATTGATCTGTTTTTTTCTACTAGTTTATACTTTTTAAAATTTCTCGTAATATTATTGTTTTTTATTTTGACTAATTAAAAATAACGCTCCTAAATATTTAAATATATTTTCTTTCTTAGCCTCTAATGAGGAATTATTATTAATTATTTGATAAATTTAACTGGTTTCTTAATGAATTTATGAATTAATATTAAAAATTTGAAAATCCAGAATTGATAATTAGGATGTTTTATATATATATAAAGTCTAATAAATTATAAATATTTATATTAACAAATTAATTCGTTTTAAATGATTTTAGTACTATTGGTTAATCTTATTTTGGCAAGTGGTAAACTAAAATAACATCATTTAAATCATTAAGTGATGTTTAAAAGAGAAAATGATGTTGTTGTATTAAATATATACAATTTTGATGCAGCATTAATGAGATTTGAAGTTTTATTAGTAGATTTTTATGCTCCATGGTGTCCACATTGGTAAATTATCAAGTAAATTTAGTTAAAGATTAGAGCCATAATTTGCTGAAGCAGCTGGAACCTTAAAAGAATAAAGAAGCAAAATAACTTTAGCCAAAGTAGATTGTACAAAAGAATCTGTTTTATGCGTAAAATTTGAAGTTAGAGGTTATCCTACTTTAAGAATTTTTTATCATGATAGAATATTTCATTATCATGGAACTAGAGATGCTAAAGGAATAGTTGATTTTATGGTAAATCACTTAAAAGAAGAATAAGAGAAAGAAAAACAACTATAAAAATAGAATCAACCTTGAACAATTATTATTTGAGCAAACACAAAAGTTAAAACATAATTTAACAAAAAGATCATGGTGTATGTTCTTCAAAATTTTGTAATTCTTATTCAATTTATGCTTAATCTTCATCACCAACAGCATTTCCAATTAAATCAGTATCATCTTATAACATTTAATCTTCTGATACAACTCCCCTATTTATTGAAGAGATAATCTAGAATACATACAAGATGATTATACATTCCAATCTTTTGAAACTTAAAAACTAACAACACTTCTTCCTACTTGTATAGCCATATTATTATTCATATCAACTGACATTTAAGCTGGATTCTTTAATAATACTAAAGTTCCAAATTTCGATTATTAATCTTCAATAACAAATCCAGCTATTATTATTTTAATTATAATATTACAATTCATAAATTTAATTAATGCATGACATCTAGAAACTGATATATCCGTAATTCTTACATCAGAATCATGACCTCTACCTAATTTTATATATTATTTTTATGCAAAACTGATAATATGTGTTCCTTTACTCTTATTTCTTTCCCTACTTAATATTTCTAATGTTATATAAGGAGCATCTGGTTTTGGTATTATTATAGTCTCAAATATTCTATCCTAATATCTTATTCTACCTATTTATCTAATATTATTATAATTACTAGGAATTATGGCTTTACATACTTCACAATCAAATTATCTCCATTAAAATGAAACTGAAAACTTAGTTGTTTTAGGTGATAATTTATTTGCTAACCAAGTTTATAAACATTATATATGGATATATTTTACAGATCCCTAACATTTACAACAATCAATCAAAGGATTGTCTTTATTTGTTTAAGAATCATTATAACATATTCTACAACAAGGCTCGTCTGATTAACTTCTTTTATCATCTTCTTCCTATGTATTTATGTTCATTGTATTCAAACATTTCTCAGATACATATTTTTACAATTCTGGTTCAGTGTTTCCTTTATTTAAATTACTATTATCAACAGAACATTTAATTTCTCTTATTCTAAATCTCACTCTACCTAATTTCACATAATCTCCTTCTTTTAAATCATATCCCTTCATTAATTATCAAGCCTTTTACTTATCCGTCAGTTAATTGGCTTTTTGTAGATTTAACTACTATCCATGGACAGTTGTCATTCAATCCTTCTTAATCTTCTGTCTTTTAAGTTTTCAAACTTGATTCCACTTAATATTTTGAAAATTAACGAGTCAATTTTAGTAATTCTATGACATCTGGTTAATTTTAGAATTACTATTAATAAATTATATTCCTACTTATAACTCTTCTTTTGTTTAAATTATTTTTATATTTTCTTTTTAACGAATTAATCTCACTAATTTAAATTGTTTTTAATACTTAATTATGTATTTGTTTTAATTTATCCTTTTATAACATTTTTATTTTCATAATCAAATAAACCATGAGAATCACGATTCCAAGTAAAATGTTTTATTGTTCTTTTCTTATCTATAAACATTTTTACAATGATACTGGTGATACTTTATTTGCATTTCTAATATCATCTTAACTAGAAACGCAATTCCCCATTTTTTAATTTAATAAATATTTATATTCTTTTAATAAATTTATATATTAAACTTTTCTTTCTAGTTATAGAAAAATGTTAAATCTTACTTAATATTTATAAATAATTATGTGTTCAACCCAACAAACCTTCTTCTTTAACTTTTGTTAATGAAAAAAAGATGTCGATATTTGATTATGATCTATCTTTTGTTTCTTAAACAAACTTTAATATGAAAAACACACCTAAAACACAACATCCAGTAAAGAAACCAAATACTATTGATAATCTATCTTTATTGTTATCAATATCTAGAATTACAAATGCAAATGCTATCATTGTGCAACTTATCCAGTTACATAGCACTGCTAAAGACATTCCTTTCTCAGATAAGATATCAGCATCATAAATCTAAATATTATTTATTGGAGTTTATTACCCAGGCAACAGGTCCTAATGACAATTAAAATGCACCAAGATATCCAAAAATTGCTAATACAATTAAGATTTCTACAGTTGTATTTGGATTTGTTTCAAAAGAAAAACCAAAAGCTACTGCTAAAAATATTGTGCAAACTATTGTTCCATATAATAAAAGAGTTCGTCTTCCAAATTTTTAAAGTAAACTAATTGCTATAAAGCTAAATATTATATTTATCAAACCAACTGACACATTTGCCCAATTGATTTTTGTTTCATTATCTTTTAATATCTAAATTTTGATATTTTATTATTACAGATGAAAATATAATTTTAGAAAAAAACATGATTGCATTTATGCCTGAAAATTACTACAAAAGCTAAAGTCCACAACCAACCAATAAACGTTTTCTTTAACTATAATTCACAAAAAGATCTTTATATGTTTCATTCTATAATCTTTTCTATTCTATTGTTGATTTAATCTTCTCTAATATCTAATCCACTTTATCTTATAAATAATATTGTTCCACAATTTATCTCGCCTACATTATTTGAATTTCATACCTAACTCAAATCATTTTGTTGAACATAATAAGAAGGTGGTTCATTTTTAAAAACCAATGCTAATAATAAAGTTCTAATAACACAAAATATAAGTGGAATTTCTAAGAATAATCTAAAAACATTATCATTCGATTTTTCATCATTTAAATCAGATGAATAGAAACTATGTAATTATAAAAAAACTTACAAGGCAGAAATTAATCCTATTAAGATTCCGATATTAATAGTTAGTTAATTAAGTGCCCCTAGCGATCCAGATAATCTACTTGGTGAAAACTCTTTAATATATAATGGAATTAGTGAAGAATTGAGTCCTACACAAAAACCTATCAGAATTCTGGCAATATAAAATGTATAAATATTGGATATAATTTCTAGTAATACTCCAATAATTCCAATTAAGTCAGTAATCATAAAAGCCTTTCTTAAACTAAACATTTGTAATAAATTGCCTGAAAACATTGCTCCACCTCCAGCTGATAAGGTAAAAATAGCTAAATAAGATATTTTAGATTATGATACCTCCAACTAAAGCTTTAAGCAAATTTTAGGTTGATGAGTCATAGTCAGTTATGAGATAATAAATGGGGTAAAAGTTCGAAGCTGAATTTAGATAGGAAATTGCATATCCAAAAAATAAAGAACCTAAGACAACATTGATAACTAACAAAACAAAGGGTAATGCAGATTTGTATTGAATATCCATAATTAAAAAAAATAATAATATTAAAAATCATGATGGCAATATTTTTTACTGTTACTCTTCAATTAATTGCATCATATGACTATATGTAGTTGTTCTAATATAGGGTTTATCATTAAAAAATTATTTGAGCCTTTCGTTCTAAATGAAGGTCTATTCCTTAAATAAAATAATTAAATCCAATTTCTCATCATAAATATTATTTACAAAAGTTCCTCCTCTTGCAATCACTCTAGATTTGAATGTTTCTAATTCCATCTCAGAAATTTGATGACTTAAACAATAAGGATAGAAAGTCTTATGCTGAAATATCCATAATTTTGGTAATTAGAATAACAATTCTTCCTCTAACATTAACAAATCTTCTTAATTAACTGGTTCATTTATTTTAATATTATCGCAAATATCTTTAAGTGCCAATTCATCAATTATTTCATAATATGAATCTCCAAACTTATCATAAAATTTATTAAATTCATTCATAATAACTAAAGGAGCATACAATATAAATCTAGGTGCAATATTAACTAATTATGATCTCCTTACGCATTCAATCACCCATTAAGGTCGAATAATTGTAGTTGGATACTTTTCAATAATAGAATTGACTCTAAAATCTATAATAGAAGCTATAACATGAGTAAGACTTTCTACTATGTAATTTTATATACAAGTTCCTCCTTAAGCTAGAATTAGAGATTCTAAATATTATTTATTATAATCTTCTTCTAAATTCACTATATAAAATTCACATCCAATAAATAAGTTAGATTCTTTTGTAACATTTCTTGGATCTAATCCTTGATATTCTGACATTATAGTAATCTATTTAGAATGAGCTCCACCTTTTTTTAAAGGTTATTTTCTTTATTTAGCTTCTCTAATAGGTCTATCTTCATTTTCAATTTCATCATCTGTTTATTTATCATTTCCTTCTTTATCATTTTTTTTTTTGAGATTTTTAGTATATTAAGAATCATTTATCATACTTAATAAATCTTACATGGTCATCATTTCATACCAATCTTTATCCATTCTAGTTTTATAACATCTTGGAAATCTAAGTGTATAATCAGTAGGAAATGTATTAGATTTAGTGATTTCTGCAGCTTTAACTTCAAATATAATTGAATGAGCTGGATTACCCATATAAACATCAGGTCTATCATTAATTCCAGGATTCCAATTTTAAGGAATATAATTAGGTTTTTATTTTTTAATCCAATGATTTCTTAATTTATTTCTTATAGTAGATAATTCATTATCAGTGAATCCTGTTCCAACTTTTACAAATGGTAATATTACACTATTTGTTGGTTAATTTTTATCTATTTTTTAAGCTAATCCCATAAGAAAATGAGTAATTCTATCAAATTCATCAAAAGTTTCTACTCTATGTGATTATGTTCCAAAATAACCACCAATAACTAATAAATCACAATTATCAGTCATATTTTCAACATAATCCCCTTTCATTTTAACCCATTTTGTAGATCTTTCATTAGGTAAATATTGAGAATCCATTTATTTAATAATAATACCTTCTTAATTACGTTCAATAGCCATATCAAATTGTTATATAAGTTCTTCAAAAGATCTAATTGTTGCTGCTTAAACAACTTCTAATTAATTAGGTATTGGTACAATAATACGTTATAATAAACTTCTACGAGTAGATAATGGAGCACTCATTGTATTAACTTCTTATCCTTAATATGTTTTTAAGTATAGAATATCAAATATCTTATAACAAAGACCAAAAGCATCATCATTAACATCTTTACTAAGAGCAACAGTTTTATTTAAGCCAAATCTAACATTATCACCAGTTTCTTTATTAACAACAATGATTTCTCCATCTAATATTGCAGATTAAGCTTAAACACTTTATCTAATAATTTCTCCTAATTTATCCTTATATAAATATGTGTAATCGTTAGAATTTCTAGTAAAAAACCTAATAACTTCAGGTGTAAAATGACATTGAATTCTTTCTCCATCAAATTTAGTTTCTACTAATAATTCCTTACCTTCAATTAATTTTCTAATTTCTTCAGGAGATTTCTTTGCTGCTAACATTGGTTTAATAGCATGAAATATTCTTAATACATTTTTAAGTGTATGATTTTAATCAACAAATTCTTTACATACTTCTTTCAATGATGATGTTGCATTATAATACTCTGGAGCATCTTTATGAAATAATTATAAAAGTTTCTCATATTTTAAACCAATCTTTAAATCTTTTAAAATTATTCTTATAATCCATAAGATTTCATCTGCAGTACATACTTTTATTAATTCTACTATGACTAATTCTTATTCTTTTGTATCTTATGCTTTTACTAAATTATCTAATAATTAATCAACTTCTGATATTGTTATTATGCTATCTTTTCTACAATAATCTTTTATAACATTATGTACAACCATAGGAAAATCACCAACAGGAGCACCATATGGTTACATACTTGCTTATTTATAATTTGCCATTCTATGATAATCATCATCTGATAATCCTAAAGCTTATCTAAATAGTTTTGCCAGATTTTTCTCTTATAACTTATATACTCCTCTATCCCTATCTTAAAATGGAATTATCATTCTCATTATTATATATGTATGTTCAGGTATTCTTGGAGGTTTGAAAAAGAATTGTGCTAAAACATCTAAAAGCTCACTTTTCTTTTTCCCTCTTACTTTACTCATTCTATCAAAAAAACATCTTAACACATCAAATTTTACTCTTATTGGACCTACTGTTTAATTCATATTCACTTTTAATTAATCTTATTATTCTTTGTTTACTTTATTAGTTTCCTCTACTTTCTCCTTTATTTCTCTTGCAAATTCATGCACTTCCTTTTACTCTCTTATTTCTTCTTCTTCATCTTAAATCTCTTCATCTATTTAATTCTCTTATTACATAATCAGAAATTAATAAGAATAATAATTTTTTTATTATATAATTAAATCAATAAAAACAATATAAATGTAGTTATAAATATATTATTTATAAGACTTAATAAATTTTATTTTCATTTTATTTTTCTATTATGAATTTTTGTGAATTCATCAAACTCACTGTCGAGAGCGAAGATAAATTAGAAGAAATCAGGATTAAATTAGCAAAATTAGAAATGTTTGAATTAAATACTGGTATCTATATTAATTGTGATTCTGAGTTTATAAAAGACTTGATTAACCAAGAAAAAATGCAATGACAGAAGAATAAATTATTGAATTTCTAGAAGACAATAATGTTAAATTTACACAAGAAGAATTAGGTTACTTCTTTAGAGTTTTAGATACCGATGCAGATAACATTATTACATTACAAGAGTAACTTTTTATAAAATTATTCAAAGCTTCCAATAAGTAATTTTACCAAAAACTAATGATTAAGTAAAAGATTAAGCCCTTAATCATAAATCCTATGAAATGCCACAAAGTATGCTTCTTCCAAAAGAAGTTGAAGCTACATTAACTGATTTCTTTAAATAATTACAATAAAACTATAAGTAGTTTTTAAATCATTATAATTAGCCTATATTAATAAATTTAGGTTCCTAATGATTATGGAGAATTACAAATCTTTGAAAATGAAAATTTAATCACCTTAGAATCCCTAAAAGTTTGGTTACAATCTGTGGAATAAGAAATTGATGATTAAATTTTAGAAAAGTTTCTTATCATTATTGATGGTAATCCAAATAATCTATAAATTTTAATTGATTAAATATACCAATAAATTCCATAGGAAGAAGATTAATAAAATGAAGATATTAAAGAATCCTAAGAATAATAAATAGAATAACCTGAATAAAATTAAATTGAAGTTCAAGATATTAATTATTCTTAAGAAAATTTACAAAAAAGTGATGCACTTTAAGAATCATTTAATCCAACTTAAAATTAAAAAATATAACAAAATCAAGAAAATAAAGATCAAAAACCAGAATAATAACAAGATCAGAAATCTAATTAACTAATAGATAGTAAGCCTTTATCGTCTGAATCTCCTTTATTAAATTATTATCATTAGTAAATTAGAGAAGAAGAAACTAAAATTAAAAAATTATGTGAAAAATTAAATATTCAAAATATCTATCTATAAAAAAGAGATGAATCATAATTGATTAAATATTATGAAAAAGAAATTGCTAGAGAATAAGAAAACTTTAATAATTTATCATCTGAATTTAAATTTCAAGGAACACAATCTAAATTTTAAAAATCAACTTTTACCCCTGATCCATTATTTTTAGATCCATATTAACAAGAGATGATTCGTATTGATAATGAAATTAGAAAAGAAACTAGTAATATCAGTTTACTATAATCCAAGATAGATATTACTTTATCAAATAGTTATTTGAAGTAAAATTTTGTATTTACATAAAAGGTTTGAAAGTCCAACTAAAATTTAAGAATCCTACCTTAATAACAATTTTTCAGGATAAAAGGTATATATTAAAAATTTATAATTTAGAAACAATTCTTTATTAAGTGAAATATCATATAATTATTATCAATAATTTATAATATAATTCTCAAATTTAAATCAATATAATTATTAATTATTTTTTTGATAATATTATTTATTATATTGTTAGGCTTTCCCATTATTATTATAGTTTTTTTTTTTACTCGCATTATTTTGTTAGTTGTTTACTTATTAGTGTTAATACTATTAAAATTAACTATTGCTCATTTATTAATATTAATATTAATTCATTTATTAATTTTAATAGCTATTTACATTAAATGCATTCATTTATTATAATTGCTATAAATTATTTAATTAAATGTTATTAATGTTAGTTTTTAGTGTTAATGGATCCATAGCACTTTTTGGATCTAATAATTTTTTTTCAATTTAATCCAAATTAATTAAATATTACTCTAATGTAATCCAATTGCCAGGCACTTCCCAAGATATATTTAATTTAGCTTTTAAATATTTGTGTTCAAACCATTAATCCATATTTTCTGTAGTAAATCCACCTTAGATCTAAATATATTTATAATATTAACTTTTCCAAAATTATCAACATAAAACCATAAAGATTCTTTAGGAGATCTTGAATGTAATTAAGCTTATAATGAAAATGGAGTGGTTTTAATTTTTTCTCTTGAAATTTTTACAGTATGCTATTATGATGGTACTTAAGATTATCTTTAAATATGAATTCCCATTTCTTCTAATTAGTCAAAAAAGTCATCTGTTTCATTTTTATTTATGTTACTAAAAAAATTTTCTATTTTAGGCTATTCAATTTTGATGGTATTTTTTATTTTATTATTAGAAGTTTCTAATACTTATTTTTCAACCTCTTCTACTGATAATACTTTTGTATTGATTGAAACATCCTCGAGCTTTGGTTGTTCTTGTTCGGAAAAATTAAATAATTATTATAATTTTGCTTTTGTTTCATTAGCAACTTATAATTATTCTTCCTCTTTCTCTCTTAATTATCTATATTTCTCTTTTGCTTATTAAAGTTCTGATATTTCTTCCTAATTTATTTCATTTTGTTTTTTTGATTTTTCCTCTTATTTTTTCTCAAATGTACCATGTTATTTTTAATATTCTATTCTCTTTTTTTCAATTTCATTTTCAATATCTATAATCTAAAAATTATCATTTGATTGCATCCATTAAGGCTCATCTTCATCACTAATGTTAAATAATGTTTAAGTTGAAATTAAAGGTTTTTAAGAAACTTTTGTAAAAAGATGAGAATGTTTTTCTATAAATTCTTCTATTTCTTTTGGAGGTTCAAGTAATTCTTAATATGCAGATATTAATGTCTAAGAATCATAAATTTTATTTAATGGTTGATTAATTTGAGCTCTTGCTGAATAAAATTATTTTTATAATTACTTATAACAGGTTAAGATGTTGTGTTTTATTATTTTTCTTATGAATTGTTTCTTCTATTGTATTTATTTTATTTTTTTTAATATTAACCATTTTTATCATCAAAGTTTTGATTATTATTGGTCTAATTATAAGATCAATTTTAATTACTCGTCGATATGTTTAACCTTGACTTTTTTGATTTTATGAATCTTTGCATATATACGAGAGTTACTATTGCTATTATTTTGACATTAGTAAATAATTAAAAATTAATATTTTAAAAAGAAGCTTATTATTAATTAATCATTTAGGATGAAAGGGAAAAATTTTGGATAAATGTTAGCTATGAATTTAATGAAGCTTTATTTATACTTTTTTCTTTGGTCTAAATCCTAATTTGAAAAGGACTTTCAATTTAAAAAGCTTTTCATTTTGATTTAATTCTACTATACGATCTTAAGAGAATATCTAAGTTCGTTTAGTAAGATTTTTCCCTGATTCAAAGTTATTAATATATGGTTTCAATGCTTAGATGTGATTGTTTACAGATTGATTAATGTAATTGTCATCTTCTAAAACTTCTGTCTTAATAATTTTTCTTGGATTATTGATAATTTATTTTTAATAATTTATCAATGATTGTATTTTATCACAATAAGAAACATCATAACTTATAGAATGATTTTACTATCTAAAATTGTTGCTTTAATTTTAATTGTTATCATTAGAATATGTTCTAACCTCTCTGTGTTTAAGAGATTGAGTGATATTATTATAAAGATGATTTATTTATTATTCTCGATAGTTGTATAAATTGTTCTTGTTCAATTATTATTGATATTAAAATATATTCTCTACCGACATATTAATGTGATGATCTTTTAAAATTTAAGAAATTTAATCTAATTTTACTGAATACAATTATCCTTAGTATGAATTGCAAGTAACTGAATATTTATAATATCCTTTTGGTTCTATATCTAGATGTTCTATACCAATAGTTTCGCCTTTTTCTATCAAACAAATCTCAAATTATTTCCATTTCTTTAAATAAGAAAACACTGGATTTTAGCACAATATTTTTTTACTCATCTCTATGTATTAATTTATTTATTTACTTTAAATTCACCACTTTTTACAATGAATAAAGTTGTCATCATTTCATTTTCAATAATGACACTCTAATTTTTAATAAATTATAAGACATTAACAGAATCAATTATAATTTTGAGAATATTGTTAGGCAATTAGCTAAAGGCAGGATGATTACGAAAAGAATTGTATTTATCGTAATACTCTTATTTTTGTTTATTATTAAATTGCATTTATTTATTAATTTATTTATGATAATTAAATTTATAATGTTTGTTGTTTAATTTCAGAGTGAAATTTGGTATATTGTTAGTTGCCTATTTATAAATCTTTTATATTTTGCGGAAAAAATAAATAAATTCACAATCATAAAGGAACATGGAAACCGAAACAAGTCCAAAGATTTTAAGCTTTAGAATTAATAGTAACATAAACACTATGAATTCAGATTTAGTACTTACAAATAATAGTCATTTAGAATCTACAATATCAAAAATTTAAGAGTATATATTATATTAATTATCCTAGAAAAAATAAGAAGATACATTAATTGGTAGAAGGAGTATTTTCGGAAAATACTGATAGGAACAATTAAGATTCAACAAGAAATACAAGTTGTTTAAGCAACTTTTCACCACTTAAGGCTAAATAAAACTAAAAAGATTTTGAAAATTAATTTACATTTGTAAGTCAAGATGATTCATTCAATTAATCTTCAGCATAAAAGTAATGCAGGTAAAATAATTCTTCAAGAGTGTCAATATCCAACAAAATAAATCCCAGAACACAGAGTAGAACACAGAGTTCATCATCAATTAAAGAATAAATTCAAGAGGAGAAATATTGTGGAATTTGTGGTCAAGCTGATTAATATTGCAATTTTATCAGACCTTGTCTATGTAAATCAAAATAACATATTCATTAATAATGTGAATAGAGAGAATTTTGTGAAAAGTTTATAGACAATTAAATGTAAAAAATAACTAAACCATTGTAATGTGAGAAGTGTCATTTTAATTTTATAATAAAATCTTACAAAGATATTAATTTCATAAATGCATTGAAAGATCCACTTAAACATAGAAAGGTTTTAATTTATTTATCAATAATATTGATAATGTTGATACTAATAACAACTTTGATCATATTATCTATTTTAAATAGAATGGAATTTAGATATCATGTAGAATATATTGCTGGAGTTATTCTTGCTTGTCTTATTTTAATTGGAATTATTATAATAATCACTTATAATTTGTTTGAATATATTGCTAATGTAATGAAATATGTAAAATTTAGTTTACTTGGTTCATTTTAGATAGAGAACAGGGGAAAGTAAATGATAATGGAATCAGAATGACTCTATAATCATTAAATCTTGCTTTAGAATTACAATAAAAAAAACAATAATAATTTTTATAAATGATGGAATAGATGACATCAAAAAAGGTACATTCTGAATTACCATTACAAAATCCAAAAGAAATAAAATGATTTACTTTTTTAAATTATATATTTTAATACCTATCTTAAATTATATTAAAGTAATCATTATAAGTACAAAGATTTCATCTTATACTTTTATTTTATTTATCCAGAATTAAGTCTTTGTAATTCTTCATTATAGTAAGTACATCTGCTTCTAAAAAAGTATAAGACTCTTTAATTGATAGTATTTAATCATTGTGCATATTTTAGAGTTTATTCATTGCAGCTATTGTGGATTCTAATTAAATGAAGGGTATTTTTGATTCATCTGACAGTCTATTTATTTCTTATTAGTGATTGCTATGATAAATTAGATTAATACTTTATTTAAGCAGTAAGTTATTAAAATTTATTTAGAAATTCTTTATAGTATTCACTATAATTGTTAAGACTTTCAGAATATTTATCCATAGATTTAGAATTTTAAAATAATCTTGTTTCAGCTTCTTTTAAAGCAGATTAAACTTATTACTCTAGTTTTTTAAAAGAGATTTCTTCTTTTTAGAGTAATTTTTAAAATTAATCTTAAAATTACATAAGTTTCTTCTCAAATAGATTTAATTTAGAGAATGTACTTTCTTCAGTGATTTTATTTTTTCTTTATCTTAGATTGGAAGCATTATTATTGGAAGAGGATAATTATTCATCATAATTATTAGTGCAAGTTGATCTTGATCTGCTTGGTTTATGTAATTTAAGTCCAGTATCTCTAACAGATTGATCATCAATCATTTCTGAAATTTAACTGTCTTAACGTTTATAATCTTATGAAAAGTTGTCTTCTTTAAGAAATGGATTGCGATTTTATTAATTTTTGAATTGGTCTATATGAAATGTATATTTATTAAAATTATCTTTGTTATCCATTCTAGTTTCAAGTTCTAAGAGTTTATCTTCAATATTTTTAAGAATAGAACGAAACAATTTATTACTAACAAATTATTCATTACCGGTAATATTTGCATCATAATATAAAGAGATACCTAATTAATTATATTATGAATGTTAGACGTCTTCTTGTTCGAATCTACTTGAATTTGATTATGATTTGATTCTATATTAATCATCTTCATTCTTTAAAACTAAGTCTAACAATGTTAATTATTAATTTTAGAATTTGTGTGTTTGCATAATAAATAAAATAATATTTTAACAATTCAGATGTATTAATAAAAATTCATGATAGTTTTGCTGGTGATAACAAAATTTGATTTTCTTTTCTGACATATAATATGATCAATTTAACTATTTAATTAAGTAATATGTAATTAATTTTAATTGACACTTTCATTAGGTTAAACTACTTCAAGGGAGCCATCTAATTAAATTAATTTAAATACTTTGCATAACAATATAAACTTTGAGATTATTATCTAATGATAAATAAAGTGGGAAATCATTCAAATTAACAAGTAAAATAATTTATTTCTTATTATAATTTCTTCCATATAAATATTATAAGGTATTGAGAATTGCAAAATATACATTGTCAAATCCTTAAGCAGGTATAATTTAAGTTTGAGCATCAACTGATGAATAAAGTGTTTGAGTATCTTTTTGAGATTATTCATTATCCAAATTTCCATGTGGATTTGCTAAGAAATTGATCTGATCAAATAATGTAAATGCAAAAGGATATTATCTAGTTGAATTATAATCAACTTATAAAGTTGAAACAACTCCAGTATCTTATTCAATTGCAAAGATCACTCTTTTTTCACATTGTTCTACTAATTAAATAACATTTGGCAATTCTAAAGCTTTTATATATCTTATAATATATTCCTGATTCTTATATAGATGTTCTAAAAAGAAGAGTTAACCACTCTCATCTAAAACAAATTTTCCTGGAATTGAGTCAAAGATTCCAAATACACAGGATATAATCTTATCTGGTCCTCCTTTACCTATATGATAGTATTAATCATAGACATCCAATCTATCAATATTGATCGTCTTAATTTAACCAAATTCCTGAATAAATACTATCTGCTTAATTTAAGCATCATAGAAAAATTAAACTATTTCCTTCTCCCATTAATATTCAACCAATAATTCAGCTGTGTCCATTCTCCACAATTTTACTATACCTTAATTAAAGGTTGTTACCAAAATATTATCTTCTACTAATTTACATTACTTAATTTCTATTTCACTTTAATCACTATTTGTAGCATTTAATAAAAAATATTATTTTGTTGTAAATGATATTAAATATATATTTCCATTACTTAATCCAAAAATACCTTAAGTATAAAAGGGATCTAATACATATGATGATACCATTCCAGGTAATTAGATTCTTTAAAAAGCAAATCCTGAATCTAAAAATGATTGTAAATTTAAATTAGATTTAATATCCATAACAAAAAATGAATTCTCAGTACTACCTAAAATAATCTTTCCTGCAGCTTAACTTACTTTAAGATAAGTGATTTCTGCATTCGTTATTTATTTTCTATAAATAGGCTTAAATTCTCCATATTTTAGAATTACTATATCTCCTGTTTTCAATCCTAATATAAGTAATTAAATGGTTTAACTTTTGTTTTATTGAGATTATAATTATTATTATTTCATTGATTCCTATGTTAATTCTTATTATAATTAAGGAAAAGACAGCTAATCCTTAGATCCTTCTTCCAAAAGAATTTCTTCTGTTTTTACAGTTTATGATTATTAACTATTATCAAAAGATACTCTCTGAGATAAACTCAAAGATTACGATGTCTATTTATTTTTATTCCCTTCATAAACTACATAATCAAAAGTAGTAATTTCTTCAAGTTCATTAGTATTAATATTTTTAGGTAAGAAGACATCATAATATTCTAATTTATGATCTTTGGTGAAGGCCCATAAATATATTTGATCTCTACCAACAGTAGCAAATTCAAAGATTCGTTCTTTAGAAAATGTATATTTTGAAATTTTAATATCATTTATTCTATCTAAAGTATATGATGATGTAATCAATTTTTTAGCGGTGAAATCCCAAATTACAACTGTACATTCTTTACCATTTCCAACTGAAACAAGATATTTTTCATCTTCAGTAAACAGAATCTGATGAACTCCTTAAGTATGAAAATTAAGCTAAGCAATTTATTTAAAATTCAATTAACTAGCATTATTTTAGATTTCGTAAACATAAATTGGAGCAGCATCCTATACCTTTTGGGCTAGACCAACAATCAAATGCTTTTCAGTTTTATCGAGATAAATAACACTAACAATAGCATTAAAACTCAAAATTAATTATTCTCTTTCTTATTGTAGTTTTTCAAAGATAACATAATTTTATGATGTATAAGCATACCAACCATAAGATTAACACCAAATAATGTTATCATGTGTTTTTGTATTATAGCCAATCATATATTTGCATTATAAAGTAGGTTATTAAGATTATCCCTTTAATTAAGGTACAATATATTATCTAAAAGGTAATTAAGTAGATGAATTTTATTATCTATTTTATTATTTTTTAAGTTGACTTCTAGATCGCTTTCTATTAAGTATTTGTCTTTCAAATTCAAAAGTAATAGGTTTAAATTCTTATTATAATCTTGATGGTTTAAAGTGATCAGGTTTGAATGGTGTGTTTACATTTTTATTTGCTAATCCTTAATCTTCATCTTATTCTTCTTTTTAAGGTAATTATCTGACGAGACTAAACATTTCCACTAATTAACTTTATTAGAATGTATGAAGATGAGCTTCCTTATTAGGATGAATATTTTCATTGTTTTCTTAAAGATCATAGTAATCATCTAATTTTTCATTTTATTCATCTTATTATTCTTGTTCATCAAATTGATCTGGTTACATATCAATTTTAGTACATTATTGAACTAATTATTCCTATTCCATTTTGATTAATCTTTCATTTTTACCAGTATATCCAAGGAATTTCCAAATAAAGATTCCTTCATCTCCACCTGCAGTAATTATTGTACTACCATTATCAGCACAATCAATAGAATTAATTTATGATGAGTGACCTATAAATACTTAACAAGATCCTGGTCCTTTAATTTAAAATTCATAATCCCAAACTTTTAAATATTATTCAGCACCTACAGAAAATAGATATTTCATATTAGGTGAGACTACAAAATCATTTAATGATTATTTATGCATAAAAGTCTATTCTCTAAGATAATATGCAGTGATTGTTTCATTAATTCTTTCAATTCCATATATAATAATTCTACCATCTGTAGTTCCACATAATAATTCTACATTATTTTCTGCCCATTTAAATATCTTCAAATTGAATCTAGTTTAAATCTTTAAAATTTATTATAATGATGAAGTATCCCATAATTCAATATTAGCTGAATTTTCTATTAATGATAAGATGGCAGAGTCTTTTGAGAATTATCCATAAACATTTTAAGATTGTATAGAATGTTGAATAGTCTTAATAGGTTAATAATCTCTGTTAACATCATAAATTTTATAAATAGATTTGGCATCTCCAATTAACAATTATTAACCATTTGGACTATATTGTATACATTTGATTTCCAAATCATGATACTTTCCTTCAAAAAGAATAGATGTTTATTCAATATCAAATATTCTATGAACTCCAGATTTAAATCCAGCTGCAAAATACATTCCAATAGGAGATGATGATAAACAGACACATTTATCATCTTATGGAAATGTAAATTCATAAACTTAATCTGATTTCTCAATATCCCATAATCTAATAGTACAATCTTCTGATAATGTTATTAATAATTTTGAAAAGGGATGTATTTAAATTTAATTAATAACATTAGTATGTGATCTAATAACAGTTTTGTAATGATGGCTACTAATATCTAAAATACCTAATCCTCCTGTTGAAGTTCCGCATGCTACTTATAAACCATCAATAGATATATCTAATGAAGTAATTATTCCTTCATGTTTAGCCTCGATATAAAATTCATTGAAATCTAAAGGCCAAACTCTTAAAAATTAATCTAAACTCCCAGTTATACAAAAACCAGCTGATAAACAAACTGCTGTAACTGCATCATTGTGTACTTTATATACTTACATTAATTTCTAACTTTAATAAGCTACTTAAAATAAATATCCATTTTTAGATCCAAAATAAATATTACTTACATTTTAATCTTCATAATTAAATTCAAAATCAAAGTTTGTAAATGTAGTATTTCTAGCATGATGATTTAATACAACGCTTGCTCCTGGTAAATGTTCATCTTTGATTCTCCAAAATCTTATATTCTCATGTCCACATGATAATATTCTATTATTATCAACAGGAGAAAATTTGATGGCTATTACATTACATGAACTAGTTTATTTAGCAAATAGAATAGGTTTTCTATTAGATTCAATTTTTTCTAATCCCCAAACAATAATAATCTCTCGATTATGTTCATCTTATCCAACAGTAACTAACATTTTACGATCTTAACTAAATGAAATATAATTTAAATTAGAATAAGGAGTAGCAAATGCACTTAAACAATCACAATTATTTTTCCATATTCTTATGATTGCATTCTTTCCACTCTATCCACTTACTAACCATTCTCCATCTTTACTTACATCTAAACAAGATATTGCTTTAGAATGTCCCATAAAGAATTTTTATTTACCATCTTAAATATTACTTTAAACTAATAATTATCCAGCTGCATAAATTATCTGTTTTTAAGTTTCAGTTTGTCTTCCCCATTTAATGTCTGGACAAGAGTTTACTGTAAAGCCAATAATCTTTTCTAATTATTAGATTGGATAAGGTTAAAGTGGATGATCTTATGCATCTACAGATTTACTCTATGCTATATTCTAATCCCCTGGTCTCTTTTTAACTAATTCCTCTATTTATTATGTGTTGTGTTATATTTAGTTCTATTTAAATGATTTCTATGTTTCCTATTTGAATTTCTCTTTATTCTCCTATATTTTCTATAGATTATCCAATATATCAGATGTTACTTCAACTAAGGGTTGTTTAAAAACATGAGGTTGAACATCTAAATTTGGCCAATATGCAATCTAGTATTCTTCAGACCATTTCTATCCTTTTGCTAATTTAAATAACATTTATTTTGGCATAGTTTCCCAATCATAGAGATTGTCACTTGTATAAATTCCTCTTATGTTCATTGAACTACATATTTAAAATGATTTTAATGAATGAATTCCTTTAAATGATTTATATAAACTAGTTGGTAATAATCCAAAATTGCCTAAAAAGTATTCAACATCTAAAATTAATATAGTCCATTTGTTTGGAGCATTCTTTGGATATGGAATCAATAATTATGATTGCTAGACCTATTTATAATTATATATTGATATATACTTTATGAACATCATACATATTTGATACTGTTAATTTAATTAAAGGATCTCTATCTTTAATTTACAAATCAAAATGCATTGTAAAATACCTTCCCTTTATTGGTATTAGTTCTATATAAATATATCTACCAGTTAATCCTAATTGTTTAATTCCTTAACATGGATCTGGAATCTAAACCATATTATTTGCTGATATTGCTCCCAATAATCTTATTATCTTTCTACCTATTGAATTATCCTAACAATTAATTGCCACCAATTACTTAAACTACTGAAACCTATCCTTTAGACTATGTATGTGCTATCTCAAATACACCGAATTACTTGAAAACATCTACGAATGGATGTTACCAATTCATTTATTCAAATTCAAATATTATTTATTTATAAATTTAAGTTATTATATATATATGTATATAAATATTTGTTTATTATTATTTTACATCTTCCTTAGATAATTTTTAATTTAATATTTGTAACAATATTCAAGCACATTACCACTTATTTTCAATTTCAATGGAAAGACCAACTATCGAATAACTATTTAAAATCATATTTGAAATCAACAAAGAAGATAATTTTATATTCTGTAAAGCCTGTTAATTAAGATTTCCCATAGCAGAACCAGAATAAGCAACAATATATATACATCATTTCTCTAAAGAACATGTTTATAACCTCTCAATTATTGCTTCTAAAGAAATTATGAAGAATAAAGAATCTGCAAAAAAAAAAGATAATCAAATTTCATCAGCTATTCCCCTCTTTGATTTAGAAAAAGCACTCCAAATTTAATAATAATAAACTAAAAATGGTAATCTTTATATCTATATTTTAGTTCTTCATTAATATTTCAAAGAATGCATCAATAAATTACCAAACATCTGTGAATCACTTGAACTCAATAACTTAGAAAATTATATGAGTACTCTTAAAAGATTATATCTACATTTGCTTAATCACAATACTTCTATACTTACTCTTGAGCTTTGTTTTTCATTTATTGATATTTACAAAACTGATAAAGATCTTAAATTAATTAGAAAAATTGTTAAAGCCTTTAATTTCCCATTAAATAATGATTACATACTTATCCTTAATCCTCAAAAATAAAACAATCCTAATCAATCTCTAGATTTATATGTTGAATTTTATTAAGTCTTCATTAATGATTTAATGGATTAAGGTTTAAACAAAGAATGCTTAATTTATCATCTTGCTAAAATTGGAACACCTTTAAGCAAAATTATTGATTTAAAACTTTATGAAATCAAAAATAAAATTAATGATCTCATCAATAAAAACATTATTGATGATTAAAACATTATCTTTTTGACCATTCTTGAAAAATTAGAACGTAATGAAACTCTCAATAGTCATTCTTATGTTTTTACTAAATGGAATACAGAAGATTAATTGAGAAAATGTATCAGGAAAATCAGATATAGTCTTAGAGATCAAACTAAAGATGAAAGATATAAAAGATTTTTAACCATTGCTTCTCTTTAATAAATTTAAAATTGGCATAAAATTCTAATTTAAAATGAAAAAAATACAACTAAGGATATGATTTAAACATTAGAAACTATTCATGAAAATAACAATTAGTCAAGAAAAAAAAAGAAATATTTAAATGAATAACTTAATATTCCTAATAAAACTCAATAGGATTGGGATTAATTTTAAAAATAGACTTAATAAACACCAGAAAATAATTAATTCAATACCAATATTATTGATTTAAAATCTGTGGAACAATAAGATGATAAATTGGATAATTAAAAATAAAAAGGTTTATTAAAAAAGACCTCTAAAAGATGAAATTATTTTATATATATTTTTAAATTAAAATTTTAATAATGCTTCAATTTATTGCCTAGGGATATTAAAGTTAAGAAATAATTATAACTTTTTGATTAGAAATTATTTTTTAGATGTTGATTATGTTTAAATTATATGCTATTTAAATTAAAAATGAAATAATATGGAAATTTTTATAAATAAAATATATAATAATGAGTCAATCTGGTGTTGGATAATAATAAACAAGGGTGGTTGTTTGCAATAACACAGAAGTTTAGTTGATGGTACCATAGTAGCCATAGAATATTCAATTTACTAGACAACCTCACATAGTTTATTGTGTTAATTGTAACAATCAAATTTAAACAAATGTTTAACTGAAGGTTGGCAAAGGTCAATTGATGATGGCCTTAATAATGTTGCCTAAATTATTATGGTAATAATTAATATGATGAAGTATAATAGTGCTTGTGTAATCCCATTATTGATGGATGATTGTCGAGATGCAGTTCATTTGTGCCCAGTTTGTAAGGCCGAAGTAGGAAGAAAGAATTTCATCTTCGAATGATTTATGCAATAATGATTATCAATTTAATATATATTTTAATTATTTAATTAAAAACTACGACATGATAGGGAATCTTATGAGTTAAGAAAGCTTTCCAAATCAAATATTATAATAATAAATTTAATTATAGAATGGTTATAGTAGTTTTGATGGAGCAGATTTAAGAATTAGAGTATTTTTATTAATATTTTATTATATAGATGGATCATATTTTAAAAGTATAATCCTGGTTTATCAAATGTTTAAATAATCTTATACGTCATTAAAATAATAAGAAAAAATCTAATATAATAGTATTGCCTTAATAGGGAGCTAATTTATACGTATGATATTGATAATAAATTAATTAAGGTGCACTTTAAAGATGAAATAAATCTTAAAAAGACTAAAGTTTTAGATTCTACTGATAGTACTTTCGGCTAATTAAATTTATTAAAGCCTTAGATGCAATTTATACCTTGTATTACAACAATGATATTTAGTTTCACCATATTAATCTATAGCTCCTTATTATTCTTAAGAAATGGCATTTTAGAGAATGAATCCTATAATGCAAAGTTAGGATAGGTATATTGTTTAGACTAAATAATCGAACTAAGCTAACCATTTTAAGGTTAAAGATAAATTCTTGGTTTTTTAAGGGAAGCCAGAGGAATCATAATCAATTAATTCAGATGAATAGGATTTTGATGAGAAGAGATCTGATCATTCATTTTCAATAAAAAAGAAGAAGAAAATAAGTAAGGTAAATGATACAAAAAATATAACTAAAAATTTTTCAAAGGCTATTATTAGTTATATTACTCAAAATAAAGATATAGGTTTGAAATTATTAGATGGAAGAGAATTTGAAGATTTTCTATAGATTTTAAAAGAGAAAAAGAATAAAATGACAAATATATAATAATTAAGGGAATTATGGGTAGATTGTAATGAAGGAAAGATAAAAGAATTTAATAAGACTTTTAGAATCTTTAGGTAAACAAATATGATTAATAATAGTCAATATTTTTTAAGGTAGCAATCAGTTGCATACATATATAATTCTCGAATAATGAATACAGGATGGCATTTAAAATATAGATATAATTTGCTTAGAGCATTAAGAGAGCCCTAGAATTTCAAATACATAAAAGATATTTGATTTAAAAATTATAATCTATTAAATAAAGATCATAATTTAGCTTTAGGAACGATGCCATCACATTTAATTTCTTGAATAGAAGTGACACCCATCAATTACATAGTAGAAATTAATTCAGATTATAAAATTTAGAACATTTTATTGAGTCCTTCTTTTCCACCAATGGCTGTACTATAAATAGCAGGTCTTCCAACAAATACACATTTAGCACCTAAAGCTAAACATTTATAAACATCAGTTCCATTCCTTATTCCACTATCTACATAAACCTCTAATTAACCAGCTGCTGCTGCTACTATTTCTGGTAACATATCTATTGTAGCTCTTACTGTATCTAATTATCTTCCACCATGATTTGAAACCCAAATAGCATCAACTCCATGTTAGACTGCTAATTTTGCATCCTCTCCACATTGAATTCCCTTCAAAATTATTGGAATCTTTGTGATTGATCTTAACCATTTGATATCATTCCAATTAACTGTTTAATCTAGTTATTCTGCAAAAAACTTTAATAATCCTGAACCTTAATTATTAGCTACTGATTAAAGTTAAATGTTTGCCTCTTTTGCTAATTCTTCCAAAATCTCTAACTTTAAATGAGGTGGTAACACAAATCTTATATATCTATAATAAAATACCTTTATTTTTCATCAGCTTCTCTCTTACCTAATATTGGAGCATCTACTGTTAATACTAAACCTTTAAATCCTTCTTTTTCTGCTTTTCTAACTAATGCTTCTGTCAATGATCTATTTTTTTGTATATACAATTATTAGAATCTCAACCCATCTTTATTATGTCTAGCTACTTCAGATTAAGATAGAGTTGATAAAGTAGTCAAAGTGAATGGCACTTTCCATAAATGAGCTTATGAAGCTGTTACTTCTTCACCCAAAGGATGAGCCTTTTTATATTATTAGCTATACTAATTTTAACATAGCTACTGGTGCTAAACCTATTGGTAAATCAATATCATGACCCAATATTTTGGTTTTTGTACAAATTTTTGAAACATCTCTTAATACTCTTGGATTCAAGTATATCTTTTAGAATGCATCTAAATTTTATTTTTTTGTTATTTCCTCATTTGCTCCTGATCTATAATATTAAAATGCATTTGAATCTAATTTCATTTAAGCTAATTATTCTAATTCTCTTAAAGAAATAAAATTTGTAGCCATTTAATTTTATTTTTATATTAATTTATAATCCAATAAGCTTAAATGAATTTATAAAATATTTCAAGAATTTTCAATAGATCAAAAGAAAATCATCTCATAATATTATATATTTTATACTCATGACAATCATTATTATTGTAAATAGATATCAATCTAAATCTAATAATAAATTCTTTATTCAATTTTATTAAAAATACTATATTACTAAAATAATTTAATTTAAGATTAAAATTTATTATGAATGCTCAAATTTAAGTTATAATTTGAAGATATTTTTTAGAATGATAACTATGTATTGAAAATCAGTGATATTAAATAATCTTTGAAAAGCAGTTCCTTTGGCAGAATAATATTATGTTTTAAAATTATTTTATAAGTTTTATAATATATTCAAAATGTATGTTTTCTTTTTAAATTGAGAGATAATTATCCGTACTTATATTTTTAAGAATTATTTTAGTTTTTTACTCTATAATCCTAATATTGTAAACACAATCATTTGGCAAATTAATAAGGAGAAAAGTGAGAGTGTAAAAAAGTTCTTTTGTTATAGCTATAAATTTAATTGAAATTTTTGATTCTTGAAAGGTTATGTGAAAAGTTAATAATAATTTTAGCAAACATTAATTTATAAACGATAATTAAATGCTTTCATAAAGCAGTAGTAGAAATCTTTTAGAGAATCCAATAGGACCAGCCTTATAACATGATCCTCATCCATTCAAAACTTATGAAAAAGAGAGGTCTCCTTCGAGATTATCTATAGAATCTGAGCAATAGATTAAGATAAATAATAGTGAAGGTATAAAGATGAGTATACACGATACTGCAGAAAAAAAGAAAACTATAAATTTTAATATTGCTAGGAGGAAATCCACAAAGCCACAATAAGTAAAAGTATTTGTAAATAACAAAAGTTAAATAAGAGGAAATCTGATTCGACAAAAAAATTTGAGGGATTGTCTATTTTAAGAACTATGTAGCAGAATTAACTAATTTAAAAGTTTGCAAATACTTTGTTAATGAAATCGTATATTTTATCTTAACATAATAAATACCTTCTAAATTAAGAAAGCTATTTGCAATCTAAGGTTGATAAAACAAAATACTAAAGTAAAAATATTATGATAATAAACAGATTAAAATTAAAACATTACAACAAATATATTTGCACCAGGAAGTTAACTAGTATTAGTATGGGATGTGAGTGCAACATTTTTTCATTGTTTTAGTTTATGGCTTTGTCCATTTGTATCATCATTTGTAAATGATGATAGTTATAGTGCAGCAGAGATGTTTTTAATAATTCATATAATAATTGATATTATCATTAATTTGAATAGACCTATAATGATCTAAGGTGAAATAATTTTTGATAAATTGGAAATTATATAACATTATTTTAAAGGGTAATTACTGGAAGATCTAATAAGTTTGACTATGTGGTTTTTAATGTATTTTGATTTTAATTAAATACCTGTGACAAATGAAATCATAGCAGTAATTCTTTTAACAATAACTATTTTGAAAGTAAAACGAAATTACGAAAATTTTATAGAATCTTTGTATTTATAAGGAGCTGTAAATTAATTAGTAGATCTAATTACATTAATAGTAATGATATACTTCTTTGCACATTTAATGGCATGTGTATTTCATCATGTCGGTGATATAACATCAGATTCTGAGAATTGTTGGTTGATACATTATAATCTATTACAAAAACCAATATCAGTTAAATATAATCATTCATTTTATTGGGCTACTATGACTATGGTAACTGTAGGATATGGAGATATTACTCCATAAAATGAAGCAGAATTGGTGACAGTTAATTTATTAATGCTTTTATCTAGTTGCATGTTTGGTTATTCAATGAGTTCTATTGGAATGATTCTAAAGAGTATTCAAGATGCCAAATATAAATGTAAAAGATCACTTATCTTAATGAATTCTTACATGAGATAGAGTCAGGTTGATTAACAGATTTAAAGTAGAGTAAGAGATTTTATCAAATATTAAGTGGAAATGGAATCAAAAGAAAATAATGAAGATGTCAATTAAATTATTAATGATTTACCTAATTAGTTAAAATAAGAATTATAAACTAATGTTTAAATGAACATTATGTAGAAAATCAAAATAATTACAACACAATTTACTAAATAAACTTAATCAGAAGTATCTTAAAATCTTCTACAATTAAAATTTACTCCTGGAGATTATATTTATCATTAAGAATAAATGGACAATAATTTGTAATTATATTTATTTATAATTTTAGATATTATATTAAGGATGGATAAATTTAAATTATAGAAGAAAGAAGTGGAAAAGTATTATAAATAATTAAATCTACTAGTACTTTTGGAGAATATTAATTTTTTACAGGTCTTCCTACTAAGACTTGTGCTTAAAGTATAGGATTCTCTGAAGTTTATTAAATTAAAAGAGACATTTTTCTTAAAATTATAAAATCTTGTAATAAAGATTTTGAAAGATTTCATAATATTAAAGATAATTTGATACTTAATTCAAATTATTTTGTAATTTTTTAAAATTGTAATTTTTGTAAGATGTTTACTCATTCAAATATTGATTGTCCATTACTTAACTATAAGCCAGATGCTTAAATTTTATCTCTTAAAGAATAAAGAAAATATCCATTCCACTAAAGATAAAAATTTACAAGAACTGGTAACAAGATAAAATCATAATATATTTAACAATAAATAACAAAAGCAGTTGAAGACTTCTTAGAGAAATAGAGTTCCTTTCATGAAGTAATTAGAGAAATTTAAAAGCATTCTGAAGAAAGCCCTAATACATAATAATAGGCAATCTAAATTGAGATAAAAAACACTGAAGATTAACCTATTGAAAATTCAGGATCTCATATACAACCATCTACCACAGCCTCTATTAATAATGGACCTCCATCATAAGCTCTGACCAGAGCAAAGTCTAGTAGATATGTTTTCAATCCATAATCTAAAGGGTCACATCCTAAAAATTATTTTGTTATGGAAAATAATAAAGAAATCACAGAAGAACTAATATTAAAAGAAAACTCATTTATTTACTATCTTTATTTTATTTACTAGTTTCACTCCAATGAAATTGATCTAATGAAAGAATATCAAACTTATATGCCCTAAAATAATTGTACCAATTCTATCAAATAAAGAGAAAAATTTATTGAAAAAAAATTAGCTGCCAGATAAGCAATTGATATATAAGGGTTATCCAAAACTTACATTTATGAAAGACATAGAGATTAGCTCTCATCTTAAATATTTTAACCTCACTGTTGAAATCAAATACATTTTGAACAAAATCAATCAACAATAATCTATTTACTTATATAATAATTTTTATAAATAATGGATTCACCTAGTATCATTGTCTTGAATACCGATTTACCAAGGGGACCATAACTTTCTCCCAAAACTTCCTATATCAGGTATGTTAAGGATTGTTCCTCTTCATATATTTAATAAGAAAGTGAACGAAATTATGATGAAATACTCAGCCAAAATATTAGCGAATCTCATTAAGAAATGAAATTACCTAATATGACATCTAGTAGAAGAACATCTAAAAAGTTAGAAAAAGCATTTAAATTTACTTAAATTGCTAAATAAAATAAAATCATAGAGAAATTCAAAAACAATCTGTTATAATTTTCATACATCATGCCATAAAAATTTAAAAATTAGTTATTATCCATTGAAAATTATCTATAAAAGGATAAACTCAAAAAGACATCAAGTATTTTACTATCCATAATTTATAGGTTAGATTACTGGGAAAAATTAAAATAATATTATTTCTCCATCAAATATATTTTTATTTTATTGGGAAATTTTCAATATTCTCCTACTATTTATTTCTCTCTGGATTTGTGCCCTTATTGTATCATTTCCAAATTCAAATGAGATTCATTTTCAATCTTTTGGTTGTTTATTTATTACCATCAATATAATTGAAATAATAATTTCATTAAATAAAGAAATATATATTGATGGTTAAATCATTCACAATAGAAATGATATTTTTATTAATTACTTTATAAAGTCATCCTTATTAGATGTTTTATCTATATTTATTTGGATTATGGTATCTTTTAGAGCATTAGATTAAAATAGTATCATTTAAATGTTTGCAATCCTGCTTTTGATAATAATTTTTGCTAGAATCTTTCGAGTATATGATTATATTGTAGAATAATTATATTAAAAAGGATTTGGCGATTATGCTTTTGATCTTTTAACTTTAGTTGTAAGTATATACTTCTTCGCTCACATAATGGCTTGTTTATGGTTAATGGTTGGATTAAATTCAAGTGATGAAAGAATGAATTGGATTAGAGACAATGATTTAGAAAATGAATCTATTTGGACTAAATATAATAATGCCTTCTATTGGGCTACAATGACTATGGTAACAGTTGGATATGGTGATATTACTCCAAAAAATAATTATGAAATGGCATTTGCTAATGTAGCAATGTTTTTTTCAAGTTGTGTTTTTGCATACTCGATGAATGCAATAGGAATTTTGCTTAAAGGTTTCAATGATATCAAATAAAATTACAAGTAAGTTATCATAATATTAAAGAAAATCAGTTATAATCATGAATTAGTATATGAAATCTAATAATGTTGATGATTAAATTCAAAACAAAGTCAGAAACAATCTCAAATATTTAATTTACAGTTAGGAATCTGATAATACTGATGCTAAAAAATTAGTAAATAAATTATCAATAGGTCTATAATAAGAATTACATGCAGATATTCTTGGAAAGATTATTAAAAATATAAAAGTATTGTCTTGTAACTTTAGTAAATAAATTTTGTAAGAAATTTAAGGCATGGTTAAAATAGTATAATTTTCACCAGGAGAATTTATTTAAAAAGGCGAAAACATTTTAAATGAAGATGAATTGTTTTTGTAATATATTATCATAAAATTAGATATTATGTAATTAAAGGAAAAGTAAACTTTATTTCGAATACAACTAATTCATTGATTTATACATTAGGATCAGGAGAAACATTTAATTAATATGAATTTTTTACTGGATTTTGTGATTAAAAAATTGATATAATAAGTGATGATTTTTGTTAATTAGTAAAATTGAGTAAATCATAATTTATAAAATTGATATTGGAATCTAAGAAAGATTGGGAAATATTTCATTAAATAAAGGATAATGCAGCAAATAATAATGATTTAACAGATTTAAATTATAAATGTTAATTTTGTCATAGGAGTACACATTTAAGATAAAATTGTCCTCTATTAACATATTAACCTAATATTTAGCATAAATTAAAAAAGTAATAAAAATTAAAAAAAAAGCAACATCGATCCATAACTAATAGAAATTGTGTGAAATTAAACAGTAAAATGATAATGGAGGAAGTAAAAATGAGTATTTAATAATATATGATGAATAACATTACTGATTTTACTGAAAATTTATCAAGGAAAGAATCAAAAGTGATTGAATAAGATGATGATTAACAATTTAAAAAGATAGAATTTATTTCAAGTACTCCAATTTAAGTTAGAAATACTCCAGCTAAAAAAACAACAATAATTTAGAATATAGGAAGTTAAAATTATATTAGAAGTAAATTTTCAGCTGGTACTCCATTAAGAGCAAATAATCAACTAAAATTTAATAAAGAAACTTCGCATTAAAATTCAACAAATTAATCATAACCGATCGTTTCTTAAACTAATTTGTTACCAACACTTTCATTTAAAATGCTTGATCATGTTTTCGACTCTATGAAGTTTAGTTATATTAACATAGATAAAATGTAAAATTATATTAATTATCTACCTCATAATAATTTAAGACGCATTTTGATTTAAATAGATACCTAAAATTAGCAAGTCAGAGATATTGCAAAAGGTATAGTTAAAGTTGATAAATCTTTCGGATTTACTGCAAAATTAAGAAGTCAAAAGCAGAAAAATAATGCTTCAAGATAAAGTTAATTTAATATAAAAACTTGAAAATAATAATATTTTATATAAATGTCTGAAAAACACAGATATTCCAGTTAACAAAAACTTCCAATATTAGATATGACATAAACCAATCGATTTCTAACTGAAGGATTTAATATTAATGTAATATATATTAAACGAAATAGATTACAGTCTAATCAGGTGATGCTTAATTTATTAGTTTTCGATCTTTAAATGAATTAAATCCAAAATATGCTTTTCCAATCAACTCAATGGATAACTCATCATAATTAAACTAAACAATATAGAATGATTTAACATAAAATAAAAAAATGATCTTAATGTTAGGAAAAACTCTATACAAATAAAAAAATGAATATTAAGAATATTAAGAAATTATAATGGTAAAAATATGAATTTAATTAGAAAAAATAAAGAATTGTTTCTAGAATGCAAAAATAAGTGAAAAAAGTTCCCTAAAGGATAGAGCCTTTCAGCAATGATAAATCATCTAACGCTATATAATTAATTCCAAAAAAAAAGGTGACTTTTCCTTTGTATTTTAATGGAGCATTTTTTTCTAAATTATAACATAATTGGATACCTACAATTAGAGAAAATACAATGGCAGCAGATTATTAAAATAAAATATATATGTTTGGTGGAATAGGAAGTGAAGTATTGGGTGATTTAATTGAATATGATATATAAACAGGTAAGTTTAGAGAAATTAAATAAAATGGAGATATTCCTTTAAATCGTTATGGCCATTGTTTACATAGTATTGGTTATCCAATAAATCTATCAACATAATTTTCTTATGATAATCAATAATATAATTAAATTAATGGAAAACAATTAATAATGTATGGAGGAGAGATGTAATATAATTCAGCTTTAAGACTAAGAGAAAATCTAAGTGATACAAGAATTTTTGATTTAGAAACATAAACATGGTAATTATTAAAACCAAACACAGAGAATATTCCTGAAAGCAGAAGATCATTTGGTAGTTGTATTGTAGGAAAAGGACTAATAGTTATGGGTGGTATTAGAAGTCAATTTTCTGTATTTAATGATATTCATTATTTGAATTTAAGTATTTTTACATTTTTAATAAGATATTTGCAAATGGATTTAATTAGATACTTAAAAAAATCCATTTAATAAAGGTTTGGCATTTTAACAATTAGTTTGTATTTATAACAGACCATAAATAATTTTTGAGAAAAAAGATTTAAGAAGTAAACCATATAAAACACCTGAACATGAGGGTATTTACTGTTTTGGAGGATGTTATATTGATGAAAATAAAAATACATAATACTACAATAATTTCATGGCAATCTTAAAATTAGACTAACCAAATAATTCTTGGATTATACCAGAAACATTAGGTAAATAGCCTGTTTCTAGAATTCAGCATACAGCATCATTTGTATAAGAAATGAATATAATTATTATTTTTGGTGGTAGAGATGATGCTAGAAGTCATCCTTATTTTAATGACTTATTTGCATATAAAATTTATGAAAAGGAATGGGTTTAATTAGAAATATATGGTTATTTTCCAAGACCTAGAGCATCTCATTCTGCTGTAGCATACAAAAGTTAAGTTTTATTTTTTGGAGGTGTCAGTATGAATGGATATTTAGAATTTTCAGTTAATACTGCAGAATTTAATCAAAATCAAATTCGATAATTATAAGCAGAAATGAAAACCTATGAACCTATAACTAATCTTCAATCTCCTAAAGAAGATTTTTAAAGACCATCAATTCTAAATAAATAGTACTTTTCTTTACATTAAATTACTCCTATTTAAAAAAATAAGTAAATAAATAAAGTAGATGAAATGAATTAATAAATTTAAGAATTGTCTTTTTCTAAATTTCCATTACATCTTAAACGAACTTTATGATTGATATAAAATTGATAATTATATAGATGAATTCATTCCATATTCAATGTTTTCTAATACAAATGACGTAATTTAAGTGCTTTTATCTTGACTCTATAAAAAAATGTATATTTATTTATATTCTAAATATGCTTTTCAAGTTTTCTTTGATACTTTAAATTGTATTTTTCAACAGATTTAATAATATTTTCAAAATTATGTTATGGAAAATACTTTTCATATGACTACTACTAATCAGATTAAATAACTGACGGAAACCATCTTGCATTTATATATAAATCATCAATCATATTAAAATCTTTTAAAATATTTGTCTATTCCTTATAAGTTTATCTCTTGACTGATGTTTAATGTTCTAATTAAGATAAAGGATCTGTTTTAATTGCAATTTTATTCATAGAGCATTCTACATATTAGGGTTTTAATTCTTAATCTTATTCATCACCAGCCAAACAACAAGATCTTTTTTATTCATTGTTTTGAATTTCAGAAAAATTGTTAGTTTTAGATCTATTAGCTATTATAGCAACTTGTAAAGAATTAGATACTTCTCCTCCTCCTGTTTCTTCTAAAAAACACCTTACAGATCTTGATATATCTGATTATGTTGAAATGCTTTTTATTTTTCTACCATTTCTTAGAATTTTTTATCTTTTCTAATTTTAAGGGTAAAAATTGCTTTTTTTTATCCTTTATTCAATATCTGGTTTATATGTTAAAACAGGACAATCAACTTCTTAATGATTTTATCTATCACAATATTTACATTACATATAAAATAATCTGTAATTAGAATTAAAAATTATTTAATCCTTAATATAATGAAACATTTCAAAATCTCTTTTATTGAATTATAAAATTTCTAAAAACTTATTTCTACTTATTCTATAAATATTAGAAAAACCAATGCTAACTGCAGATGTTTTAGGAGGAAAATCTGTGAAAAATTAAAAAATTCCAAATTATTGATGCTAAATAAGTGTTGAGAATTTCCTTTTACTTTAATCATCTTAAATATCCACTTCTCCTTCAATAATAAAATAAAGGTTTTTATCTGAAATATCTCCTTTTTTGTAAATTATATCTCCAGGAGCGTATTTTACTAAATCTAAACTTTTAGATAATAATTATTAAGTATTTGATGAAAAATGATTTATAACTAGTTTTGCTTTATTAATAACTTTTCTCTAAATATCGGTATTAAGATCTGATTATAAATTTTATGGCAATATTCCGATAAGTCTATTAATATCTTCTAAGTTTTCATTTTATTCTGATTCTATGTAATATTTTAAATAATTTCTAATTCTACTTTGTATTTATGGCTCAACGCAATTCTTACTCATATAATTGTTCATTTATAATAAAGATCTTTTGTATTTCAATTTTGCATCATAAATATTTTTTAGGATCATCCCAATAGAGTTCATTGAATATGCAAATATTCCGCTAGACAAAAACATTACAATATCAACAAAAATAATTTCTAATTGACTTTATGCAATTAAATCTCCATAACCAACTGTTGTCATAGTCATTGTAGCCCAATAAAATGCATAATTATACTTCATCCATATAGATTCATGTTCCAAATTATATTTTATTAACCAAGAGTTCTCTCCTGATTTTAATCCAACAAAATGCCAAAAACATGCTACTGTATGAGCAAAAAAATAAATTGAACAAATTAAACTTAAAAGATCCATTACATAGCTAGATGCTCCTTTAAAAAAAACATATTAAAAATAGTCAGAAAAGTATTTTTAAATTTTATTAAATGTAACTATCAATTGACAGATAGCTATACATTCTCCAATTATTTCAACAGACATTAATTTTTATTAGATTAAAATCCATAAACCTAAATTTGCTAAATCATTAATTGCATTAGTTTAGAAATATTATTGAATTAGTTTTTTTCGCTTTTTAATTACGATCCCCTAAACTATAATACCTTTGTTAAAAGAAATAAAAATATCAAAAATTAAAAGTAGAGTGATTAATTGCTAAATTGCTGAGAAAGAGAAACAATTTTCTAAATTGCCAAATGAAAATAAAAAAGGAGTTAACCATAAAATTATAAAATTAAGTATTATCCCTATCGCATCCCAAATGACAACAAATAAACTTGTTGGCAAAATGATCGGTATTCTTGATTAAGAAAAGGTTTCTAATCATATTAATAAATCAATTTACCCAAATTTTGTTATTTTTTTCCGTCATTTATGTATTTATCCTACAAAAGTTATTTTTTTTTATTCTAAATTATATATGAATTTGTAAAAAGATTATTAATAAATTGCTTTTTGATTCTCTCTGTTTTTAATATTTTAAGAAAATTGTCTTGGCCTAAAGTATAAGCTTCAATATTTGATGATTTAAAAGGATATTTAAATGTTATTGATTCACTGGTTATTTTGGCACTATGTGTTAATTATTATTCTTAGATTATCAATCTTGGTAATCTGATATTGTTTCGAGTACTCTATTTATTCCTAACACATTCCATTATTTGTCTTTCACTATCATCAGAAATCTCAGATAATCTAGAAACTGATTCACTTTTAGAATTAATTTACTTAGAGATTGTTCTTGGTTTAGAGTTAGAATATTGATTGTATTGTTACATAATTTAATTTAAAAAATATTTTAGAATTCATTCATATTATTTAATATTTTTGATGATGCCTTCTTTTATATAAATTGTTTAAATAATTATTAAAATAAAATTATAAAATTTTTAAAATCCATTAAAATATCACATAAGACCAATATAAATTGTTACTTTAGATAATTTTTTTTATTTTTATTAGTTAATTTAAATCCAAACATTTTTATGAGAGTAATTTATACATACAATCCATATTATTTTAATCATTATTTATAATACAATCAAACACACTTGAATAAAAGATTATAAATAATTTTACTTAGATGAAGGAGGTTTCTAAGGAAATTAGCCTTCTTTTGATATAGATTACATCATCTCATACAGTTACTTCATATCAAAATATAATTCTTTTTTTGTCCTGTTATAATTCACCTTTATACAAAATTACTTCTCCCTTATTATTCTTTAGAACATATGCACAAGACAGGAGATTAATTTTTAAACTTTTAATGGTTATACTTCAAAGTTTTATCAATTTTTTTTCTTTTTTTTAGGTTATCAATCAATCTTTAATTCTAAATACAAGACCTGGTTTTGGTCTTAATTTAAAATGTTCATAAATTTTTCAACTTAATTCGATTCTTCTTGAATATCCTGATCGTTATTGCATTCAATAAGTTTCTTAACAGAGAGATTTGAACAAAGAATTTATATTGAATTCACTATTTTAAAATAAAATTAATTGTAATCTTGAGGAAAGTTATTTAAAGTGCAAATTCATTATTAAATTCTTCTGGATAGTTTACTTTATTAATTTGAATATTTATCCCTTTTTTTTTTATTCTGACAATTCGATATCTTTATATATTTCTTCAGTGAGTTTTAGTAATTTTTATCTCATGTTTTAGATGAAAACAAATTTTATTAAATATAAATTGTTTTTTTGGAATTAATGTGATGATGATTGTTTTATATTTTAGAATATACATATTGAAAATCATATTAATTTAAAGATTCCTATTTGTAAGTTGAGTTTTTTTTGTTCTTTTTATTTTAAGAAAATTATTAAATAAAATAATCAAATTAAAATAGTATTCAATCAACAATTTTTAAATCTAATTCTTCAAAAAATTTAGAAAAGTATTATTATTGAATTTGTAGCAGAATGATCTTGATACATTTATAATTATTATTATTTTAATTGAAAAAAGAAAATAAATTTAGATTTGAAAATTATGATGAATTCTGTAATTAAACTGTTTCTCTAATTTTAGTAATTACTAAAAATAGTGAAAATTTTTGTTTTAAATTTCTTTATAAAGTTGAAAGAGAGTATTAATAACTTAAATAAAATGAATTACTTAATTGTAGCAACCATTATTTTATTAACAGGAGCAGATAAAACAATGTGTCCACTTGAGATAGATACATCAGTATCTTGTACAAAAGAACATAAACCTGTATGTGGATATTCAGCAGAAGGACTAGTAATTTTTAAGTTAAAATTTAGTAAATTGGAACATTATTTAATGCTTGTTTTGCTTGTAGAGCTGAGAAAGTTAGATATTATGAAAATGATGCTTGTAAAGTATAAAGTTCAGAAACTACAACAAATACAAGTTCAGAAACCTCTTCATAAACAACATCAAATAGTAATACAATATATAAATGTAATATTCCAAAATCAGATAATCCAATATGTCCTGCTATGTATTGATTAATAATAAACTTAGTTTTAAACCTGTTTGTGGATTATTTATATCAAGCATCTAATGTTTTAAGTAACCATGTGGAAGAACATTAGGAAATGAATGTGAAGCTTGTTCAGATAAAAATATAGATTCTTATTTTTATGGAGAATGTGAAGAAATTCCTAAAGAGTATCTTTTTGATTTTAATAATTTTAGAGATCCATAAAACCCACCTGATGATAGTATAACTTATTGTACAGAACCAAGACCAGATATTTGTACTCTCGAATATATAGAAACTTGTGCTTTCCTTTCAACGCCATGTTTTTCTGATTCTTGTATGAAATCTGTTGGAAACTAATGTGATGCATGTTCTAATAAGGATGTAGTTGGATATGTCAAATAATCATGTGCAAAATATTAGTATAGATTTAATATTAATTAATTAGATAAACATATACATAAGATGAAACTAATATCAATTAGAAGGATCCTAAATCTAATTCTTAAAATGATGAATAAGATTTAGATCAGAACAACAATACATTATAATAACAATGTAGTGTATTAAAACCGAGTGCTTGTGATGATGTTGTAAAGGAAGTTTGTGCAACTTATAAATGCAATGATTCTACTTGTTAAAAAGAATATCAAAATGAATGCTAAGCTTGCTTAGATTCAACAACAATTTCATATAGTTAGGGTAAATGTTAAACTCTCTCTGGAACCATCTTGAGTATCATGAGTTTAACCTTATTTATATAACTAATTATTTGAAATGAATATTCAATAAATACATATACAGAATTAAAAATATATGAACAAATTATTATTAATATTTATAACAACATACAGAAATCATTTTATTTCGGGTATTTCAATATAATTTAATTATGTATGATCCTACAAAACTTTTAGAGATCGATGACTTCTTGAAAAATTCCATATGTGATTATTAGAGCCATAATACTCTTTATTGCATTCATAACATACTAAGAATATAGCAACTGGAACTGTTGCTAAAGATATTATTTTTAATAAAGAATATATTAAAACCTATAACAAATAACATTATACTGTTAGAATCGATATTGGTAAGAAAAAGTGGGTACACTCTATAGTTGTAGAAGATAAAAAATAAGCTAAACTATCCCAACTGAATTAAACTCCATACTACAATAAACCACTAACTTCATATTAAATATTGTTATATATACTTTTTAATATTTTAATCTATGTTAATCTTGTTTCTAATTTAAGAATCTAATGAGCAAATGAATCATTTTTATTATCCAACTTTTTATATCATACAATTATTACTAAGTATTCTTTGTATTAATGCAATTAGTGAACGCACTAAAATCCAAAGACAAATGCTACGATTGACAAGATCAAACCAATGAAAGACATTAACAGATTCGATATCTCATTGCACTGATAACTTTTTGTTTTTCCACAATAAAATACACACTCTTTTGATCACCGTTTATGCCTTGATATAACCAAAATAATCCAATCAAGCACAATCCTAAACGGCCTGCATTAAAAAGTTGCTCATGCTTTTCTTTATCTAAAATAACACTTATTAAGATTATGCATATTAATAATTCTAAAACCAATCCTATACATCTTAAGCTAATTAACCAAATATAGGATTCTACATATTTAGAGAGTTTTTGTACTTGCAAACATAAAGTAAATCACTTAGAGTACCATCTAAATAATACCTAACCCACATAGTGTTTAATCAATTAATAATAATATTCCATTATTCTTCTCAAACATTATTTTAGCTTTCATTATGAAATAATACAATATCCCACTACTTATTATCAAATTAATAAGACTCTCTGAGCATTAATAATTAGTTTAACATTTATATAATGCTCCCATGAATTAAATTATATTTATATAATATATATTTAGATTTTTATAGTGGTAAATGGTAATTTTATGGCTTTTAAATAATTATCAGATAATTATCTTCTAAATTCAAGATAGTATGTCAAAATGGTTCAAAGGATAATCAAAAATGAATTGAAAATATGAAAGATGACCAAATTATAATACGCAATATGATCTATATAAAAGATTTGATTAATTCAGATTTACAAATATTTGAGGTAATTTAATTATTGTTTGTTATGAACTCAGGTGAAATAATTTAAAATATGATCGATGATACATCTCTATCATCTGAAGATGAAGAATAAACTTCTATGATTATCGAGAATGATCCAACTGGTCGTTTTAGTAAAGTATTAAAAATCAATATATAATATAGTACAATGAAGAGATAGGTAAAGGTGCATATAAGAGTGTTTATAGAGGTTATGATAATGAAAGTGGATGTGAAGTGGCTTGGAATGTATTTTAATTGATGAATGTTTCTGAGAGTATTTTAAAATCTAGATAATTTGTAGATGAGATAAGAAGAGCCAAATAAGAGATAGCAATATTAAAAACGTTGAAACACAAAAATATTATAAGTTTTATCCATTCATGGCATAGTAAATCAAAAAAAGAAATTGTTTTCATCACAGAAATTGTTAATGGAGGTTCTTTGAAAAAGTAAGTTTAAAAGCATAATAAATTAGTTACCTTAGGAGAATAACAAGACCTAAGTTAAAAGTCATTAGATACTGGTGTAAACAGATATTGGAAGGTTTAGAATACATGCATTAATAAAACATGATCCATAGAGATTTGAAATGTGAAAATATATTGATTGATACCAATAATAATGAGTTAAAAATTGGTGATCTTGGTTTATCAATATAGTAATCATTAAAAATTAATTAAGAGAATGTAATCTAATAATACAAGTTCAGTATTGGGAACTCCAGAATTTATGGCACCTGAAATTTATTAAGGAAATTATGACACAAAGGTTGATATTTATGCTTTTGGAATGTGTGTTCTAGAAATAGTTACTGGAATGAAACCTTTTTGTGAATGTAAAGGTGGAACTGGTTAAGTCATTAAAAAAGTTATGGAAGCTCAAAAACCTTAAAGTTTAGAAAGTATTATGAATGAGAAAATAAAATCCATTATTTTGGAGTAATCAAACAATTATTATATTTAGATGTCTTAAACCTGCTAATGAAAGACCCACTGCCACTTAATTATTGCATCAATATTTTTAATCTACTAATTTTGATGAAGACAATTAACCTGTTTAATTAAATGAATCATTACTTAATTAGATTTCACATGATAGCAAAAGTATTGTGTCTTTTTATATTTAGATCCATCCTTTTTAAAAAATAATTAATCTAAAAATATTAGTGAACTAAAAAGCATTAATAATCAAATTAATCATAACTTTATTAACTAAAATAATAAACTTATCTCATTATAGGAATTCAACCCTAATTCAATGAAATAATCTGATGTAAGACATTGTGAATAATAAAATAAGTTAACCATTGATACTGTTGAAGATTTCTCAATTGAATAATAATTTGGCAAGCAATATAAGGAATATTATGTATTTCTATTAGTTTACCATTTAGATTACTCAAAATGATGAAACCTTATAAGACTTAGAATAAAGACAAGAGAGAGAATTACAATTGTTACTTGCCCTCCATAAATAACAAAAAGCAGATCTCTCTAATAAACTATAATAAACCAATATAACAACCATACCATATGGATCTGGGTTTTTATCTCCCAAATCATTCTCTACATTATTTGAATTTAATAATGACTAATTTCTATAATTACAAGGAAATTAATAACAATAGTTACATTAGTCATAAGTTCTTAAAGTATTTCCTATTCTTGATAATACTATTTCAGAGGAAAACGGGAAAAAACTTTACAGTAGAGAGGATGAATTGACAATGATTTAATCAGTAAGATTCAATTTTATAAATTAGAAACAACCATGTAAATTTTCTACAGAAGTTGTAATGTAATCAAAAGTTTAAAATGTCAGAACAACTATTTAAGGTTGATTTATTAAAATCATCACTATAATGTTAATATTGACTATTTATTTATATATTCGATATTTAAAAAAACTATTACACTTATTATTGGATTTAGTATTATTTTCAATAATAAAATCATTGTTTAAAATTAAATGAAATAATATAAATCAAAGATCTAGTTTATCACTAGTTTGTGATTAATACATCATCTATGATGCTTATTGTTATTATTATTATTATTGATAACATGTAACATGATAATTATATCCGGAAAGATATTATGGGTTGGAAGTAAAATTATTATTTAAATGAGTTGGTAAGTTAAGATAAGATCTTGTAGGAGGAAGTTAATTAAAATTCATAGGATTGTTCATTGCCATACATTAATAATAATAAGAGTTTAAACTTTAATGTTCAGAGAAACATTCTAAATTATTATTTTATTAATTCTGTTATTAACCAAGTTCAATGTTTGTATTTAGAGCAACATTATTTTAAAAATTTAGATTATTTACAGCAGGTTGAGCTCCTAAAAAACTAGACAAGTTAATTAATGGATTGTTATTGATTTAATTTTAATTTTTTGTATAATTATTGAATTAATCTTAATTTAAAAAATAAATGAATCCTCTCTCTTTATTTACTAAACAGAAAGATAATTAACTCTAATCTTCATTTTAATTATATTCCATAACTTATAATTAAATTTAATTAGAATTGTTATTAATATGTTCATTCAAATTAGATTGAGTAAAGTTCTCAATATTAATATTGATATTGTTGAAATTGTTTACATTTTAAATTTTATTGTTGTTCGTATTATCCTATTGTTATAATTTATTTTTTAAAGCTCTTCTATCCAATTAAACCTTTTTTGATACTTGATCTTAATATTCTTATTTGATTTCATAAGAAGATCCATCCTGTTTCATTCTCCATTCAATCTTTTTGATTATTGCTTAAATTTATTTGATTTCTTCTGGATTTAATTCTTCAGCTGATGGATCTGATAGATATGATTCTTATTAATTATCATTANCCAAATCATTCTCTACATTATTTGAATTTAATAATGACTAATTTCTATAATTACAAGGAAATTAATAACAATAGTTACATTAGTCATAAGTTCTTAAAGTATTTCCTATTCTTGATAATACTATTTCAGAGGAAAACGGGAAAAAACTTTACAGTAGAGAGGATGAATTGACAATGATTTAATCAGTAAGATTCAATTTTATAAATTAGAAACAACCATGTAAATTTTCTACAGAAGTTGTAATGTAATCAAAAGTTTAAAATGTCAGAACAACTATTTAAGGTTGATTTATTAAAATCATCACTATAATGTTAATATTGACTATTTATTTATATATTCGATATTTAAAAAAACTATTACACTTATTATTGGATTTAGTATTATTTTCAATAATAAAATCATTGTTTAAAATTAAATGAAATAATATAAATCAAAGATCTAGTTTATCACTAGTTTGTGATTAATACATCATCTATGATGCTTATTGTTATTATTATTATTATTGATAACATGTAACATGATAATTATATCCGGAAAGATATTATGGGTTGGAAGTAAAATTATTATTTAAATGAGTTGGTAAGTTAAGATAAGATCTTGTAGGAGGAAGTTAATTAAAATTCATAGGATTGTTCATTGCCATACATTAATAATAATAAGAGTTTAAACTTTAATGTTCAGAGAAACATTCTAAATTATTATTTTATTAATTCTGTTATTAACCAAGTTCAATGTTTGTATTTAGAGCAACATTATTTTAAAAATTTAGATTATTTACAGCAGGTTGAGCTCCTAAAAAACTAGACAAGTTAATTAATGGATTGTTATTGATTTAATTTTAATTTTTTGTATAATTATTGAATTAATCTTAATTTAAAAAATAAATGAATCCTCTCTCTTTATTTACTAAACAGAAAGATAATTAACTCTAATCTTCATTTTAATTATATTCCATAACTTATAATTAAATTTAATTAGAATTGTTATTAATATGTTCATTCAAATTAGATTGAGTAAAGTTCTCAATATTAATATTGATATTGTTGAAATTGTTTACATTTTAAATTTTATTGTTGTTCGTATTATCCTATTGTTATAATTTATTTTTTAAAGCTCTTCTATCCAATTAAACCTTTTTTGATACTTGATCTTAATATTCTTATTTGATTTCATAAGAAGATCCATCCTGTTTCATTCTCCATTCAATCTTTTTGATTATTGCTTAAATTTATTTGATTTCTTCTGGATTTAATTCTTCAGCTGATGGATCTGATAGATATGATTCTTATTAATTATCATTATCACTTTCATCTTAAGATTAAGGTATATTTTTGCCACTCTTTTCTTTTCTCATTAAACAATTAAATCTATTTTTTACATTGTTTTCACTTCTCTATAATTTCAACTTTTTAGAAATTAAAGCCCATTTTTTTCCATTTTAAATGGCCAATCTCATGAGTTCCAAATCTTCTAATTATTACCATGGATTTCTATTTATTAATAATTTATAACCTATTAATTGATGGGTTTAGGTGATTATTCCATCTCTCTCGACATTACTTTCCATTTCTATGAACATTGAGACCTGTAGTTTTATTAAGTTCAGTTGCAATTTAACTCCATTTATTTCCTTTATTCTAAGCTTAAAATTCACTTATAATTCGAACTAAAGCTTCATCTTCATTTTGTCCCCATGGAGCTTATTAAAGAGGTAATTTTAACATCTAAAGCCACTTTTACTTACACTGGAAAGAATCTCTTCTCAACATCATTGATGATATAGTCTACCAGTCTTCTTCACACTATTGTAAGATTATAGTTCAAAAAATTACAATTTGTTTGAAATCTCTTTTGTTGTAAGCCATATACTTTCCTATTATCCATATTAATACTCTTTTGTCATCATCTGACCAGTTCTTTTTTAATTTTGTGTTTCCAGACTACATGCTAACTTAGTTATTCTTTTAAAAGTTTAAAATCTCCAGATTATCAGGGAATTGTTCTAAACCTAAATTATATAATTCTTTCATATAGGTGAATCTAACATTTGTGATGTCTTTAACTTTATCATAAAACTCTTTAAATTAAACATAGAAATCTTCCATTTTAATATTTATGGAATTATAAAATTATACAAATTATACTCTTCACTCTTGCCTTTAAGATGTACCAGTTAAACTGACTATCTCTAATTTATCGGACGGAAACAGTATTTTGAATTCTCTTGTAAAAATAAAATTTACACCTTAGATAAAAGATGAAAATAAAGACGAACAACTAATTGTTAGTACATAATTATACATTAATGGTTGATTATTATTCTTAAACAAGTCATTTAAGCCATTTAGTAGGCATTATTTGTAAAAATTAGAAATTATTTTTTTTAATTCCAATATTAACGATTTATCATACAATTCATTTAGAGCTTTGATAATATTCAGTGTTCAACAAAAATATGATTAAAAAACCTCCGAGATCAACTAAATCTCCTTTGTTTGATAAAAATCTAAATTAATAGAACCTAAAATAAATTTGCTTACTTGGCCTAATACAGAACCAGATATAAGTTTAAACTCTAAAACTATAGTTCTTGTTGATGATTGAAATATTTAAGACTTGATTTTTTGTCTTCGAAAAATAGGCGAAGTCTCTAAAAGAGATTAAAATAACAATAATAAAAATTTTTCAAAATAAAACCTTCAAATAAGATTGTTTTATTTCAGCAAAATCTAACCACAGCATTTTTAGAAGTTTAATTAATTTATATTTCTAATGATCTACATATTTTTAGGATTAAAATGATTAGAAAAATTTTTAAATTATCCATACCTTTGGAGAAAGACATTTAGAAAATTTATTTTAAAAAATGAGGGCAAAATGTTTCATATAAATTTTGTATTTAATTTAGGTTATAATCATAAATCTTTTCCTCCTTCATTTAAATTATGCCCATAAATGGTAGAAACTTTATGAGTATAGAAATCAGAATTACATACATAAAATAAAAATGCTTTGAATTTTATGTTTATGAATGAAGATATGCAAAAATAATCATCAATCTACTTTATTGATGGCTGATGTTGGGATTAAAAATTATAGTTAAGAAGCAATAGAATAATTGTATGAAAAACTAAGATTGAATCACACTGATGAGAATGCTGAGATTCACTTTTAGGATTTATTAGAAGAATCTATGAATACTTTATTTTCTGACAAAATACATTTTTAGGGGATGAGAAAATGATATTTTTGTAAATTTACAAAGTTTTACCTATTCTTATTATTGTAACCTTTCTATTTCAATAAAAGTAATTATATTTTATTCTACATTTTCATCATATTTNATCTTCCATTTTAATATTTATGGAATTATAAAATTATACAAATTATACTCTTCACTCTTGCCTTTAAGATGTACCAGTTAAACTGACTATCTCTAATTTATCGGACGGAAACAGTATTTTGAATTCTCTTGTAAAAATAAAATTTACACCTTAGATAAAAGATGAAAATAAAGACGAACAACTAATTGTTAGTACATAATTATACATTAATGGTTGATTATTATTCTTAAACAAGTCATTTAAGCCATTTAGTAGGCATTATTTGTAAAAATTAGAAATTATTTTTTTTAATTCCAATATTAACGATTTATCATACAATTCATTTAGAGCTTTGATAATATTCAGTGTTCAACAAAAATATGATTAAAAAACCTCCGAGATCAACTAAATCTCCTTTGTTTGATAAAAATCTAAATTAATAGAACCTAAAATAAATTTGCTTACTTGGCCTAATACAGAACCAGATATAAGTTTAAACTCTAAAACTATAGTTCTTGTTGATGATTGAAATATTTAAGACTTGATTTTTTGTCTTCGAAAAATAGGCGAAGTCTCTAAAAGAGATTAAAATAACAATAATAAAAATTTTTCAAAATAAAACCTTCAAATAAGATTGTTTTATTTCAGCAAAATCTAACCACAGCATTTTTAGAAGTTTAATTAATTTATATTTCTAATGATCTACATATTTTTAGGATTAAAATGATTAGAAAAATTTTTAAATTATCCATACCTTTGGAGAAAGACATTTAGAAAATTTATTTTAAAAAATGAGGGCAAAATGTTTCATATAAATTTTGTATTTAATTTAGGTTATAATCATAAATCTTTTCCTCCTTCATTTAAATTATGCCCATAAATGGTAGAAACTTTATGAGTATAGAAATCAGAATTACATACATAAAATAAAAATGCTTTGAATTTTATGTTTATGAATGAAGATATGCAAAAATAATCATCAATCTACTTTATTGATGGCTGATGTTGGGATTAAAAATTATAGTTAAGAAGCAATAGAATAATTGTATGAAAAACTAAGATTGAATCACACTGATGAGAATGCTGAGATTCACTTTTAGGATTTATTAGAAGAATCTATGAATACTTTATTTTCTGACAAAATACATTTTTAGGGGATGAGAAAATGATATTTTTGTAAATTTACAAAGTTTTACCTATTCTTATTATTGTAACCTTTCTATTTCAATAAAAGTAATTATATTTTATTCTACATTTTCATCATATTTATTTATTATCTAAATATTTTTTTTTATTATAACTCTGACTCGATATAATTTTAATTATTTATGCTTCTTCCAAGTTTATTTCTCTTAAAAATTCTTTGATTTCTAACATTTTTCTTAGGGTCAAGTAGAATTCATCTTTTTCACTATATATTGCTAAAATTTTATAATTTTTGCCTTTAATGAATCTTCTTCAAAGATTTAATTTTTTTAAAATTGATTTATTTTTCCTTAAAAGGATATTGTTTTTTTCATAATTTCTTACAGAATTACTTGTAGTTTGTATTGTTGCATTCAATAATAATTTTTTTTTCTTGGATAAAAAGAATATTTATTAATTAAATATATATAAAGAGTAATGGAAAATCAATGAAATAATTAGCTTGTCATAAATATATTGGATTTAAATTGTGTTTTTCAAGTTGAGCATTTTATCTTTCAATGATTTTTTTTAAGGTTGATATTTCTTATTTGAGTTCCTGTTCCCTTAATTCCCATTTTCTAAGAGTTGTCTAATAATTATCCATCATGTGCTTAGTTCTTTCAACAATTTTTAGTAATTACTATTATAGTTTTTGATTTGTTCCATTTCCTTAGAATGGATTGATAGAATTAGTTTGTTGCAATATTTTACTGCTGCTGTTAGAATTGCCTTTGTTATTTTTCATACCTTAATTAGGACTAGTACTGCTTGCCAAACTAATGGTTGTAGATTAACTAGATTATTTTGGTTTGTTCTGCTTTATTGATACATCCATTTAGTTATTCTCAGTTTTACATCTACTGTTAAATATGCTCTATCTCTTTTCATTACTATGTGAACTGTTATTAAAAAATTCATGAAAACTATTTATATTTGAATAGTTTAATATTGTGGGCTAACTATTTTATATTTTATGTTTTGATAATTTGACTTTTGAGGTTCTTATTTAAGCAGTTATCATAATATGAATAATTAATATTATCTTAACTAATTGTTTATTTATGATTGACGAAAGGGAATTATTTATTTGACAAATAAAAACTAATAACAGTGTATTTATTTGATTTAAGAAGAAGAAAAAGTATTTTTAAAAAGTGAAATAAAACTATTACTTTATTAAGAAGTACTTTTTTAGTACTGTTTCGATAATACTTTTAAATATTAATTGTCTTGAATAGTAAATCAATAAGAATTATTAGAATGAATTTTTTGGTTTGTTCTTACTAATCATTAATTTTAATATTTTTAATATCAAATGAATTTATGTGATTGATAATAATATCAATTTTATAATATAACTAAACTTTTATTATATTCAAAACATCTATTTTCAAATTCATTGAGATGAATAGTAAACTCATAATGAATTCTATAAATTGTTATGTTTATATGTATTTATTTAGTTATTTTCTAAAAATCTGTTAAAAGTATTATTTAATAATATATATGATTGCTTAAAAAAATACTAAAATTTAAAAAGATCATAATTTGATAGGAAGTTGTGAAATGGAGGATTTAACAAGTAATAAAATAGATGACTATCTGATAGTTTATCCTTACGAATTAGTAAATAGAGAGTTCTTTGGGTTTATTGAAAAAACATCTTTTATTAAGGAAAATTATGAATTGTTATCTAAAGTAGGTTAAAATTTACGATTGAATTATAAAGATTGGCTTTCAGTTGATTAAGCAATCTTACTTTTTTAAAAGAATATGTATCATTTTTATTGAATTTTAAAGATAAAATGCTAAGAAAAAATCAATAAAATGGAGTGATTTCGAGAAGAAACTGTTTTATTGGATTGTTATGCGATATTATATATATAATGGAATTAAGGATAATAAATAATTAGTATAGAATATATTAATTTTCTAAAAGGTTACAGAATAATGGAGAGAAATATCAAAAATGGTTCTAGGAAGAAATGCTCATTAATGTAGATTAAAATGGGAATAGAAATATAAAATTCCATTATCTGAGGCACCTTGGACTGAATAAGAAGACAACCTACTTTACTAAGTTCATGAGTAAGAGAATTTCTAAGTATTAGAGAATTTAAGAAAATAGGTAAGGAAAATAAGTGGTCCTAAATTTCAAGGGAAATATATAAAAGATCTAATAATAAAAAATTTAGGTAGCCTAAGTAATGTAGAGAAAGATGGATTAATCGACTTGATCCAAATATTTCTAAGTACTTTAAAATAATTAAATAGCGATCCTTGGAATAAATAATAAGAAATAGATTTGTTAAAAACAATACTAATGAGAGGTAAAAAATGGTCAGAACTTTCATCATTATATGGAAGGGTTAGAACTGAGAATTCATTAAAGAACAAATACAATTCACTTCTTAAAAGAGAAAAAATGAAATATGAGTTTGAAACGATAAATCCTCATTTATTTGAAAGAGTCTAAAAGTTGCGAAAAGACTATGCTAAAAGATATGGTAATATTACACCAATTGAAGAAATCGATAACTATGAATGGCAGTTTATAGTTTTAGCAATTTAAGGCTTATATATTGAATAATGCATATAGGAAGGAAAAATTGAAGAAGCTTAAAAAATTAATAATGACGACTTTTTTAATTTATTTCATGAAGATACTTCAATTAAAACAAACAAAAGTATTTTATATAAAAAAGAACTCACTATTTAGAAACTAGATCCTAATTTAGTTCTCAATAATGAAAAGTGTGGTGTAGTTATTTTTAATAATAAAAATAATAAATTATATCTTACACCTTATAATGTGATAGACTTCTAAAATATAGTTCTAAATCAAATCAAAAAGAAAGTTAAAATAGAAGATAATACAACTACTTCATCTACTTAATCTGATCCAAACTAGAATTATTTAAGAACTTCGATAGGAACTTAATCAATCTAATAACTCTTATATCTAACTAATTAGCATAGTTATTATGTTCCTATTAATTAAAGTATTTTCAATAGTTATTGGCTACCACCTGTCTTTCCTTAATAAATTGTATCTTCATAAGTTTAAAATAATAATTTTATAAGTCATTAATAATAATTTTAAGATGATAAATTAAAAGAAAATATTGAATTGAAAAAAAAAGAAGATTTAAATGATATTTTCGAGTAGTGTGGAGTTGATATCAAAATAGTTAATTCAGATGATGAAAAATGACATAAAAATTAATGTAATATATTTTTTAACTATTTAATTATTTAATTTACATTAATTTTAAATAATTTCTAATTATCAATGATATAACATATCAAATAATTTCACATTATTAATGTTGAGAAAGTAGTATTGATAGAAATTTTGCAATATTTGATGAAAAAAAAATTTTAGTTTTTAATATGTAAATTAGAAAATAAAAATGCATTATAAATTATAGTCTCAAAATTAAATTGGTTTAGGATAAATAAATATGGTTAGAAATTTTAAATAAAAATTTAATAAATTAAAATTAACATCATGCTGATTTTCTCTTTTAATCATTATCATTTTACATTTTCAATTAATTTAATAAATAATTTTTTTAATCTTATTGGTTTATTTAATTTTCACTTTCAAATGTATTTAATCTTTTACTTTTCAATCTTTGTGTACATTATTATTCAATTTAATTATTTCTTGTTCCACCAGTACTTTCTTGAAAATTGGCTTCATTAGTATTATAATAAAACTATTTTAGTATAATTTCTTTAGGAAAATTTTCAGAGATGTTCTATTAAAGAGGTTTTATAAAAGCTAAGAATTAAGCTTCACCTTAGCCAAATTCTTCTTCATCAAAATTAAACGAATAATGATCTGGTTTAAATGGTGGTTCAACCTTTTTTTATAAAATATCTTTATATAAATTTTTATCACCCCATTATATCATCCAAGGGTGTTTTAATAAAGTATCTATAGAATCAATTCTATTTTTTGGATTTTTAGCTAATAAATTATTTAATAAATCTTTAATTTAAGGAGACATTTATAATTATGGAGGAAAATTTAATTTTTAATTAAGAATTCTAGTGTAAATTTCTTCTGTATTCCTTGAATAATAAGGAGGTAAACCAGTAACTAATTCATATAACAAAGCTCCTAAACAATATAAATCAAGTTAAAATGTATGACCAGATTTTAATAGCATTTCTGGTGCCATATACTCTGGTGATCCACAAAATGAATATCCTATATCTTAATCTGTCATATTAGGTTTTGATAATCCAAAATCTGCAATTCTAACATGTCCATCAAAATCTATTAAAATATTCTCAGGTTTAATATCTCTATAAATAATGTTATTTTCATGTAAATTTTTCATTCCTAAGCATATTTCTGAAAAGTAAAAAAAGGCTTCTTCTTCCTTCATTCTCTTTACCTAAAGAAATGAATTTAATGGATAATACCTTCCTCAATAAATAAAACAATTCTCCTCCAGAACAATACTCTAAAACAAAAACTAAATATTTTCTAGATTCAAAAGCATATTGCATTTTCACTATAAAAGGATGATTAAGAATAGACATGATATCTCTCTCATTTTAGATAATTGTCTATTTATTCTATTAGATAATGGGACTCTTTTCTATTAATTTCATTGCAAAATATTATCCTGATTTTCTTTCTCTGACCATGTATACTTTAGAGAATCCTCCCATTCCAATACATCTTATAAATTCAAAGTCTTTTAAACTTACTCGAGGAGTTTTTATTTCATTTTCTAATTCAAATACTGGTTCAATGATTAAGGGCTAGAGTTAACTAGAATTTAATAGAGATAAAGGTCTTTCTACTTTTGATAAGATATAATCCACAGGTATTGAAATATTACAAGTTTTAATTCCAATAACAGAAGGTTATGTTGTTCCGAAATTTTTTAACACAATTTGTTTTACTAAATCTAATAAATGTTGTATTGAATTTTATTATAAATCTATTGTTATTTTTTCTTTTATATTTTTACATAATAAAATAAGATTAATTGTATCTTATAATTACTTTCTATAAAATAAATTGATTATTTACCTAGTTGTTATTGGTTTATTTGGGGTAAACTCAATTATTGGTTAGGATGCCGAATGAGTTTAAATTTTTTAACTTTCTAATTGTTTAGTACTACTTGATTTATATTAGTTTTATTGCATAAACAACTAAGATTAATTTTTTGCACTTGAAACTCCTAAGGATTTTTAAAAATTTATTCTTTATAATAATTCCTCTTATTATTTTTGCTTCATTTCTAATATTGCTAAATCTGCTTTCTATTTTAATGTGAGTTCTGTTTTATTCATTGCAGATTATGGTTGAGTTAACAAAATTTCAGAAGATTTTGGTAATGCAGAAGATATGAGTGATAATTATTTATAATCATCCTATGTCTTATCAATTTTAGTAATCGAAGATTATGAATTTTAATGTGAATGAGGTTAAGTTTTTATGTGATTCCCTCCTTATCGAATGACAGTTTTTTATTACACTTGTTTTTTCTCTTGACTTACAAATTTTGGAGACATGAAACCTTTTGATTTCAGCAAATCTGATTATTATATTTTTCTTTATGTTTATCTCAGATTTTATAATAAATAGATACTATTATTGGGTTATCCTTAAATTATTTTAAGAACCATTCTATCTTAACAAAGGACTTTATTAATGAATTAATTATTTGTTAACCTAATATCAATTTATTATGTTACTTTAAAATCTATTTGTAAGGTTGGCGAATTTGAGAATCTTGCTTAAATTTATTCTCTATTTGAGAGATAACTCATTAAAGCTTATGGGGAAATTTCAGAGGACTAAGTTTTGTGGTGTTATCTTTTTGGTGGCATACAAATTAAATTTATAAATAAAAACCAAAAGTCAAAATTTTTTATTTTTAAGATATTTAAGGAAACTTAAGTACAATACTTTTAATTATGACCAATAATCTAAATTTTTTATATGATACTTATTTAAATAAACTTAATTTTATTCTAAATAATCTATAAACAAAAAATTTAATATTATTATTATCATTACTTACTTTTGATTGAACTTTGATTATCAATAAGATGCATCAATTCTTTAATCTCTGTCTAAAATTCTTTACTAACACTTTTTTAGTATTTTTTAGAATTTCTTAAATTATTAATTCTTGGTTTGAAAGTACAATCAACCATTTCTTTTTGTTATTTTTTTTTTTATTCGTTATCCATTTTATTTTTTAGTTTTTGTTTCCATTCTTGATTTCGTTCAGCGATTGCAGCCACTTTAGCAGTCAGGGGTCTATTAGTAGTTAATGTATCCTCATATTCCTTTTATGATTCCCTTTCCTATAGTTTTAAGTAGCAACTTTATCTCTCTTTTTATTGAATATATTAGGAGTTACTTTTTTGCTTAATTTAAGGAGATGAATTATGTGCTGTTCTTTTTCTTTAAGAATTTGGTTGCTATTTTGTTGGAGAAGTACTTTATGTATATTATTTCTAAGATTTTTGAGATTATTCTTTTAGATTGGAACTTTTGATTGAAGTTTACATTATTTATTAATTATTTTTGATAGGACTATGTTAATCAATGATTTATTATTCAGATAATAGCTAATTTTTAGATTATGATTATGTTTGGATTATTTAAGGTTTGATAATGTCTGGACTTAAACTTTTTCTATCTGTTAATTTTCTGAAGGAATCATTGCTTTTCAAATATTCATCATAAAATTTGATTTTCTATTAAACGCTTCTTTAGATATCTCTAATGATACAAGATGATTATTTTGCAGTAATTTTAGCGTTAAATAATGATTCACTTAATTGAATAGTCTCTTTATCAACTTTTGTATGTGAGATAACTTTGAGTGCATAATCTTGTTCATGTATTCTTCTTTTTTAAGCTCTATTATAAAAGAATGTTTCATGATTATTATCATTCATTTTGTAATTTAGATTGTTTTACTACATAAAAAAATAAAATATTTATTTTAAAATCAACGAACTGGCTTTTTAAAGGGATGAATTGAATAGATGATATAGATTAATATAAAATCATTGAACTCAAACTTTAACTTATTTTCTCTTCTATTATTCGCATTCTTCCTCCAATGATCCAAGTAATTAAAATAAAATTGAGGTTAAATATGAGTTTTAGAAACCCTAATAATTTATAATGAAATGTTACTTCACATGTTAAATTAGGTTTAATGAATTTACATAGGTTTAAATATCCAGTATATTATTATTCACCCAGAAACAATCCCAAAGATTTTTTGTATCTGTTTATTAATCTACCTTAGTAATATAAAAATATTCCTAAATTATTTTAAGGAAGTTTGCTAATACCATATGCCTCAGTACATTCATTTAATTTATTAATAAGTTTATCATTTTATAACACAACTTTGAACTTTGTTTCTGTACGACTTTTCATGAAAGAAGAGGTTTACAGTTGATCATTGACATAAACTTTATATGGTAGTTAATCTAAGGAATAGAATTTAATATATTCTTTTAAAGAATAATCAGGATATCTAATTGCATCTTCTTTTTTGAGATTAAATGCAGAAAAAGAATTAGCAATAATGTCTTCATTATTAATGTTTAATTCAAATATTTTCTAATGAGAATGTATTTTTAAAAGATCAAAGATAAAAATCTTAGTATAGTTGTGATTGCAATTTAAAATAAAATCTTCTTCACTTAAAAGATGAGTAACAGCATTCAATAAAACATATTTACTTTCAGGAGAATCTACCTTTCTTTCTTTCTCACTACTTATAGTAAGTGTATAATTATAGAATGTTAAAGATTCATCATTAGGATTCAAAAGGTTATTCATAGAAATAAATCCTACATAATAACTATTTAATGATTTATGACAAATCAAAACACTATCACCTAATCTAAGTGAAGCTATTTTAAAATTTAATGCATATTGTTTTTTATTGAATTATTACTATTCTTCTAAAATTAAACCTTCTCCTCCATTTCTAGTAATTTAATCATAATCTTATTTATTTAAACAAATCTTTTTTTTTGGAATATCAAAATTAAATAAAAAATCACTTAGATCTTCTAATTCTTTAGTTTCTTTTTCAAATAATATTATCAAAGGTATTTTCTCCTAAAGATCTTCAGTTGAATATTGAGATCTCTTTTTTCTCAAACGATAAACATATTCAATTTTTAATTCAGAAGCTTCTGATAATTTTGCATTATCTAAAAATAATCCAAAACAAGACATTGGTGATTAAACTAATTTCGAAATTCTAAATTTGATAAATATATTACTCATCTATAAAAGTCAAAGATAATTTTGGTTATCTAATGGCATTATTTTCTGCAATTTTATTAAAAGAGATATCTTCCTCTTATTAATTTCCATAAATTAATTAACAATATTTGCAAACATTTTTCATTTCATCTCTTGAAAACTTTTATAAATGATTTTCACTATCTTTTAAATGTAATACCATTATATCTTCTAATACTTCTCCCATGCTTCTTAATCCTCCAAAAATAATCAATTAATCCTTAAAAACAATACAACTATGAGAAAATCTTGGTTAAAATATTGGAGTCTTAGATTTTGGTACTAATTTACTCCAAGTCTAATCTTTAATTATAAACTATTACTCTCATAACAGTTTCAAATATCCAAATATCATTCTTAGGAAATATTGGCTTCTCTTCTTCATCTAAATTCTACATATTATCTTCTTAATCTTATTCTATCGCTTCCTCTTCATTATCTTTTTATTAATCATTTTGATAACTAACTTAAATTTCAAAAAATACCCTTCTCCTCCTATAATAAAAAGAAATCGATCAGCATAAGCTACTGCAGAATGAGAAGCACGAGGAGTTGGTTATTAGGATCCATTTGGTTTAATTTTCTCTATTTTTATTACAATCTTATTTTCAACATTTTACTTTTTGTCTTCACCTAAATCTTATTGATCAAAACGTTGTTCCAAATCATTTATATTCTCAAAATCCAATTTATACAAATCCTTATAAAATATTAATTGTTTTTATGACATCTATCCTTAACCTCCAAATATATAAAGGCTCTCCCCAATCTTATTTGCTGTATGACTTTCTAATTTTATCATCTCATCTCCTGTAAAATTTGTTATTTATTAAAATCTGTTTGTTTTTATATCATACAACCAATGTGATTCGGTCATTGTATTCTAAACTTAATCCCAACCTCCATATATATAAATTAATCTCTATGATAAAGCTACCATTGAATGACCTTCTCTAGCTTGCATATCTTATGGTACTTATATTTCTGTCCATTCTTATGTCTCTATGTCAAAGCTCCAAAAATCACCCAACATATTATCATTACTTGAACCTCCATAAAAATAAAGCTTATTTTGAAGACAAACAGAACAATGAGAATCTCTACCAGATGGGTGGGTAGGAGAAGGACTATTCAATCTTTCCCATTAAAATGTGATACAATCCATACGATAAATTTATTCCCATTATCTAGCATTGTCTGATTTCCCACAACCACTGAAGACATACATGTATTTGTCATGTAACACAGCTGTATGACCCCATCTCTTACAAGGATAATTAGGACTCTTTTTTTTATTTACACTTAAATTCTTCGATATCCATTATGCATTTCTAAAGATTTTTGTTGGGATTGTTGTAATCTCTTATTGAATTTAATTCATTTAAGATTATAATTTAATTAATATTCATTATCACAAATTAATTTAAATATTCATTTGCCCTCTATTAGAAATACTATCGAATATCCTAAAATTATAATTAACAATTTTTCTATCATTGTAATATCAATATATCTTGTATTCTATTAGTACCTTTACCTAAAGAACAGAGGTGTAACTCTAAAAATTAATCTCAAAATATTCTTAAATCATTCCAAGAATGCCTACTGTATTATTACACAACTATATAAAAAAATTTATAAATAATGATCCATATACAATATGTAATTTAGCAAAAAACTAACTATGAGTGTATATACCCATAAATTAATAATTTTGATTAGTTAGTTATAAATAAAAAATATCTATGAATTGATATTTTATTTTTTTATAATAATTTAATTTAAATTTTCTTTAATTGTCAATTTTAGAAAACTAAATTTTTCATTTATAAGTTATTCAATTTTGAAAAAGCAAAATTATTTCATTAAATAAACTATTTAAATACTAAAATAAAAAAGTATTTATCAATTTCCAAAATATTAATATATATTAAATTAAGTTTAATCAAATAAATTTATTCTGTGTATTTTTTCGTTTAACTTTTTGTGAAAATTCAAATATCAATCTTGGATCCCATGTATCTTTTTTCTAAATTGATTTTGACATTACGATTAAATTCTTATTTTCTGGGCTATTGTATTAAGTACTTTAAAATGATTAATTGACTCGTATTTATTATAAAAAAGATAAGTTTTATTATTAATAAGGTAATTCATTCTTAATTTTGTTTTGAACAACTTTGATTGATAATCCATTATGGATTGGAGGAACAATATTGGTTTTTTAAAATTGGAAATTTTACCTTTTTTGTGAAGGAATTAAAATTTAATGTTAGCTCTATTCCATTTCTTAGTTATTATTGGATTATTGTGTTTTCAATTTAATTTTGTTAGTTGGAGTGATATCAACCTAGAGATCCTTAATTTAAGATTATGTGATATTCATTTATTAATGAAAACTTTAACTCTTTATTTATCTCTTTTCAATTTTACTTTTGGGCATTGAAAAATAACGAAAATTTGCCTAGTTATTATTATTGACAGAAGTTATTTAGGGTTATTATAATTTTTTAATGAAATTAATTTCTTTATTAATGGAGACTTTTTTTTCAAATCTTTTCTTTAATTTAGTTTATTTTTATATAAGAATACCATTTTCAGGATCAGAATCACTTTGATCTTCAATATGATAGAGATCCTAATTATGGAATTATTGTCTATTAATTTCTAATTCAAGAGCTACTTGTTATTTATAGGTAGAATTTGTATAATAAAGTAATAAGCTTTTGTAGAGATCATAACCAATTTATAAAAGATCATGTTGAGTAAATTGTTTGATTTGATAAAATTCATTATATCCAAAGAAACTAGTTTCTAGAGTAAATATATCATGAATTTGATTTGGATAATATTTCTTAACTAATTTAAAAACGAAGGCTCTGGCAGTTTTCATTTTGGATGGTTCAAGAGAGAATGTACAAGATTGAAAATCAAAGAATTTACTATTTTTTGAAAATATTGAAGGTAATATTCTACATTGTACGGCATCTTGATCTCCTCTACAAGCATACATAAAAGAGTTTAATCTAGAGTGAATAGAATAGATACTTTTTTGAATGTCCATGCAAATCTATAAAGCAAACGATATTTCTAGTTTGAATAATATTTTTAAGTAGATTTTTAGTTTCTATAATTTAGGAATGTAATAATGGATTAGGTTTATGCCATGATCGATTAAGATCTTTACCACTTAAATCACATCTAAAATTGCCATATTGTACACCATCAGGATTAAAGAGTGGTATGATTATGAAATGAAATTTTTGAGTAAGTATATTATTATCTTTTTGAAGAGCACTTAAGAATCCTTAGCAAACATAGGATGATACAGTTTCTCCTGGATGTTAACGAGCAATAACAATAATAATATCATTATTTGGTGAGCCAAATTTGAGGATGGGTATTTTGAGACCTGAGAGTGAAGTAGTAAGGATTTGATAATCATTTTAAAGGAAAGCATAAAGATCCGAATTAGTATAAGGATGATTAAGAGACAATTTGAACTATTTATGTATAGATGGTATGATAATAGTTAAGGAATATAGTTTGTACATGTGTGAAGGGTACTAACAAAAAAAATGATTAAGATTGTTACTTTTAATTTATAATATTGTGAAGTTTTAAATTTGATATTTGTTTGTAATGGTTGCCAATATGGACCATCTTTGATCATGACGGAGAGACCTTATTTTAATGATTTGTATTCTTTAGTCTAAATAGGAATGAGAATGATTACTAAATTAATGATATGAAAAGTGAGGAGTTATCCTTAAAGATTATTGACTTCAAAATAAAACCATTATGAATAGCCAACAGTATTTATATCATCTTATAAAATTAAATTAAATTCATTTTCTTTGATTTGATATGCTGCATAAAGATTTGCTGATTCAAAATCTGAGTTAAACATTCCATTGTTAATGATTGGTTAAGATTTAATAAGTTTATAATCATCTATTAGTAATCCATTGAAATGATATTTGAAATTATATGATGATGTTTGCTTATGTTTTAAATAGACGCATTTATGTTAAATATTATGTATAGGTATTTGAATGTTGATAGAAGTGTCAATGAATATATCTTTGGGTAGTTTTAATTAATAATTATTTTAATCTGATTCTTCAGAAATAAATCCCTCATCATCATTCATATTTATTTAATTTTAATTACCCGTTTTTATAAATTATTATTAAATAATGAAAGTGACAATCGCCCTTGTATTGTTAGTCACATTGGCATCAGCCACATCTACTTAAGATTAGATTCTTGCTTTATTATAAACAGGAACAAAAGCAAGAGATGCCATCGATACAGTGTTTGGTTTATTGAATGATTTAATTCAATCTAATAAGGATGCTTAATTTGCAGCAGATTAAAAGAATGAAACAGATGAATGGGTAGGTGCATAAACAATAGAATAATTTACAAAAATAAAGAATTTGAATTAGAAATTATTCTAATAATCAATTGAAAATAGAGCATAATTTGAATAAGAATTGTAAGATACAAAGAATTATCTTGCATGGAATGAATAAAGATAAGATGAAATAGTAAGAAAGATTGGTGTATTACTTGATGAATAATGTTTAAGTAATCAACTTTTTGTTAGATCAATTAAATAAAATAGAGAAGCACTTGAAGTAGTAAGAGTACTTAGATAAGATGTTGCAGGGTACATAATTAATGGTGATTCGTTTGAATTAGCTTAAGTGCAAAGTGTTGCTGATAAAATAAAGCAATACAGAAATACATTCTAAGAATAAGAAATAGAATCTTTCCTCTAATTAGCAAATAAATAAGAAGATGGTTCAGTAAGTAGAGGAGCAACATTAGCAGAAAGAGTTTTAGCTGTATTAGAATCACTTGAAGCTAATCTTTAAGCTTCTCTTGAAGCTCTTGAAGTTAATGAAATTAATGCTTCATGGGAATTAGCTGGTTGGGTTTCATTGAGTGAAGCTGAAGTTTCTAATCTTAAAGTTGAATATGAAAGAAAATAAGTTTATGCTGATAGATTAGCTACTGTATTTATTTATTATTTATTTTATTTAGTAAATATAAGCTGCTTTGGCTTAATAAGCAAAATCAAAGATTATTCTTTAAGAATCTTAAGATGCTTTAGATTAAGCACAATCTGATTTGGAAAATAAGAGAGCTGATTATGCTGAAGCTAAAGCTAAGAGAGATGAAGAAAACGCTATTCTTGAATAAGTTATCATTATGTTCAAGAAATAAGTTGCCTCATGGTCTGGAAGATGAAACTCATCTTTTTATATCAATATAAATATGAATTCATTTATTCAATGTTTCATACAATAGGCTATTAAAATGTCTATATCAGAGATCTATGGTTAGGAAATTCCAAAAATATTTGAAATCAATACTCTCCTTATGATAACTTTCATATTGTTATTTGTCTGGAGGATTGTGACATTGAAAACTAAATCGATTGCAAATCCACTCAGAATCCTTGTCATTTCTACTTTAAAACTAATCCATTATGTTTCATCACTTTATAGTCTTATCATGTTTTCATTTTTGATGTAAGTTTCTTTTATATCATAAGTTCATACGTGGCAGATTAATTGGCTTTTAAGAATTTTAACAAAATTAAACTCACGCAATTCTTCTTTGTTATCATTATATTCTTATGGGGAACAAATATTAACTTGTTTTCACTTACTATAGTAACACTTATTGAAAAAGTTACTAAGAAACTTATTTAATAACATTCCAATTAAAAAGAAGATGAGATTTCAACCATATTATCCTATGTTTTAGCTTTAGCAATAATCCTTACAATATCCATCTATGAAGTATTATCATTCTCCTAATTCCATAGATATTTGCATCAGAAGAATTAGTAGGATTCAATATCATTGAATTCCCAATGTTTAATTTGTTAATGATAGCTTTATTCTTATTGGCTATCTAAAAGATAACCTACAATATAAATAAAGAATAACCTAACAAATTTATAGGTATTATTATGTGTCTCTTATTTTTGATTTATGAATTGGAAAATAAAGGATTTGATCCATTCAACCATTAAATAATGTGGATAAGTCTTCTTGTTTTAGCTATCTTAAACCTCTTTGAAAATTAAGAACAAGAAATACAATTAGTCTAAACTAATCCAATATTTTTAGATAATGAGATATCATTCCAAGCTTTCTTAAATCATCTATCAAATAATCAAGATTCCAAGAAATTGATGATTCAACTCTCTCTTAATTTTTCTTTCATGTTTGTTGAATTAATCTATGGTTGGATTAGTAATAGTTTAGGATTGATTACAGATTCACTACACATGCTTATAGATTCAAGTGCCTTAGCCATAGCTTTATTTGCTAGTTTTATGGCTAAAAGAAAAGCTAATTCTACATACACTTTTGGATATGAGAGAGTTGAAATATTATCTGGATATGCTAATGGTGTATTCCTTTTATTTGCAGTGGTTGAAATCATCTCAGAATCCTTTGAAAGAGTTATTACTCCTTAAGAAGTACTTCCTGAAAAAATGTTGGTTGTATCATTCCTTGGATTAATAGTCAATGTTATTGGATTGTTTTTCTTTCATAATCATGGACATATACATTCAGAAGAAGTTGATGAACAATTGGAAGAAAAACATCATCATCATTGTTCTCATCATCACGATCATAATCATAATTTATCAGGTGTATACTTACATATTCTTGCTGATGCTTTAGGTAGTGTTGCATGCATTATTTCTGCTTTGCTTATTTATTACTATTAATTTCATATGGCTGATCCTATAGCTTCCATTATTATTTCATTACTTATTCTTACAACCACAATTACCTTACTTAAAGATACTAGTAAAATATTATTAATGCATGTACCTTATTCAGGGAAAAAAGTTCTTGCTGCCATTTCTCATGATGTATATAATTTAATCAAAAATTTTTAGCTAAATCATCGAGGTTTTGAACCTTAAGAAATGAAATTATGGTAATATAAAGAAAAAAAATTAGTTTTTACAGCTAGATTTCAAATCAAGCATGAAGATGAAGCTAAAATAAAATCAGATATAGATGGTATTGTTTCAAAACACAAAGAAGTTGTAATTAATGCAATTGATTTTGATTATGTTGACTGAATTCATTTTGTGTTAATTTACAATTCATATAAATATATTTAAATGGAAGACTAATTCTCTGAAGATTATCATCTATCTCTTCAGTAAGGTTTAATTATCTCTATCTTTAAGCATCTGCTAGGCTCTCAGATAGATTTTAAGATAAATTTAAGCCTTAATCAATCTTACTTGATTAAAATCCTGTCCCAAACAAAAATACAGAGTCATCTCAAATTTAAGCATGGGAATCAATCTCAGATACACCAGTTAAAGAATCTATTTAATAATAATCAAATAATGGTCTCAATTTACGAAATTCATAAGTTATGCAAGTAATCCATAATTTTTTACTAGAATCGAACAATAACTCAAGTTCCTACAATCAAAAGAATTAAATAAATCATAAATAGAAACAAACTATTATTAGAAGTCAAAGATAAGCTTATGCGAATAGGTTATATTTATCCTAAAAACTAAAAAACCAATCTGATTAATTTTCTTAAAGAAACTTATTTAGGAGATTCAAATTAAGATTAAATTAGAAAATAAGTTTTTTTTGAACCAATTAAAATTAAGCTTCCAACCTTCAGTCCAACCAGCAAATTTATATTAATTTGGCAAATTTTTAGAATTATTTAAATTATGTTTTTGTTATGGTGGGTTCCATTTAAAATGGCTTTCAACCCTGAAGGTTCTACTGATATTAAGAATATCGAACAAACCTTGGTTTACTTTATGATTTTTGATTTAATTATTAAATTAAATGTTGGTATTATCGATCAAGGCTAAATTATGAAGGATCGCCTTTTCATCCTTCTTTATTATATCAAATATGAATTGTACGAAGATATCATTTACATAATTACTTTAATAATTATTATAAGAGAGTAAACTATTGATACATATCTAATCAAAGAAATCATTGTTCTAACTTAATTCTCACTTAACTTCTTTAAATTAAAAAAGAAAATAAAAACTTATGAAGAAACACTAACAACTTAATCTACTCTTATTGAACTTGCAAATTTATCCTAATTAATTATTGTTATATTTTATTTTGCCCATTTTATGGCTTGTGTTTGGTACTATGTTGGTATTTAAAGTCTGGATTTATTTGAGGAATCTTGGATAATTAAATATGAATTAATTAATGCTCCAATATCTTATTGTTATGGATATTCATTTTATTGGGCTACAGCTACTATGGTCACAGTAGGTTATGGAGATGTTACAGGATAAAATATTTATGAAGTTTTTTGTTCAATTATATTGATGTTTTTAGCTAGTGGAATATTTGCATTTTCTATAAATTCTATTGGTTAGATATTTACTAATATCGATACATAATAATAAGTATACAAAAGAACACTTCTGTTAATTAATCATTATATGTAATTTAATGAAGTTTAATTATCATTGTAGAGCAGAATAAGAAATTATATTAAATATTTCTTTGAATAAGAAAATAAAGGAAGTAAAAATGAAATTGATATTGTTTTAAATTAATTATCAAATAATTTAAGACAAGAACTATTATAAGATGTTCAATTAAGAGTCTTAAAATAAGCTGATTTTTTTATTAAGAATTTTTCTTAATCAACAATAAGATTAGTTGCTGATCATGTTAAATTTTAGTAATGCACACCAAAAGAATTGATTTATAAATAATAGAATAATGATGATAAATCAATATATATTATTTAAAAGGGGGAAATTTAATTGATTGATGATAATTCAGGGAAGATTTTGAAAATATTTACAAAAGGATAAACTTTTGGAGAAATAGAATTTTTATCATTATAAACAAGATTTTGCAGTGCATATAGTGTTACATTTACTTAACTTTATAAAATTTCTAGAGAAGATTTTTTAAACTTAATTAAAGATAATGCAATAGACTATTAGAAATTTCAACAAATGAAAGATTAAGTGTAGTTAAAATATCAAAATGACTAATTTAAATGTTATGCATGTGATTAAAACCATCTTATTTGGGATTGTCACTTTCTATTTTATAAACCAAATATTGAAGCTTTAGTAAAGAAATCTTTATTTCATTCTGAATAAGAAAGAGCAAATTTTCGAAGATCTGAAAAAAGATTTTTTAATATTTTACGCAAAAGTTTAGATAATGAAGATTCAATTGAATAAACATAGAAAATTGGTTCCCTTCCATCCGAGACTTCTTCAGAGAATTCTTCATAAGATAGCCATAAAAATCATACAATAGAAGTAGAATAATCAAAAGTTAGAGATTCTCTTTAAAAATTAGGTTAACATTAATCAAGAAAAAGCTCAGCATAAAGTAAATAAGGATAAGTAATCATAGAAGATCTCAATTTAAACCAAAATAAAAGATAATCAAATCGTTTAAGTGTTAGATACTCTGATAATGATATTCCAATGACATCAAAAAGAAAATCAATATAATCAATTTACCCTATGGATGCTAAAAATTCTATATCTGGTTTATAATTAGCTCCAATAAAAGAGGATGTAAGAAAAGAAAATAAAGATTTATTTAATTATAATTTAAAAAGCTTTCATTAATTAGATGAAATAATAGATAACAAATATTATGATGATGAGATTGATTCTGTATTTTCGTTTTAATACTACTTTCCTTAGAATAATGTAGAAATAGTTTTATAAGAGCATCAAAGATTTTAAAAACTATTTAGATCTAAAAAAATCAAAGTTCTAAAAAGTAAATATATGTTCCACAAAATTTCTAAAACATAAAAATAAAAATAAAATAAGCAAAAAAAAGATTAAACATCAGCTAATTCAATAATAATAAGAGAAAATATATGAATTCAATCAATTATTTAATCCTAGACTTATAAAAGACTTTCTAAATATGATTTAAAATCATTATTTCTTTGTATTTTGTTAAAAACTCTTAAACATTTCTTTTTCTTTTTATCTTATCTTATTTTTATTGATATGAATGAATCAATCATTTTGCAATCTTTTTTATTTTTATTTTTCAAACAATCAAAAAAACTGATTTTCTATTTCTATTTCATTTTTAGTTATTTCTTCATCCCTATTAAACTTATCAAATTACTTTCTATTTCAACTTATCAATATAATAAATGCTCCTAGAAATATTAGATCTAAATATTTTTTCTTCCTAAATAAAAAGAAATCTATTCGATTTAAAAAGATTTTACCTTTATGAATAGATTTTCATACTTTAACTAATGGTATTAAAAAATAAAAGACACGAATAATATTGCATTTATCATTTTATGAAAAAATATGAATATATCAAAGACTCAAATATTTAACTTTAATTTGAAAAATTTTTATTCAATAATTATGTCATATTAATCCTTTAATTCATCTCATCATTAGTATATCTAATTTTATTGATGGAGAATTTAAATTATTTTTATAAGACTAAGTTTAATTTTATTTTAAAAAATATATTTAAAATTTTTATAAAAGTAAACTATATACTAAGGAGAAAAGCAAAAATATAACTATTTTCATTTGTTGATTTTTTCCACTTTAATTCTTGAGACTTCAAAAAATTTAGCTGAGTTGAATTTTCTCCTTGCTGCTTATAATGAACTAAGATCAGCAGTTTATAATAATTGACATAATTCTTTAACACAAGGTTTTAAGGAAGCTTCATTTTAGGTTCTATAATTTGGAGATCTAGAAATAAATTTATATGATACCTTATTTTATTGACTAAAAATATAGCAGCTTAAGTTATGAATGATGGTTTATAAACTATAAATTTGTATTCAACCAAAGCAAGCTCTAATATATATTGAGCTAAAGCTTTGTTTTTTGGATCTAATTCAGAAGAATATTTTGATAAAAATTAATAAGCAGTTGGATTACAAATATTGAAATTTAAAGCTTACAATATTAAACCTTCCATTTCTAAAACATCACTTTTAACATAAGCATTATCAGTTATATAAACAAAATCTTTTAATGCAGGTGGATATATTTCTTCATATTTACATGCTATAAAGAGTGCTGCTACACCTACTAATTGTAAACGCAATCTTGTGACTTATGCCTTAGATAAATATCTATCTATTAAAGAAATTGTAAGATATAATGTTTCATCTCTTAACTTAAATTTAGCATGTACATCTATTAGCCAATCTACTAAAATTGCTCTCATTTTAATATTTATATTTGGCTATAGTTCTGGGGTCATATATTCATCTATTTAATATTTGTTCTAAATAAATAATTTTTATTAGATACCTCTTCGATTAATAAATGTTGGATTATCTCTTCGGCATACAGATGTACGCTTTAAGGATTTTTAAACTCTTTATGTTTATCACTTTCAATCTCTATTTGAATTCTTTCAGATTCTCTTCTAAAGATTTTATTTTCTTTCTCATCCAAACTGATTGCAAATACTCTTGGAATGATGGAAAAAGGTTTTTTTGTTTTTTCAACGATCATACCTGACTCCATCGACTGATAGATAGCTGAATTTGCAATTTCTTTTCCAAAGCACCTTTGATTCTCTATGATCATTCTGTTAATATTAAATAAAATTATTATTATCGTTAAAACTTAATTATATATATATCATTTAAAATATATTAATTAAACAAAATTTATTTCGAATATTTTCATACTTTGTCATTATGATCCTTTATCTATTTTCTTAACGTCAGTTCTAAGAACTATCAAAATAAGGATAAAATTATCCTTACTTTATAATTCAACTATTTGAAATTAGTATATGTAATAATTAAATTTTATGTTGTTTTAATAAATATGGATGGATTTAAAGGAATCTATGAATACTTCATATTACACGAGTTTTATTTATCTCTCTATTGGAGCTATACTAAATACTTCTCCGCTTTTGGAAATGTATTACCTATTTCTTAAATAGATATCTAAAAATTTCTGATAAGAATAACTATTAACAAAATTAGCTTTATTTAGTATTAGATTCTTTAAATGTTGGCAAGTATTTGTTAGAATCTTCAATTGTACATTCAATTTATATTTTAATTATACTTGCTTTTAACATATTTATCATCAATCTCTTTATTATTTTGTATTATGTGAAGAAAAAGAATGCTTAGATGAATGTTGCTTATTCTATTTATGGCTAAGTATTATATATGACAAAATATTTATATAGATTATTGGGTATTTAATATAGCCCTATTTTTGGTCAATCAATGGATTTTTATTTTAAATCTAAAATACTTATTTACAATAGATACAAAATTTAGCTTTTATTTTTATTGATTGTGTTGCAATCATTTTATAACTAGCATTTTTAACAATCCTCATACTTTTTCTACATTATGACTATTCATAAAAAAAAAACTTTTTAAAAATAAATTCCCCGAAAACACTTACATGTTCGATTATAATTGTATATTTTAATAGCTGTATAGAATTGTTTATTAATTCAAACAAAAATTTGAATGTAAATTTAAATTATATTAGAAGATAGCTTTTCCATTAATCTTAGTTATCTTGTTTTTACTACTTATTTCATAGATGCATAAAGATTTGCCTCTTTTCTCTAATAAATAATTAAACAACTATTTTTAAATTCTTGTAAGTATTTAATTTGCATTGGCTTTAAATTTGCTAATATCATACTTTGTCAATTTGTTTGAAGATCGATATGGCTTCTAAGTTATATTAACTTTTTTATTTTTGATTTAATTAAATTAAAAAATTAGATATTATTTAATATTAAGTTCTATCACAAATTATAGCATTACTAAAATGATTGATTAAAAAACTATTGTTTATTTAAAACAAAACCCTTAAAATCTCTTTTTACTAAGAGGTATTATATAACTTCATCAAACTTTATGTTCGAATATAAAGTGCTTTTATCGTTTGAAAACTATTTATAAAATAAGTTCAAAAGGAAATAAAAAAATTTAAATCAATAGAGATACAATTCAGGATAATATAGGAAGAATTTCAACTTTCTTCTTAAAATGTATTTATGAAAGTTCACTAACTAAAAAATCAGATTAAAGTATTAATATACTTTTAATTGAATTGCTATGTTATAAACTAAAATTATACCCAGAAAGTTTGATCTAGATAGAAAAATTAAATAAAGATAAATTGAACTTAATTTAACGCATCATCATAACAAATATTAGGATCATAATTTCTCGACTGATAAAATAAAAAAATGAATAAGCTTATAAATCAAAGCTACCATTTGACCATCTATTATTATGTGAATAGTATATAAAAGAAACAGTATAAATTATAATGAATATTTTTGGTTATTAATTATAGTTTTGGAATTATTTATTAAATTAAGAAGTTAAGTTAATTGATGAATTGTTTATATTAAAAAAAATAAGCAATTAAATTAAAGAATTTTAAGGTTTAGAAAAATAGATTTTAAGTTTGCATAAAAATTAAAAAGTACCTATTAGAAATAAGCAATGGTTTAACTACTTCTTTTTTAAACTTTTTATTTTAAATAAAAAATTGAAATTATAAGAATTAGAATTATTACCTGATTATTAACTTAGTTTAGATTAAATTTTAAAGGATGATTAGATAGACGAAAAATCTTCTGATGAAGAGCCAATAAATTATTATTAATAAAAATTTTTAGTTTCTGGCAATACTTTTGTAATACAAATAAATTAATCTGGCATTATAAAGAATAGTACAAATAATGTATTTTAAATATTAAATTACAATAAATAAGGTTTAATAAATAGTTCAGCAACAATTTTAATGCCTTAAATGTTTAAATAGCATCATTCTTAATTTGTTACTCATTTTTAAGAAAGTGGGCAATCTTTTAATTTGTATAAGAGAAAAAAGGCATTCTGTATGCATGATTCAGGTTATATTGTAATAGTTTATAAATATCTGAAATGTATTTATAATTATAACTCAAATTAAATTGAATATATTGCAATGTTTAGATAAATTTAGACAAAATAATAGTATTTATTATTAAATGAAGATTGGGAAGTAGACTCTTGTACTTAATTAATTTAGGATATCATTGGAATAAAATAATTAAGTTTATTTATCTTGGCTCCAAAAACTATTGTTTACTCATAATATGAAAAGTTTTTAACATAAGAGAACAAAGAATTTTTTAGTTTAAATGCTCCAAATTTTGAGAAACACTTATCTTAATTATATTATACATAACGTTCATCAACATTTGTAAGAGGTTCAATAACTTCTAGCATTGGATAACTTTCTATTTTGTAAAATTAAGTTGAAATAAAGAAGAATTTTTAAAATTTCTTAAATTAGGATGATGTTATTAATATAGAGGATCAATAGAAACAAAATGTTAAGTAAGTATTGTTCAACTTAAGAGTACCAAAACAAAAGTATGAACTAGTTAGAGATTTTTAATAGAAATTATCTGAATCTTATAAATAGGCAATTTCTAATGAACCTTTTCGAAAATAATTAATAGTGAGAAATCAATCTGGTAAATTTAAAATAGTAAGGAGTGAATTTATTAGAAGATGTAAAGTTTATTAAGAAACTATGAGGAGAGAGAAATTTTAAATAATAAGTAATATATTTTTTTTAAATGTAGAGGAACTATTCTTAAAATATACGTAATCTGAAGAATCTATTGAAAGGATATTAAGAGTTGAAGGAACATTAAAATTAGAGAAAATATCACAATCTATCAAATACATATTAATTAAAATAGTTAGAACAGAAGTGATTGAAGAAAATACATTACCTTAGAGATAAAATAGTTATATTACTTAATCTCCTTAAACTTAAAAAATGAAGTCTTCGGTATGGTATTGAATAATCTCTAGTAATAAACAAAAAGAACCCTTATCTCATAGTAAAGTCCAAGAAATTAATATTCTCTAGTTAGTGGTATTTTTGAAAATAAAAATAAGATCAATTAGATTTATATACTAATAGAGAATCAAGTGGAAAAATTTTATTGCATGATGTTTAAGTTAATTAAGATTTTGATTAAAATGATCATTAAAAAAACATAAACTTTATCACTTGTAATAGTGATCTTTTAAAAGAAGATACAAATAAGATTGAAAAAAATAATCCATCTATTATTTAATATGAATATATTAGTAGGATAATTTTTAGTTTGTAAATATTGATAGCATTTTTGAGTTTCTTCTTAACTTCATTTATTTACAATACAAGTACATTATAAGATTCAGTAATTAACAATAATAATTTAGATAATTTTAGTAGATTATTTTTATTAATATTAAGTAATTGTAGCAGAATCATACAATGTTCAAATAGATGTAGAATTATTTAATCGAAATTATACCATATCCTATTTGACAAAAGGAGATTTGATAGGATATTAATCATAAGAAGAATTTTATTAATATAATTAAAAAGTAATTTAAAAATGTGGTGATTACATGTATTTTATTTTTTGGGAACCTAATTTTTTGAAAATGCTTTATTAAAATTTTTATAGTAACTCTACCGAAAGTGGTTTGGATATTCAAGCTATTTATTAAGCAAATCTATATTTATTAAATTTACTCTCATCTAAAGAGTTTAAGGAAGATTTTGATATAGCAAATACTTTTCGTAACTATATGGTACTTCATTTTAAAAATATCTTAGCTTCCATATTTTTAGTAAATATAAGCTAACTCAATAGATCATCTTTTAAATTAAGGATTAGGATTCTAAGAAATTTCTAGTTCTAATTATATATTATTTCTAATTTTATAGACAATGCTCTAAATTGCTAGTTTATTGTATTTAATTCGATTTTAATTTCAAATTTAGAAGCAATATAATGTACTTTATATTAAATTTTCTATAGGTATTATTTAGAGTTTAAGCTATTATACCCTTTAAAGAGAAAATTGCTATCATTGAAAAAATCAACATCACAATTAATTAGTTTTGTTACATTACTAATTATGAATGTAAATAATATTGAATATTTTAATAGATGGAGATATGGGTTAATTCTTAACAATGAATAAAGATAATCCTTTGTGCAAAGCATTTTCAAAAGTGAAAAATACTAGCGGGAATCTTTTTGATAAAAATATTTTAGATACAGAAAAATATAATGAATAATTTGATAGTAAAACAAAAATTAAGTTTAAATAACTGTCTCTTTTATATAGTTTGAAAGTAATTTGCTTAATATAATCATAGAAAATTACTGTCAAAATTGTTGTAAATCTATTATTAATTACTTTAATAAGTATTGCAGGATTTATCACCATAGATCTAACAATTAATAATATAAAATTATTTAATCAAAACTAATTTATGTTTAATAGTTTGAATTTTTGGACATTACCTGCTATAAAAGAAATTTATACTAATTAAAATTATTAAGATTATTCCTTTAATGATACAAATGCTGTTAAACTCCTTCAATCATTTATTAAATAACTATAATCAGAATTTCCAGTATATTATTAAACTAATATTATTGAAATAAATTCTTTCTTTAATAATAACATTTGTGATGAAGATAGTATTAATTTAAATCTATTCTATTAAGCCGAAATGAATATAGATTAATGTAATCTTATTCTTAATGGAGTATTAAACAGAGGAATTCGAGAATATGATTATTTACTTTCTAAGATAGCTCTAAAAGTGCTAAATGTAAATGATGAAAGATTCGAAAATATTACATTCACAACAATATATGAATTTAATAAAGTATTAATTATATTAATTAGCTTTTTTACTTTGTTTTTGATCACTATATAATTGCTAAAAACATATGGGTATAAGAATCTCAAGCTACTTTAGAATAACATGATTAGATTAGTTTGATAATATTGTAATTTTAATCAATTATACAAGAATAATCATAATAATTGGGATATGCCTTTATTTTTTAATTTTTAATGAAATTGGATATGTTATGTTGAAAAAAAAAGAATATAAATTTATAAAAATGTTTTATAAATCTTTTATGCCCAATGTTTCTGTTAATTAATAAAAACGATTAAGAGTGGAATTAATAAAAGCAAGATTTATTAGAAAATGATTCAATAATTTATAAAAATTACATGATATTCACTATGATAATTTATATAATTTATATGAATTATTTTTTTTAATTATCATACTATTTGATAGATTAAAGGTTGAGCAAAAAGAAATTCATCTTTTTATAGTTTTGCAGATTGTTATTGTAAATTTGTCTAAATTTTATATATTAAGTCTAATTCATGAATATTGTCTAAATATATTTTTTCTTAGGTTAAATTTGTTTTTTTAAAATATATTGAGTTGTGAGTCAGAATTAATCAATTTACAAAATTATTAGAAAAAAAAAGAAAAATAAGTCAAAAATTAATCAACAATTTAGTAATTCAGTTTTCATATACAATAGAGAATTAAACAATTGATATTTTAGTTGATTTATTAATATTTATCCAAAATACTATCAATCGATAAATTTTTAAGTAAATATTAATTATATTCATAAATATATTTTTTTATTAAAAATGAATGAAAGCTAAGAGTCATCAGAATTTCCATCGGTTTCTTCTAAGCTTGAAAATAAGTATAATATTTATTAATAAAAGGATAAGTAACTAATTAGGGTTGACTAATGTTGAAAGTGGAGATGAATTAATAAACAAGAAAACAAAATTAAATGATGAAAATGGCTAAATTAAAATTTCAAGAAAGGTAAGTGATGAGCTCATTAAAATATTTGAGAGATTACCAAATGACTAAATTACAAAATTATTAGATGCTATCAAAGTGAAAAATTCACGTATTTATTATTTTATCTTTAAAGCTGATTTACCTGTTAGGGTTAATCTTGTTGATCTTTTATAGAAAGATGAAGATTTTGTTTAAGATAGTTAATCTGATTCGTAAAAAGAAAAAAAAAGAAAAAAAAGAGAATCCAAAGAAAAAGAGTGCAGATGTTGTAAATAGATAGTGAAACGACATCATTGTACTCATACAGAATGCGAAAAGCCTTGTTAAATTTAAGAAAAAATTAAGAAAATTAAAACTTGAATATTGTTGTCATTTCTATACTAAATTTCCTCTAATTATCTTAAAAATTTTCATAATTAAACTAAAGAATAAATAGAAACGTAAGTTGGTAATTTTCTCTTGTAATAATAATGTATTTTTTAACTTAAAAATTAAATCCTTCCAATTATTTTAATTATCTAAGTTTTAGAAACTGTATTAGTATTTTTTTATAAGATAATGTTCATAAAAAATAAATTAAAATGATACCACTAATATTTACTTGGCTAAACTTTAAGTTCAAATTTTAGAGAAATAAAAAAATGATAATTTTATTAATTATAAAAATAACTCTTGCATGGAAAGTATAGAACGTAAAAGAAAATATTTAAACTTGTTAAATCTTTCAGAGTGCAAATTAACAAGAATGTGAGTTGAATGATTTAATTGTATATCGATTAGAGTCTTATTTTGCTATTTGTGTAATTTCATCGGAGATTGGAATTTAAAGTGTTTTAATTGATAATTTTGAAGATAAATTGAGCTTTATTTGTGTACTTAAAGAATATATTTTGATTTATCCTTTGCCTTTTAGTTGTGGAAGTAATTATATGAGACTGCAACATTAGAATAAATTTTAAAATTATTCTTTAACTAGAGACAATTCATCCATTTATATTTTCGGAGGATTTGATGATATAAAAAATAGAAATCAATTGTATAAGTACAATCTCTAGGATCTCTTTAATAATTAAGCAACATCTTCTGTTCTGCCTAATAATTTTATATTTAAATTAACAGTATCATTAAATTTATGGGATGATACTATTGAAGATTTTGCATTTATGTCTAATTATCCTCAACTTTAAAAATTAAAGAACTTAGGTTATAAATATACAGTTACTTCTTAAGAAGAAAGTTCTGATTGTTAATCTTCTAATGTTCCAAAATGTTTATAAAATAGTATTATTGTTTATGTAAATGAATGTAATTGTATCTAACTATTTTATGGCAGAGATACTTCTAATATAAATTAAAATGAGTCTTGGATTTATTATTTAGATTAGTAGGTTTGGTAGGAAACCACAATTGATTCAATAATAAAGATTGGAATAACTCCAGTGGGACAATATTTGGAAAAAATAAAGATGGTAGGATTTTATGCAGAGAATAAATATTACTTTTATTATGATTAGGAATGGTATAATAACTTTGAATAATTAAACTTTGGATCTATGTTTAAATAGATGATTGTTTATGATAACAAGACATTTTTTTTGAATTCATCAAGTATTATTTCAAGTTTTAATGATCAATAAAGCATAAAAAGTTAAGAATATGGTATATAAATTTGTTAAGATAATTATCGTGGTTATAATTGTTAAGTTTCAGATATTCAGTGTCCAGGAAGCATTTGTTTTGGTGATTTATTATATGAGAAAATTTGTGTACATTGTTAAGGACATGGAACTTGTCTAAATGGAAAATGTTAATGTGATGATGGATTTAGTGGTAATGATTGTAGCCAATATTCAAACTGTTTAAATGATTGTTCAAATCAAGGAAGTTGTATTCAATATTTTCCAACACCTTAATGTAGATGTAATTAAGAAGAAAAAAGAGGAGGAGAGGATTGTTCAACAATCTTTTGTCTTAATGATTGTTCGAATAATGGAATTTGTAAAAATGGAGTATGTTAATGTATAACTGGAGTAAAAGGGGATGATTGTAGCATATTAAATCTAAATTTTATTGATGAATGATATTATAAATTTAGATTTATGTATTATAACTTATATAATTCTTATATTTTGTAAACATTTACTTTAATAATTTATTTGTAGAAAATTTAATTCATTGTATAAATTCTACATCTGAAAAATCATAGAAATTATCCATTCTATTGTTTATCTATTACTCTGAAATTTAATGTTAAAGTAGAAATTTAAGGTATTATGCTTAAACTAATTTTATAGGAATTGGTTTCCTTTTCTATTAAATTTTATTAACTTATTAATTATCTGAATTTTTAATCTATGAAATATAAACTTAAGTTAAATTTTTGAATTAATCAAATTGATGAAACTCTAATTTATCGTAAATAGATTATAGTAAATCAATTATATCAAAAAATGAGTAAAGTTTATCTTAAATATCGATGTTGAAATAATATTTAAGGTAAAAAATATTAATCTACATTTGGGTGAGTGAACATTCTTTAAAATTAACTTAGTTTGATATTCTATTGTATGAAAATATTTCATATTCAAAAAATTAAGGGTAACCATGATTGTCAATATAAATCACATACGGCAACACTATATGAAATAAATTAGCAATAAAGTAGATTAATTTATAAACTTTAATAATAGAGGTTATAAAGTTTTCATAATATTGTAAATTATCACGAAGGATATCATTCCATTTAACTATACTTTTCTTTAGAGTTAAACATATTTCTACTTTTTTCGAATTGATTTTAGTACACTAATTTTATTATGCAAGATCCAAGTTAAAAAAACTAGTACTAAATAAAAGAACATCTTCATGTTAGCTATATGATAGTTCATTTATTGTATCATAAAAGGTTTCTTATATTTCATCGTTGATTTAATAATATTTGTAAATCATATGATTATCAAAAAGAAAAGGTAATTGAGTAAATATGATGTACTATCTTTATTTTAATTACATTTCTAACTTTTAAATATCCTTTTGCTTTTATTTAAGAGTCTTTTTCAGATTGTAATATTTTTCTTAAATTGATTATGATAATTATTTTAGTTATCCATTAAGTTATATGTGATTTTCTAATTCTTCTTAATATGAAGCTAAATTACGTTTACGAACATTGACATTGTTGATTAATGCTTATTTTTTTTCTTATAATTGTTTTACTCTAAGAGCTTTTAATATCTGTTCTACACCCTCATCCCATTTTTATTTATTCTATTTAAAATACTATTCAAATTCTTCTTACAACTATTTTTTCCTTATTAATAACTAATTCTTTTTCTCTGATATTTAAGTTATGCTTTATTGAAATATTTTATTATGACAATCCTTGCAACGAATTTTAGATTCTTTTTCATTTTAAGATATTAGAAATTTTTTACAATCTGGCTGCTAACATATTTTGGTTTACCTCATAAAAATTATATATTAATTAGAAATAATAAGAATTATAAATTTGTTTCATTAAATTATGAGTAGACTTAAGCTTTGTATTTCTATAAAAAAAAGTATTAGAATTGAATAAATTAAAGATGGGTTATTGAAAATTTAATTTATAAAATTGATAAAATGATGTTGAGAGATAAGATTTCTAAAAAATGAATGAAATATGATAAAATTAAATTTAAATGAAATGATTATAATTGATTTTCAAACATATCAAATATATTAATCTTTCAATTAAGTCACAAAGAAAAAGTTATCAAGGGAATCGAACTCAAGTTGTTTTTGAAGAGCTTCATTAGATGTGCTTATAAATTAACCAAAGATTAGTGGATTATTTTATGTCACATCCCATTTTAATCCTTTTGTGTTGATTCTGGCTTGAGTTCCTTATGGAAATAAACTAATTCCTTTGAGTGACTCAATTTCAGAGAATTAAAATTTATGAATTCCTTTATTAAAATATCTAACAATAGAATAGTCACTTATTAATTCACCATGAAAATTAAACTTAGCCAAGGTATGTAAGGAATTTATGGTCTAATCAAATCTTTCAGTTAAACCACCTAAGATGATGATGCGATGAATGTCTGGTTATTATTAAATAAAATATAGTGCTTTTTCAAAATCTGAAGTATCTTAATCATCAATTTTAATAATGGGACAATTTAGTGATGAATAATATTCTTAAATTTCTAGTTTGAGACTATCAAGGTCACCAATGATACATTATGGAATAATTTTTTTTTGATATTAATAGAGTCTGTTAGCACCACCATCAGCACAAATAAGGTAGGCATTTGGAGTGTAATAAAAATCAAAGACTTTTTGATTAATTTGTGTATTGAGAATAAGAATAGCTATTTTTTACATAAATAATTTTAATGTGAATATTAATGAATATTGTTAAGATATAAAAAAAGGTTGTTTAATAAAAGATTGAAAAAAAGAGATCAGAGTGGCGAATGTATTTCAATCAAGAATTTCTGTAATATAATTCAATCATCATTAAAAAGATGAATATATAAGTAATATATATATATTTGAATGTATATTTAATATTTAATGGGATGAGTACATTAATCACATATTAAAATCTTTTTATTTAAAATAAAAAAGCAATGGTCAGCCGATTGAGGAAATGCCGTAAAATGAGAGGACATGTGTGTCATGGATATGGTAGAGTAGGTAAACACAGAAAACATCCAAGTGGTAGAGGTGTTTCAGGAGGTTTAACACATCATCGCATCAATTTCAATAAATATCATCCAGGTTATTTCCAAAAAGTATAAATTTATTATAATGATTTTAGAATGGTATGAGACATTTCCATTTGAAGAAGAACACACTCCATAGACCAGTTGTAAATATAGATAAATTATGGTCATTGGTTACAGATGAAACTAGAAAAAAATATGCTAGTTCAAAAGATAAAGCAGCTGTTATTGATGTTACAAAGGCTGGTTATTTCAAAGTCCTCGGTAAAGGCAGACTTCCAAATTAACCTGTTGTTGTTAAAGCTAAATTCTTTAGCAAAACTGCAGAAAGAAGAATTAAAGCAGTCGGTGGTGCATGCATACTTGTAGCCTGATACATTATTACATATTACAATATCAAATAGACAATATTCATTCAAGCTTTTTAAACATTAATGCACAATTAATAGCTAATTCCCATTGTTTATATTCTTTCTCATAACTCTTTTTTCCTTCATATATCTGTTAAACTTTCATATTTTAGTGTATGTCTTCTTCTGTCAATAATTTTGATCCCATTCCGGCAAACATTGCAGCTCCTGAAGCAGTAGATTCAATTATTTCTGGATATACTAATTTCTTTTATGTAATGTCTGCTTATAATTACATTAATTCTTTATTCTTAGTTAACCCTCCATCAACATGAATCTTATTTATTTTTATTCCTGATTATTCCATTGCCTTTATAACATCTTTCGTTCTATAACAAACTGATTCTAATATTGCCCTTCTTAAATGATCTTTAGTTGTATAATAACTTAAACCAATTATTGTTCCTGAAGCATTCAAATTCCAATAAGGAGTGAATAATCCACTAAATGCTGGTACTATATATACTCCTCCATTATCTTCTGTATTTACTGTACTTTAACTCAATTAATCCCAACTCTCAAACCATTACATTTTATCTTTTGCCCAATTGAATAGTTACCCTCCACTCTCTACAGCTCCTTCAAAAGCATATACTGCTTTCTCATTTTCCTTTTAGTACAACACTGTTGTCAACAATCCATACTCTGAAATCTTTATTTCCTATCCAATGTTAGCCATTATAAAAAGACCACTACCCTATGTATTCTTGCAATCTCCTTCATTAAATAATGCATGACCGATTGCTGCTGCTTATTAATCACCTAAAACACTGTTTATTTCTACTCCTTCATACTCTTCAATCTTCAATTTTCCAAATCTACTATTTGATGCCTTTATAACAGGTAAACATTCTATAGGAATTTAAAATTAACTATTATTATTATGCAATATTCTTACATTAATAATTCTTGATCCCATTAAAGTGTACTTAAATTCATTAAATTTGTTCTTGATGCATTTGTTACATCTGTCAAATGATTCTGTTCTTTTGTCAAATTCCATACTAACCAACAATCTATTGTCCCAAATAATGCATTTCCACTATTAACATCATCTTTCAGTATCTGATTGTTTTCCATCATCCATTATAATTTGTAAGAACTAAAATAAGTATTTATTGGTAATCCAGTTTTTTATTAAAAATAATTCTTTGGATACTTATTTAAATATTCCTAGCATATATCATGTGTTCTTGTATCACTCCAAACTATTGCATTCATGTATGGCTTTCCAGTATGTTTATTCCAAGCAACTACAGTTTCTCTTTAATTTGTCACTCCAATTGCCACCAATTTATGCTCTCCATTCATCTTTTTATAGGCTTACTTTATGCATTCAATTGTATTATTTAAAATCTCTATTGGATCATGTTCCAACCAACCTTGATGTGGAGTGATTTATTTATGATTCACATAATGGTAACTAAGTTATTCACCTTTCAAATTGCAAATTGTAAATCTTGTGCCTGTTGTTGAGGAATCTATTGATCCTATTAAAGATTACATAATTTATTTATTTAATACGTAATTTTAGTACTGCTTATAATATATATTAATTTTTCAATGTAAATAAATCAATTTTAATGTTATTAATTCTAAGTACTTTTTTCGAGTTCTTTGGATTATTATTTACTAATAGACTATTGTTGAGATATTTTACGATTTTGCTTAGAAGAAATAGAGTGATTATCAGAAGAAAGAACTTCACTTTAATTCATTTTACCTTTATATTTAGTAGATGAAGTTTTGCTTTTTTTATCACAATAATTTAGAATAGATTATAAATCTTGTTTGCTATTCTTTATAGTTTTTTATTGATATAATCGTTCTACCTATTATTATTGTTCATTAAAGGATGGTTTACATAAGGAGGGGAGTGAAAATTAATATTCTTTCATTAACGATTCACGAAAAGATGAATTACTATTGAGATAATTACTCAACTGTCCATTCTCTTTTAATTTTAGCATTGTAGGTAATTAAGCATAAGGACTATTCTATGATTCTTTAGGCAATTTCTATAAACTATTAGATTTAGAATTTGAAGGTCTTAAACCTGAGATACTATTATATTCTTTGATGCTTAAATTCAGAGCAGTCATGAGATCATTTTTCAAATTATTACCATGAAGTTGGGAGTTCTTTAATTTACTTAAGTTAATTAATTAAAATAATTACTTTAGCAATCGCTGTTCTTCGGTACTCATCTAATCACATAAAGTTTACTGCTCTTATAATTGTTTGCCAATTTAATCTTTAAATAAATTTTATTCTTATCGAATTTTATCTATTTTTTCTGATTTCTTTTACTCTAAATCTTGCTTCATATTAAACTCCCATTCTGAGATCTAAATCTAAAATAAAACCTAATACTTTAGCATATTATTGTTGTTTTTCTAAAAGCTCTTCTTCTCTTTTCTTTTTATTTTAATACATCTACAATGTTAATTATTGTTTCATTAATGCAGTTTTTAAACATTTCTCATCAAGCATATCTTACTTCATCTTTTTTGTTTCTTCTTACTATTATTGTTTATTTCTTCTTATAAAATTTTGTATTCCATCATCATTTATATTGTTAGCTTCAATTATTTTACTAAGCTTTATAATTACTATTAATTTATACTTCCATCTGATCTTCAAATTTCTATTTCTTAGCATGTACAATTTTATCTACTTTTGCTTAAACAATATTATTGTTAGCTTCTTGTAAATTAAGCTATTGTTTCAATTAAATCAATCGATTTTCAAGAGCTGCAAGTTCTTAGTTTTTTTGGTTCAAATTTTTTATATGTTAAGAAACTGTTTCCATATTTCCTATTGAGAATAAAAAAATAAGAAATTTATTAATCAATGATTTATTTTAAGTTACTTTAAATTAAGAATAAAAACTTTAAATCAAGGTAGGTATTTATATAGGATAAAACTTAGCCATTTTAAGTAATTATTATATGGATCTCTTTTGAATTGATTTTTTTTTATTATTAATAAATTTTTGGGATAATATGGATTAAAAGTATTAGGAAGCATTACAACTTGAAGGATTTATAGAAAAGAAAAGTCCATCAATACTAAAGGGTTTTTAAAAGCGACACTTCGCAGTAAGGGATAAAGGCTAATTGTTGGTTTACTCAAAGAAAAAGTTATTGAGTAAAGAAATCAAACCAAAAGGTACAATATTTAAGATAATTATTAAGGTGTAATTCCTATTGAATAGATAAAAACTATAGGAACAATTAAAGGATGTGATAGAGAATTTATTCTTGAAATAGGAGACAGGAAAATTCATTTAAAAGCAGAATCAAAGAGTACCAGAGATCTATGGACTTCAAGTATTGCATTACTATAAGAAAAACTCTTATAATAGAAAAATTCATAAACTACTTAAAGTTAGAAACAAAGTTTCAATTCTAGAGGGTCTGAAAATATAAGATTATCATAAAAAACATTTTGGAAAGATATTGATTAGGAAACTAAGGCCTCAATAATGATAGACTAAGAAAAATAAGCTGTGTAGGATAAATTTTAGGAAAACGAAATAAGGAATGAAGAAGTGATGAAAGCTAAAGGATTATATGCGTATCTTGATAAGTTTGACTCAAAAAAATTTACTTAGTTTGTAAAATGTGGATTTTTATATAAAAAGGGAAAGATTGCATCACTTACAAAAGCAAAGAGAAGATGGTTTATTATTATATCCTCAATTTCTCTTTTAGGAGATGATGCAAATATTTAAGGTCCACATTAATCAGATATTCCAGATCCTTTTAAATTAGATCATCTATATTATTTTGCTTATGACTATAGAAATGATTAAAGCAGTTTTAAAGGTGAATTATAGGCTAATTAAATAACCGATTTTGAATTGATGAATGTTGATAGAAATCTAGCCTTTTTAAAATAATTAAGTCATAGTGTTACTTATGGTTTTAAATTTAATCATAAGGATCGTTAATATCATTTCTTTTCAGAATCATTAACTGAAATTTAATCTTGGGTAACTACAATCAGAATCATAAAAGATTACAAAGCAACTATTAGTACTTAATAAGTTGAAGATGAGGAACATGAGTTGATTATCAAAAAAGAAGATGTTTTATTACAAGATTTAATGGAAGTCAAGATAAAGAGAAAAATTAGAAAAGATAAATGGTTTTAAAGAATGGTTTATTTAAATAAGGATAACTTAACTTGGGCAAAATAAGAAAAAAATGACTCTGAAAATTATATTTTGTTGATTTCAATTAAAAATGTAGTTGGTGAAGATACGGAATTTTATGTAAACCTATTTCATAATTTATTAGATAGAAACTAAAGATGATAAAAAATTTAAATTTAAAACAAAATCACTAGAAATCTAAAATCAATGGGTTGAAAGAATATAATTTTTGTTATTAAATTTGAAAGGAGAGTTTAAAGATTTGGAAAAAGTAACTGAATTACCTCCAGAATAACAAGTTTAAAATTCAAAATCTATTGAATAGAAAAAGAGTAATTCCTTAGAAAAAAATAAAGTTTAACCTGAATTGATTGAAGAAAATAATTAGAATAATCAAGATATTGCTTGTTATTATGACAATTTTTTTAGCTAAAAAAAATAAGAAGAATAATAAAAAAAAGTATAAAAAAGTAGTGGATTTTCAATATTTCATAAAATTTTTTGTTGCTATTCCCAAGAGAGTGAAACCGATAGAGGATTTTGAAATATAATTGCCTTGTGATTTTATTAAAGAAATTAAAATTATAATTTATCAAAAAAATCACAAACACCCATTTTAGGATGTTGATAATCTAATTTAACTCACAAAAAAAACTATTCCTAATAAAGGAGAATATTTCTATGATTATAAGTTATAAGATGCTCTAATAAAAAGAGACATTTATTCAATAAGAAGAATTTAAATAAAAATTTAAGATTGATTTTGAATATCTTATAATCTCCTATTAATACAACAAGAGAATTAATTAGTCACACAAATATTTGAGGTTTTTAATCACTTCATCATAATTAGGAATGCAATTGTTTGAATTATGAGCAGAAAAATAAGATAAGAAAACAGCCATATTATTTACTTTTTCTTAAATAAGCAGCATTATTAACAACTATTGCCTCTAGAGGTTTAGAATTTCTAAAAGTGGATTAGGTTATTCAAATTGATTGTCTTGATGTTTCATCCACTTATTACATAAAATTGGAAGAACTGCAAGGTATATAATTGAAGGTTTCTCAATACTATTTCTTTTGCTTTTGAATTAAAGTTTTTTGAAAAAGTTAATTATAAGGGAGTTGATATTAAATAGAAATTCTTGAATAATAATAAATTATTAACAATAAAATAAAAAGTTTAAAGTTTAGTTTCAGAAAAAATAGAATTAAAATATTTAGCACAAAAAGATGTTTATAAGTTATGTTCGATCTATAAACATAAATGCTGATAAGGATTTGCTGAGCAGGGGTTTAGTTTAAATTACTATACTTTCAGTTTACTAGTAGAATGAGTTAAATTAGGATGATAAACCTGAAAAAAATCTAAATTACAAAAATTATTAATGAAAATTGAGATTAAAAAGTAGATGGTAAATAAACCTATTCAAATTAAAAAAAATTGAAGTAAATCTCAAGAGAAAGTAGGTTTAATAAAGTTGATGAAATGAAAGGGAAGACCATTAGTTTTGAGGGTNTTCAATATTTCATAAAATTTTTTGTTGCTATTCCCAAGAGAGTGAAACCGATAGAGGATTTTGAAATATAATTGCCTTGTGATTTTATTAAAGAAATTAAAATTATAATTTATCAAAAAAATCACAAACACCCATTTTAGGATGTTGATAATCTAATTTAACTCACAAAAAAAACTATTCCTAATAAAGGAGAATATTTCTATGATTATAAGTTATAAGATGCTCTAATAAAAAGAGACATTTATTCAATAAGAAGAATTTAAATAAAAATTTAAGATTGATTTTGAATATCTTATAATCTCCTATTAATACAACAAGAGAATTAATTAGTCACACAAATATTTGAGGTTTTTAATCACTTCATCATAATTAGGAATGCAATTGTTTGAATTATGAGCAGAAAAATAAGATAAGAAAACAGCCATATTATTTACTTTTTCTTAAATAAGCAGCATTATTAACAACTATTGCCTCTAGAGGTTTAGAATTTCTAAAAGTGGATTAGGTTATTCAAATTGATTGTCTTGATGTTTCATCCACTTATTACATAAAATTGGAAGAACTGCAAGGTATATAATTGAAGGTTTCTCAATACTATTTCTTTTGCTTTTGAATTAAAGTTTTTTGAAAAAGTTAATTATAAGGGAGTTGATATTAAATAGAAATTCTTGAATAATAATAAATTATTAACAATAAAATAAAAAGTTTAAAGTTTAGTTTCAGAAAAAATAGAATTAAAATATTTAGCACAAAAAGATGTTTATAAGTTATGTTCGATCTATAAACATAAATGCTGATAAGGATTTGCTGAGCAGGGGTTTAGTTTAAATTACTATACTTTCAGTTTACTAGTAGAATGAGTTAAATTAGGATGATAAACCTGAAAAAAATCTAAATTACAAAAATTATTAATGAAAATTGAGATTAAAAAGTAGATGGTAAATAAACCTATTCAAATTAAAAAAAATTGAAGTAAATCTCAAGAGAAAGTAGGTTTAATAAAGTTGATGAAATGAAAGGGAAGACCATTAGTTTTGAGGGTGAATTTTTAAAAAGAAAACATTAATAAGATATTAAAGAGGAGAAAGTAGTTGAGTGACCTAAATTTGTTACTTCTAAAGGAAAAATAAAAAAAGTTGAGGTAGATGATATATTTGGAGGTAGAAATAAAGAAATTTTTAATAAGGAAGGTGTATTTTCTATTTTAATTCTCAGTTAATCAAATTAAAGCAGAGGATAAGAAAGATAAAAAATTTTAAAAGAACAATACGAAGTTTTATAAAAAGATCAAGATGAAAACATGGACAGAAGTTAATAGAACATGCTTAAAGATGATAAAACTAATGAACAGATTGTATTATATAGAAAAGATTTAAGAAGAAAATAAGGAGAAGAGTATTGATTTTTTATCGTAATTAATATTTTTAATTAAAAAAATGAAAATAATATAGAGCACTAATTCTTTCTACTAATTTTCAAAGGAATATTAAACCTATTTTAAAGATAAATCCATAGAATAAATTGAAAAACCTTAAAATCCAGTTGCTTTAATGAATTCTTTCTTACGTAATTCTTCCTTTGCAAAAAAAAGTGCATAACCTTTAGATTGGCCTTCTGATTTAGATTTATCCAATATTAGAGAAGAATATTTCATTATTAATCCTAATGAGAGATTTTAAAGAGAATGGAATGAGAAGAAGATATTTTTCAAAAATAGATAAAGTCCCTTACGAACGGAATCATTTAACAGATTTAGAGAGAATATTCGTTCTTTTAGTAAAACCTACAAAATTTAGAAAGACAATCTTTAGTATGATTAAATAGGGGCTGTCCCTAGTTAAAGAAAACAAGAATTATAAACAATAGTTTAGGCATAAAAATAATATAAAGATAAAAAAGAATAATTTCATTTTTTAAATAAGCAACATCGTTTGATCGAAAATCTCCATCATGATGATATAATATAAAAATCAATTATCGAAAGTACATAAAGTAGCTTAAATAGACTATTAGATTAATGATAATAAAAATGAAACTAATTATTAAGAGAATCGAATAATAGTAAAAATGAATTCAGATAATGAAATAAATGGAGATTGGGCAAGAAAACGAAAGTCTCCAGTAAATAAATTAGATACGTTTCATAGAGTGATTTCTCAAGAGGATAATGAGAAAAGTAAATTAGGTAAGGCAAAACCTAATAGAGTTAAGCAATTTGAACGGAAAGGTAGAGAATATAATATTGTTAATTTTGCATGTAATTGAAATTTAAAATATATATATTTTTTTTATTGTTAATCCCATATCAATATTAAATTTGAAATGAAAATTTTTGAATAGAGTTTTGGCAAACAAGAAGGTTTTCAAATGACAGCTTAGTTCTTTAATCCATTAATTGGAAAAAAGAATGAATATATTTAAAAAAGAAAGAGAGAAAACTCTTTAGCCCAATAGAACCTTGAAGCTATTAAATCAATATTATCTAAAACTAAAATACTTCAAAAAAATGTACTTTGTAGAAAAACTACCACTCACTCAACGAATGATTACAAATAAGATAATCTTTATAGTTATCAAAGTACTAAATAAAGTACCTAATAAAGTACATAAGATTCTCAAGATTTTAGCAATAACATTCCTAAGATTCATGATATGAAAATTAGAAATTCAATTAATTCTTTTAATATTCATAACTACAAATCTAGTTTTCATATAAAAATGCCTATACTTAAAGAATATAGTAGTTAGGCCACTTAATAATTAGAAAACAATTCTGGGTTGAGCAAGATTTCTAATAGTTTAGAAGAGAAGAAATATATAATTAAAGTAAAGGATCCTTTTGGATAAGCAAAATAACCACCTACATAACCAACAAGAAAATATTCTTCGAAATCATTCGTTAATTAAAAAGCTCAAATTAAATTGGTAAATAGAATATTTTCTTCAAGATCAGAGAGCTTAGAAAAATGAAAAAATGATTATATGAGTTTGAATTATATGCTTTTAAAAATAACTTAGTAATTTTATACAAATTTTTTAAATGATTATTATATAAACTTAAATTCTTTAAGAAAATTCATTATTCTATAAGAAAAAAAGTTTATTAAAATAGGAGGGAGGTTGAAATAATTAATTTTAGAAAGAAATAGATTGTTAATTAAATTTTAATATTATTTTGTATAAAAATTAAATCGTTAAATTGTATGTATTAAAGTGCATCAAAAAGTGCCAAAAAATAAAGTAACACTGTAGGAAAAGTAATGATAATATTATAAACTTATAGCCAAGTGATTAAAATATAGCCAGAAGAGTTTAAACAGAGACAATTGATTATACTGAAGTAGAACAAGATATTCAGACATTTTAAGATATCTCTAATTTAAAACTTCAAAATAAACTTATATCTTTTAAGTAGCCTGCAAAGAAGCCTGTTGTTAAAGATTTTAACATTTAATATCAATAATGTTTAAAGAATGAGAACTAAATAAAGTCGATATCGGAAACTGTTAAGAAATGTTAGAAACCTTAAGGAATAGATATAATCAATACAAAATCTTTATTGATTTCAAGTAAGCCAATTAAACAAGATTATTCTACATATACTTATTAAAATCTTAAAGTAATAGGAAGTGGTTCGTTTGGTACTGTCTCAAAAGTAAATATCTAATAAAAATTTTAAGTCTAAAGTAAATGAAACAGGAGAAATAGTGGCCATTAAAAAGGTATTACAGGATAAAAGATACAAAAATAGGGAACTTTTAATTCTTTAAGAGTTAAACCACCAAAATGTAGTTAAATTAAAGCATGCTTTTTTCACACCTTCTGACAACAAAGATGAAATGTATTTGAATGTTGTAATGGATTATTATCCAGAATCACTATACACTTACAATAAATCTTTTAGATAAGTATAAGCAAAAATGCCTGAAATATTGGTTAAAATTTATTCATATTAATTACTAAGATCAATATAGTAAGAGATCATAGAATAATTAGTTATATATCATTGTTATCTATATGCCATAGAGACATAAAGCCACATAATATTTTAGTTAATCCTAATCAACATAAGCTCTAGCTTTGTGATTTTGGGAGTGCAAAGAGATTAGTAAAAACAGAAGCAAATATATCTTACATATGTTCGAGATGTTACAGGGCACCAGAATTAATATTTGGAGCTGTCAATTATGATACATAGATAGACGTTTGGTCAGTTGGATGTGTAATAGCTGAGTTATTCAATGGAGAACCTTTATTTCTAGGAGATAGTGCAGTTGATTAATTAATTGAAATCATTAAAGTTCTTGGAACTCCAACCAAAGTTTAAGTTTTGAGTATGAATACAGAATATGATATGTAATCATATAAATTTCCATTAATTAAACCAAGAGATTGGAAGAAGGTATTAATTTTAATTTTTTTTATTAGGTTATTAAAACTAATGATTCATTAGCTATTGAATTAATTTCTAAATTACTAGTATATTGTCCTAAAACTAGATTTACTCCAATTTAAGCATTATGTCATCCTTATTTTGATTAATTGAGAGATCTTAATTAAATTAAATAACTAAAAGAAATTTATAACTTTAATCTTGAAGAATTGTTTCAATTTAGTAATTGTAAATTATTTCTGAATATCTTAATTAGTGGAAACTAATAAAATGACAAATGATGAAATTAAAAAGTTAATACCTAATTGGATAAGTTGTAGTTCTACTAAAATTGTTAAGACCATTGGATGATTCATGATATTCATTATTACTAAATAGTTTGAATAACATAATTTCAAATAAATTAATTAAGTCATTTATTTGCTAAGAAATTTCTAGATTCAGAAATTTTGTATTAATGGTTAACTCATTCTAGCTAACTATTAATTATTCCAATTATCAACATAAACTTCTTCTTCATCTGCTTTTTCTTCAAAATATTGGTACTCTTATTGTTATTGTTTCATTATAAATTCTAATTCCTTTTTATATACATTTTAGCCAACTAGTTCCAAATATTCATTAGTATCTACATATTTCTTTTTTGATTTATCCTTCATTTTTTCTTCGAATTATTTTTCCAATTTCTTGGTATATAAATTACTATTTTTAACTAAATATTATTAATATATAATTACCATTTGGTATAACTTTTTCAACCTATTAATATGGATTATCAATAACTTTAGTATTGAAATTGCTTTAGATATCTGACAACACAAAATTTTATTATTAATTTAAATGTTCAGCATTTTCATCTCTGACATATCTATTAATTAATCTACTAGTCATAGGAATACTTTTAGGTCTTTATGAGGTTATCAAAGAAAATGGAGGTCTATCATCCTTACAATCATACCATCTTAATCTAAGATACCAAAGTCTATCATTATGTTTCTCATCTTCATTCTTTTGAGATTCAATAATATTTAATTTTAGAGTTCTATCCCTATAATTATCAGATCGAACTAATATAGTTTCAGTAGGAGATCTTTCACAATTAGATGCAATTTAATTATTTACAAATTCCCACTTATCTTTCAATTAATCAAATGATTCTATTATTCTTTTATCTCTAGTAATTGCATTTTTAATATGAAGAGGTAGTTTTTATTCTTGTTTTATTTTATCTATTTTATCATTTTCAATTCTACGTTTGGCTTCAACCAATTTTACTAATGCGTCTTATCTAGGTAGCATTTTGAATTCTCCTCTAGGTTTTTTAGGAATTTTTTTTGACTAACCCATTCCAGACATCTAAGATTAAGATTGTTAAAATAAAATAGGTTTGACAGATGGAACATCATCAGAAAATGAATCATCTCCATCTTACTTTCTTTATTTAATTACAACCCTCTATCTATTCTTATTTCTAACTGCCAAGAATTATTCAGCCTTCCCTACAATAGACCATTTCACGATCTTATCTTTTTTATCATCTTCATATCTTGGGCCAATTTAGTTATCTTTGTATTTCTTTCTTTCCTCATTGTTAACCTCTATATAAACATTATTATTATACCATCAAAAATATTTCTTATTGTATGTAATGAATTAGGTTTCATGTAAAGAGATTTATAGGTACTTTATTAAAATCTACTTTCAAATTAAAAATCACTTCCAGTACCAGCTGCAGTAGTTGCAGGCCTTATACTATCTTCATTAGATTTATAGCCTAAGTCAACTTTTTATGATAAAAACAATTTGCTCTTTAAACTCATTTTATATATAAATTAATTAAAATGTGGTAATTGATGAATATATTTTTATAAAATTCATTTTTTGTTAGAAATAAATCTTCCTTTCTCTCTTAAGCGAGAATTTGCTTTCTTTCTTCTATAATCGTAATGGTTCTTTTTAGTAAACTATCGATTATTTTTTTTTTGTTTGTATTTTTAAATTTTTTTTTATCTCTCTTGATAAGTTAAAGGTCCAATCTATATCTAAGTAGAGATCTTAAATGAATTAAAGTATTCTATCATCTCTTTTGTTAACCCTTCTTTTATTGGAAGAAGTTGTTTTATATCAATAAATTAAGCCAAAAATGCATCTGCTTTCTAAATATTAGCCTAAGAGAAGGGATCACTATTATTGGTTTCGTTCATAATTATTTATCTGAATTAAAATTACAAAATGTAATTTACAATTATTATTATTAAAATACTTTATTATTATGGCAAATAAAGTAGGGGCAACTTAGATCTATGAAACATAACCAATGAAATTTTATGATGAGAATGCTGATAATAATAGTATTTTAGCTCCTTATAATCTTTGTCCTAAAGGAGTTTATATTTTGAATATGTGTACGACTATTACAAATTCATTTTTATTATCAAGTATCAATATATATAAATATCATTTTAAAAGCATCAGGATAAGTATATTCTTGGGGAAATAATTGTGAAGAACTAGGTAGAACATGTGCTACTTAAGCCGAAGCATCAAGACCTGCATTAGTTTCATTTCAAACAAAAATTATGTAAATTTGTTCAGGAAATAATCATATTCTTGCCTTAGATGTAAATGGTGTTGTTTATAGTTGGGGAAGAAATGAAGCAGGATAACTTGGATAAAATGATTTAGATCCTGTTGCTTTACCTAAAGAAGTAGAATTTTTCAAAAAATCACCTGTTGTATAAATATATGCTGGAGGTGATTCATCATATGCAATAACTAAAAAGGGAAGTCTATTTGCTTGGGGTGATAATTCAAATAATTAACTTGGATTAGGAGAAGGAGATCATTCTTCTCCTTAATAAGTTATTCAAACTCCTTGGGATAATGCTAGAGAAGTTAAAATAGTTTATGGTAAAAATAATTTAGGTTATTTATTTAATATTGATAACATTACTAAAGAACAAGAAAATTAGATTGTCAATATGCAATTAAAAGAAGCCCAAGAAGAAATCATGAAACTATAATAAAAACTAAATGAATAAAATAGTTTGTCTGCCAAATAACCAGTTATTGTTGAAAAAACTCTGGGAGAAGATTAATTACTTAAAAATATCTAAACTTAAATACAATCCGCTACTGGATAATCTAATTCTTAAGAAAATACTCTTAAATAAACAGAAGAAGAAATTCTTTAATTAGAAAAGGATTTACAAAGTATCAAATAATAATTATGTAAAATATTGACTTAATTAATTTAGTTGATATTTTTGCAAAAGAAAATGAATTGAATAATTAAAGAGAAGAAGTTGATATGTAAGTTAGAAAATTAGAAAGAAGTGATTAAGGTAAATCAGCTGAACATGAATTAAAAATTAAAGAATAAAAAAGAATTAAAGAATTATTCTAAGCAAATGATAATATTAAAAATAATTTATTAAAAAGGTAGAATCAATCAGAAGAAACTAAGCTAAGAAAATAAGAAGAATTAGGTAAATAAAGAGAAAAAGCAAAGGATTTATAAAATCTTATATCCTTATTAAAAATTGTTGAAACTGATAGAAAAATCACATTAAAAAAGAAGTTTTTAGAACAAAATAAAGTTGATTTAGAGAAATTCATGGAAAAAATTACTCATTTTTTTAGAGAAATGTGCGATTGTAACATAGCTGAAATAGCCAAAAAAACAAATTAATTATCTGGAATGGCTAATATTATAAAATAAAGTAATGAGAAATTATCATACATAAAAAATGAATTATTGGGATTTAAAATAAATTCTAGTGATGAAAGTTATGAAATTTTATCAAAAATTTTAGATATTTTATAGGATAATTTAAATTTGAGAAAAAAACTAAATGATTATATGGTAGGAGTAATAATGATGAGCGAAGAAAAAACTTAATAGCCAATAAAAGTTCAAGAGATTTAGAATTAACAATAAAAAAAGTTATAGTAGTTTATTGAGAAATAGCAAAAAGAATTATAGGAGATAGGGAGATTATAAATAGATGGTAGAAAATATAAGGCTTAAGTTCAATCAATTAATAATATGAAGCTTAAATAGAGAGATGTAAGATATGAATGTTAATTTTAGTTCTGCTTTGGTTTAATATGATGAGGAATTTTTCAATTCTTAAAATTTAATTTATATATGATGTAATAAATAAATTAATGATTAACTAAGTTGTTTTTGTATCATTTTTGATCTTAGCTAATGGGGTTGGATTATTTGAATAATATTATCCATTAGCCGATGAGATAGTAAGTGCAATGACTTTATAGTAAAAAATAGGACAAACATTGTAAGTTGATATTACAAGTTTTAATGATGAATAAGGTAATACTCATTATGAATAAATATCTTAACATTTTTTGGGTTCAATATTAGTAGGTGGTAATGGATGTCCAGATGGTAGAGGAAATATAATAGTCTCAGATAATTGTTTTGCTGCCACAAATGCAAATTGGAGGGATGTAGCATAAAGAAGCTTGAAATAAAAAGTGATAGTAAATGTTCCAGGACATGGGGAAACCTAAATAAATTTATTATTGGGTACAGATGCAGTACATGGAAACTAACATTCTGTAGGAGCAGTTCTATTTCCTCATAATATAGGTTTGGCTGCAAGTCACAATGTAGAAAATTATATAAAGGCTGCTTATTGGACTAAGTAAAGTATTTTAGATTGTGGTTTTAATTTTGCATTTGCTCCAACTGTAGCAGTATCTCATAATCCAAAGTGGGGTAGATTTTATGAAACTCAAGGAGCTGATCCTAAATTTATAAAAGAAATAGGTAGAGCGTATATAAAAGAATTATAGGACGATGATGGATAGAAAATAAATGGAGTGTTGGGATCAACTAAACATTATTTTGGTGATGGTGCAACATTTAATGGATATGATGAAGGTAATTGCAGAGTTGAAAATTTTGATGTTTTTTATAATAATAATGTTTAAGGATATATTGGTGCTTTAGAGGCTAATACAGGAACTATTATGGTTAGTTATAGTGCTATAAATGAATTACCTATGAGCATTAGCGATTTAATTAATGTAGATTTGAAATAAAAATATAAATTTGATGGATTTATAATTAGTGATTATAATGCTGCTATAAAAGTTGCATATTAAGGTTTACCTACAACACATACTAAAATGACAATTGAAGATGCATATACTATATCATTTAATTCAGGAATGGATATGTAAATGGTTGATGGTAATGTTGGATGGTATGAATAAGTTATGAATACAATCATAGCATAAGGTAGAATTCCAAATGAAAGATTAAATGATGCAGTCAAAAGAATTTTAGCTGTTAAATTAGCTATGAATCTAATTAATGTACCTGAAACATTGGCAAAGAAATATAATTATACTTAAGAAAAGAAAGAAGAAGAAAATGTTTAATAAGAGTAGAAATCTAAAGATGATAATGATGCAGAATATTATGATGCTTTAAGATCAGCAAAAGAATCATTAGTTTTATTGAAAAATAAATAAAATTTATTACCAATTAATAAATATAAGATTACTAATGTAATTTTATTAGGAGAAAGATTTTGGTCATTTAAAGGCGAATTTAAGAGAATATTTTAAGACTTTGATAATATTGGGGCTTAGAATGGTGGTTGGACAATAAGATGGTAAGGATATAATGGAAATGATTATTGGGAAAATGATTTAAAAGTATCATCTAAGGCTACATCAATATTGGATGCAATAAAAAGTAGATTCAACTCTGCTAATATTTATTATGTTAAATATTCTGATCCTTAAAATTTATTGTTGATAAATGAGCAACGAAATAATTTCAGGAATTATATTATAAATAATTAAGATTAATTTAATAGAGAAAATACATTAATTATAAATACTTTAGCTGAGAATCCATATGCTGAATTTATGGGAGATATTGATTGTGAATATTGCAAGAATCAAGATAAATATGGATGTATTTATAATAATTGGATTAATCAATATTTACCAGATGAATAACCTACTTCATTGGAAATGAATCTTGGGGATTTTGAAAAATAAGTATTTATTAGATTGTATATTTAAGATAATCAATATTGTAAGATAAAAAGATGTAGATATTCCAGTTGTTACAGTGTTATTCAGTGGTAGACCTATGATTATTACTAATCCACTTTAAGTGAGTTCAGCATTTGTAGCAGCTTGGTGGCCAGGAACTGCTGGTGGTGAAGCTGTTGTATAAGCACTTTTTGGAGAATATTTATTTAAAGCTTAAGGTAAACTTAATACACTTCCTGTTCCATGGATGAGAAATATGTAATAGATCTCAAACTATCCTATTTATTAAAATGAAGTACCATAAATTGAAGATCCACTTTTTGAAGAAGGTTTTGGATTAGAAACTAGACCCTAAAATATTTAATGAGAGATCATATTAATTACATATAAAAAGAAAACTTAATATTCATCTATTTTTTTTCAATAATATTTATTCTTTCAATGATTTAAAAGAAATCTCCAAAGTTTATTACTAAACTCTATAATATTTTGGAAGTAACTATTAATCTTTATTTAGAATCAAAACACTGATGTAATCCATTGGAATGAAGATGGAGATGCTTTCTAAATTAATGATATTGATAAATTAGTAAAAACAGTCTTAAGTGTTCATTACAAACAATCTAGCTTTCTTAGTTTCTCCAGGTATCTCCTCTTATTATTTAAATCAGATAATTAAATCAATATGGATTCTAAAAATAAAGGGTCGGAAAAAATATATATGTTTTTAAACATCCTTATTTTCGAAAAACCTAAAAGTAACTATAATATATTATAGTAGGGAAGATATTATCAATATTGTTAGCTCTCATAAAATTAAATCTTTCAAAATTTAACAATTAGAACATGAAGATGATAATCTTGTTAACATTAATGAATAAAATTCCTTAGCAACCACTATAAAAAAATTATAAAACTAATAAAAGATGATTTGCCAATAATTTTCAGAATAAATTGAATTATAATCTCAAATTAAATAGATCATTATATTTCTTAAAAAAGTAATAAATATAAAATAAATTAGAGAATTTATGAATGCGATCAAACTATTGATAATTATTGTTTTATTGCATAGTTACATCTAGTCAAAGCAATGAATTTAATCCCCAACGATGAAGAACACTAATAAGAAATAGAATTTATCAAATAAATATTAGAATAATTTTCCAATATTTATATGGAATATAATGATTAAAATCCAATAAGTTAAAGAAGCTATAATCTTTCAGTTAGATCTCGTACACCTATACCATTTTATCAATATGAATAACAAAATTAAAAATCAACAGGGCTTATTGATTAAAAAAATACGTAATTAAAATAAAATATAGCAAATTATTTAATATGGCTATAACAATGGTATCAAGAAGCATTATAACTATATGGAAATTTGAAATGATTTTTATTACAATCTATTTATATCAATAATATTAGTAGAAAATTATATAAAATTATAGCTGATGCTCATATTTTAAGATAAAAATAAAATTGTATTAATGAGAATTAAAATTATGGATTTATACTGAACATAATATAGTATAGATGAAATCAGGAATTTTGAATTACTTCATCTCTAAGTTGATCAATATTTTTTTTATGATATTTCTAAAAGTCTTCTAGATATTCAAGGTCTAAGTTTGTTTAAGATCTAATATATTTTAAGAGTATCTTACTCAACTGAATTATTATTTATTGTAATTTGTTTTTAATTATAACTTCTTTGTTGAGACAAATGAAACTTTGACTTTTAAGTTGAGAGAAAAGGTTTATTTTGATCAGCATTATTTTCAAGTTCAGTTCTACTTTTAACATACCTATTTCTTATTGATTCAAATTCCCTCTTGATGTTATCCTGATTTGCTAGCTTCACTTATATAGGAATGCTCTGTTATTTTTTATAGAATTGTAAATTAGCTTCAAATTATGATTTGACAACCTTATTTTTAAACTTTATTGTAGGAAATGATGCCTAAAGAAATATAAATATTAATATACTCTGTTTTCGCTTTTATCTTGATGAGCAAAATAATTGTTATAATGATTTCTGGTCGTAGTTAATCCATCTTTTTGAGATTGAGTGTTCTTTTTATGATTTGGAAGTATTATTTTGATTACTTTCGGATCTAAAGATCTATTTGGTAATTATTCAATATTTTATATTGATAATGAATAAGACAATATTTAGTTTTGATTAATTTATGGCTTTTATTTTAGCCTAAGTTTTTTCATTTGCGTTTAACATGTATTAGAATTAGAAGGAGTTCTTATGAATTCATGCTTATATTATTTTAATTATAAAAAACTTCTATCATCTAATCTTCTTGTTGAATCCAATTGTTTTTATGATTATTTATTTCTTGATAACCCAAATACATCAAACCTCTTTAATCTTTCATCCATTATATTTATTATATTTTTTAATTTATTTTGAAATTCATTGGGTTTCTGAATGAAAGCCATTCAAGTTAAAAGTCAGATTGAGGAAAATCTTATTCCTTAGATAATAAGAGAAAATAATAATAAGTTTGTGAGATTCAATTTATATTAAATGTATAAATTATTGAAATTTGGTTCTAGATCTATAGTTTCTGTTATTTTATTTAAGTTTTCTATAGATTTGGAGATTTTGATTTAGTTTGAATAAAAATAAAGCATTTACATAGATTAATTTTTAATGATGATTAGAGATATTGTAAAAAATTTTCTAGAAACTATTTAGAAAATCTAAAAAAAATAAATTTTTAAAGAGAGTGCTTTTGAGTTGGTTGATCTAAAATATAGTATATGTAAAAAAAGTGAAATAAATAATAACTATTGTTGTTTTGGGATAAGAATTGATAATAACAAGATATTATGTGATTGTTTATTAAAAATGCGAAATATATGAATTTGCATTAATCAATCACTTCAATCTTAGTTTTTCAATAGAAAGTGAATCAGAATATATCGGATAATATATAATTGAGTGATAGTTTAATTAATAAATTTTTTGAGGTTTAAGAACTCTCGGAAATTCTTGAATTTTCAATAAAAATAAAATAAAAGAAAAACTATTTTTATGGGTCACTTATCAGCATTATTAAGAAAAAACTGGATTTTATGGAAGAGAAGTTGGTTCTGCTCTTCACTTGAATTGATTATACCATTATTTTTAATTCTTGCATTAGGAGGAATAAGGTAATTCTTAAATTCATGTAAGGTCTGCTGTTGAAAAAGAAGATGTTTAAGAAGCTAATTTTTATGATCCTAATAATTTGAAGGGTTGGAAAGGTCCTGAATTTTTGATTCAACTATAACCTTACATAGACGAATAAATAATAGAGAAGAATTTAATTTAATATGGTCTAAGAGATCCTAATCTTGATATATCAAGTAATTTAAAGAAATTGAATACAACAACAAGACTTGGTGTGTTACCAACGATGAAGTAATATAAGAAGGTTATTTTAGGAACTGTTTAGATAATTATAGATAAGATTAGAAGAGATATTGGAGAAATGGTGATGTAGCATTGGGTCCAAGTGCTGATCATCCTATAGTATAAGAACTTACAGAAATATTTACAAGTAAGACTTTATTATTTATTTATAGAGTATTATCACTATAATGTTAAGATATTTAAGAATAGTTAAGAATTGGATAATTATACATCATCATCTAATTATGGAGATCCTAATTATCCAAGAATTTGCTTTGGTGTTATGTTTAATGAATCTAATACAAATGTTTATGATTATTAATTAAGATTCAACTCAAGTGGTAGGGTTAACAATGAAATACCTCCTACAGAAAATGTAGACATCGATCCTATTAAATATGAAGATTTGAAAAAATCTGAAACATATTTAAAATCTGGAATGTTAACTGTTTAAAACTTTATTGATAATATTATTATAAGGAGAGAAGTTGCATCAGATGCTAAGATCACTCCAACTTACACTTTTAGTATATTGTTATATAATTATTAAAGTTCGTAGAAGAGAAGGAGTTGTAGATAGTTTTGCTGAATTTTTAAGAGGAGGATTTGGTATATATTTAATATTACCATTGATGATTATATATTTAAGAATGACTTATGCTATTATTTATGAGAAAGAGAAAAAGTTGAGAGAAGGAATGAAAATGATGGGTTTATATAATACATCTTTTTATCTTTCTTGGATAATTTAATATTTTATCATTTACACCATAATATCTATAATAGCAACTATTTTGCTTAAAGGAATGGTTTTTAAAAACACTGATGGATTTGTATTATTCATTAATTATTGGCTTTTTTGTATGGTTTTAATATTTTAATCAATGTTTATAACGTATTTAAATTTATTAAATTTAGAGTATTTTTTACTAGAGCCTTATTTGGATTAATTGTAGCAATAGTTTGGTATTTATTAATGTACATGGTAATAAGTTTAGTTGGAAGTGGATAAAATTTAGTACCCGAAGCAACTTATTGGGGTGCATCAATATCTAGTCATGCTGGAATGTCATTTGCTTTTGATGTTATGATTTTATTTGAAACTTAAGGAAGAGGAGTATCAATGTCTACTATAGGAACAAAGGTTGAAAATTATGCTGTAAATATGGCATTATCTATGCATATACTTAATATATTCTTTTATTTGATTATGTCAATTTATTTAGATCTTGTATTTCCAAATGAATGGGGAAAGAAATTACATCCTTTGTTTTGTATTCCTTATTTTAATAAACCACATAGAAATTAAGAACTTTAAAGAAAAAAGTCATCATAAATTTATTAAGAAAGATTTGAAGAAGTGGAATAAGCATTGAAAGATTAAGAAACAAGGAGGGAAGTTTTATAAATATAAAATTTAACTAAAATATATCCAAGTGGTAAATAGGCTGTAAGTAATGTTAATTTAACAATGTATGTTGGATAGATTTATGCATTACTTGGACATAATGGAGCAGGTAAAACAACTACTATTTCAATGTTAACTGGATTATTAGATATTACTGAAGGATAAGCAACAGTTTTTGGATTAGATGTTGAAACATAAATTGAAGAGATTAGATCATTTATGGGAGTATGTCCATAACATGATATATTATTTGACAATTTAACAGTTAAAGAGCATTTAGAAATGTTTGCTACATTTAAGGGAATGAAACCTGAAGAGATTCCAGTAGCTGTAAGAAGAATGATTGAAGATGTAGATTTATTAGAAAAAACAGATTATTTAAGTAAGAATTTATCAGGAGGATAAAAGAGAAGATTATCAGTGGCTATTGCATTTATAGGAAATTCTAAATTAATTTATTTAGATGAACCAACATCAGGTATGGATACAAGTGCAAGAAGATACATATGGGAAATGTTGAAAAATTATAAAGAAGATAGAATAATAGTATTAACAACTCATTTTATGGATGAAGCAGATTTCTTAGGAGATAGAATAGGTATAATGGGTGAAGGTAAATTATAATGTTCAGGAAGCAGTGTCTTTTTAAAAAATTAATTTGGAAATGGGTATAATTTAACAATTGTAAAAGAGAGTACTTTAGCAGAATCAGATCCAATAATTGAATTAATTTAAAAGGTATGTCCTGAAGCTGTACTTATTTCAAAAGTATCAGCAGAGATTCTATTGTAATTACCTTTGTAAGCAATTTAGAAATTTCCTTAACTCTTTGCTGAATTAGACAAAAATCTTAAAAACCTACACATTTAAAGTTATGGAATTAGTATTACAACATTAGAAGAGGTATTTTTAAAAGTGGCTCAAATAGGAGCAGGTCATCATTAAGTTAATGAATATATGGAGAAGGAGGATTAAAATAAGGCAGCTATGTAGATAGATGATTTTGATATCAATTAGATTAGAATAATAAGTTCTATTTAATTGTTTTTCAATCACACTTTAGCATTGATTATAAAAAGATCTCGCTATTTTAAAAGAGATATTAGAAGTTTGTGTTGTGAAATATTATTGCCTTGTTTAGTAGTTTTATTAGGTTTGATTTTAATGACTATTGAATTTATCACTGAACCAGAAATTGTTTTATTAACACCACCTTCTAAATGTTATTCAACTGATATTACCTATTTATGGGGAGGCATAAATGATCAAGATTTATTTAAGAATATTTAAATTTAAGTTTATGATGAGAAATAATAAGTATTTGGAGATGCAACAATGAATAACTTAGAAAAAATAGATCAAAATTATTTTGATACATCTGATTTAAGAACAAATATAGGTTGGTATTATTTAACATCAAATACAAATAATGATTTCTAATATTATATGTTCATTAACTCTATTTTCAGAGAAGGTCCATTAGTTATGCTAAATCAGATTAATTAAGCAATACTTAAATAATAAAAAGGAGATGACTATGGTATAAATGTAACAAATTATCCACTAAAAAGAACATATGAAGAATTGTAAGGTCAAAGTTTAGTATCTGGATTTTTAGCTGCTTTAGTATTTTCAATGGGAATGGCATTTATTCCTGCATCAATCATATCATATATTGTAAAAGAAAGAGAAATAAATTTAAAACATTAACAATTGGTTTCTGGTGTATCAGTTAAAGCCTATTGGTTTAGTAATTGGTTAATGGATGTTGGAAAACATATTGTACCATCAATAGTTTCTTGTTTATTAATTTTAGCATTTGATATTACTGCTATGATTGAAGATGAAAATTATGGATTTTCTTGGCTAATCTTTTTTTTATATGGTTGGGCAATAATACCCTTTTGTTATTTATTTAGTTTTGTTTTTAAATAATAGGGTAATGCAATGCTTATAAGTTTCTTTTTACATTTAGTTGTTGGATCTATAATCAGTTTAGTTGTTTATATTCTTAGATTAATATAATCAACCAGAGATGTTGCGAAAATATTATAATGGATTTTTAGATTCATACCATCTTTCTCTTTTGCATATGGTATTGTCAATTCATGTTCAAAAGCTACTTATAAAGTTCTTGAGGGATGGACTGAAATGAAAAGTACATATGATATTGAAGTTGCAGGAGCAGATCTTATATTCTTAGCATTTACTGGTGTTTTATATATCATTCTAGTTTTTATTATTGAATATTTTGAAGACAATGGATAATTATAAAAATTGGGATCAAATGAATAAAGTATTCCTTATATTCAAAAACCTATTGATGATGATGTTGCTAAAGAAAACCAACTTTGTGAAACTTACAAACCTAATGAAAAAGCTATTCTTGTTAAAAAATTAAGAAAGGTTTTTATGTTAGGTGCAGGAAAACATAAAGTTGCTGTTGATCAAGTTTCTTTTGCTATAGATTAAGGAGAGGTATTTGGATTACTTGGAGTTAATGGAGCTGGTAAAACTACTACTTTTAAAATATTATCTGGAGAGTTAAAACCTACATATGGAGAAGCTTATATTGCTGGAAAAAGTGTTATTAATGATTTAGAAGCTGCTAGAGTCAATATTGGTTATTGTCCATAATTTGATGCTTTATTAGATAATATTACTGTAAGAGAACATATTGAATTATTTTCTGATATTAAAGGTATTCCTTATTTCAAGAAAGAAGATTTAGTTGAAAAAAAACTTGCAGAAATGGATTTAAAAAGATTTGAAAATATCTAAGCTGGTTAACTTTCTGGAGGAAATAAAAGAAAATTATCTGTTGCTATTGCAATGATTGGAAATCCTCCTATTGTATTTTTAGATGAACCATCAACTGGTATGGATCCTGAAGCTAGAAGATTTATGTGGAATGTTATATCAAGAATTGCTACTCAAAGAAAATAAAGTACAATTATTCTTACTACTCATTCAATGGAAGAAGCTGAAGCTTTATCCACTAAAATTGCTATTCAAGTTAATGGTAATTTAAGATGCTTAGGATCAGTTCAACATATCAAAAATAAATTTGGAAAAGGTTATGAAATTGAAGTCAAATTAGAAAAACCTACTACTCATGAAATTGTAGGATTGATATCCAAAATGTAATCATCTCCAGGTTCTAGACTAGATTAACAATAATCATTTGAAATTCTAAGATAATTAGGATAAACTAATCTAGAACAAGAAATTAATATGAGAGGTGCAGGCTCTCATATTTATAATGATTTAAGAAAACTAAATGGTCTTGCAATTGAAACTTTAGCAGAATTTATTATCATTGAAGGAATGGGTAAAGTTCTCATGGATTTCATTATTAGATCTTATGGTTAATTTGAAATTATAGAACACTTTTAAACATTTTATAGATTCCGACTTATGGGACAAGTTACTGTTGGAGGTTTATTCGATGGCTTTGAAAAAAATGTAATTATTATTTTATATATTTATAGAAAAAACCTTTAAGAATTTCTCAGTATTCCATTAAACAAGCTTCAATAGAATAAATCTTCAACAACTTTGCTATCTAAGATCATTTAGAAAATTAATAATAATAAAACCAATAAGCTATCCAAATTCAAATTCCTACTAATCTTTAAGAAATGTAAAATCTACAAAAATGATGTATTTATTTTTATCATAATTTTTATAATTTAATCAATAAAACCTTTAATTTATACACCAAATCTTATTAATAAATTTATTTTTCTTTAATTATGAAAATTTATCTTTTTTATAATAAAAAATCAATTCATAAATTTGAGGCTACTTCTATTGTAATATACTTTTTTTAGAGTTTATTTCTTAATTCATTAGTAATAAATCCATTAATTTTAAACTTTCATTAAATTTCGAATTATTATTTCGAAAATTCTTTTATTAGTTCTTTTGTTATGTTTTTCGAAACAGTCCACCTATAATAAAAAAATAGAAATTTTTTGACCATTTAGATGGATCAAAAATAAATAGAATATTTTAAGAAGTAAATTTGTACAAAGAATAGGCGACTTATTAAGATTTTGAAAAAAATTGTGTTTAAGAATAAATATTACAAGATATTAGACAATTTAACACTCCTATCACACTTAATCTAACATAGATAGCTTTATGTCTATTTGATCTTGTGATGATATGCCATTAATGATACCAACATACTTATTGGAATTGATGAAATTTTTAATAGATGAACTAAATTAGAATTTAGATTTTCATATTCATTTATATATGTTTAATTTTGAATTGAATTATCAAATTTTTTTTAATTCATTAATCTTTCTTTCTTGATTGATTGTCTCTTCAAGAACTATCTAATCATCTTTTGTTACTATCCAATCATAATTTTTATAATAATAATGATATGGTAATCCTGGAGGATGTAATATATAACTAGCCTACATATATGTCAAGACAGTGTCACCACCTTAAATTAAAATACTTTATACTAGTTCCATAGACAAGTGTATAAATTTATGATTGATTTATCATGGATTCAGCAGTAACTCTAAGGTATGCTGATCCAGCATAAGTGTGAACATCAAAACCACTAATTCCTTATGCTAAAATATTATAAGCTGGTTCTAATGAATAAATTGATGGAACAAATCTAGAAAACTTTTATGCACGAATGGTTTATCTATTAGAATTATCAAGGAATTGATTTTAAATAGAATAATAAGCACCAACAGATCCTGTTAAAGTCAAGTAATTATTTGAAATAAAATAGGCGACTAAGAGAGATCTTACATGACAATAATCTCTAGTTAAGAATCTGACATCCATACTATTTGCTGTAGGTATACCCATTTAAATTCTAACACTAGTATATAATGAATTAAAGATTTCTAAGTCTGCTCCTACAATAAATGCTGTAACTTTTGGTGCTGGATAGCGAGTGTAATAAGATATCATGAAATCTTATGATCTAGTACCAAAACCTTGGCTTAATTCATTTAAATCTTCAATTTGATAATGAACATATTGAATTTCAACTGAATCATCAGCTACAGCTACCCATCTTACTTTAAGAATAGGAATGATTGCTGGACCCCATATAACATAATTAATATTAAATCCAAATAAAGTTACATCAGAAACGTATGTTTGATAATTTATATTTCTTCCTCTGCTCCATTAAATCTCCTCATGCATCAACAGCACTTATGGAGGACTTAAATTTAATAGAATGCAAATTATACACACTAAATCTTCTAGGAAATATCACTTAACTTTAAAATCTCATAGGATAAGTTGGAAATAAAAATCGCTCTTATTTTAATACGCTATTATCTACTCCTGTTTGCCATTCAGCATAATATTCAAAACCATAATAGGCTTGTGATATTGTAACACATAATAATACAATTAAATTAAACATTAAAAATAATTAAATATAGCAAAAACGATATTATCAATATTTCCAAATTTGGACTATTATAATTAACTCCATACTATAAATATAAGTAAGACTATGATCATATATTATTTTATTTATATAAATATTCATAGAAAATTTAGATTACAAAAAAAACAATTATATATCATTTCAATTTTATAAAAGAATCTAAAGTTTTTTACTTTATTGTATCTTCAGCTCTTTTTGAGCTTCTGCTTCTTTATTAATAATCACTATAATCTGTATAAATATTTATAATATAATTACCTTTTGGTCTTTAAATTACACTATTATTTTAAGAACTATTCTTAGAAACTGAATAAACTTTTTCTATTTTCTTTCTTTCATGTTAAGATATACTTTACATGATATCATTAATTGATGACAAAGAATTATGTTTGCTTCTCATTATCTATCCATATATTTTATTAAAATCTCTCTATTGAAGGGATTTTATCATCTCAGACTTTTTTTGTTTATTTGCATTTCCTAAAATACTATAATAGTTTATTTTTTATGATGACTAAGTTGGAATAGCTACATCACTCAATTCTAATTATTCTTTCATTATTGGATTTAAACTTTATTTATGTTCAGAATAGGAATTTTATTATCTTTACTCTAAAAATAGTCTCTGATTTCCACATTTTTATTGATGATTTGAAGATGAACTTGCTTATTTTTGAATTAAATTCTATAAGTATTCTCTTTAATTGATTTCAATAGATTTTCTTTTACTTTCTTTCTCTAGTTAATTAATTGTTAGTTTTAACTATATTATTTCCTATTGTAATAATTACTCTCTTTCATTTAACTCTTGATTTTCTCTTTTTAATTTCTAATAGTTTAATTAGATTTATGTACACTAATGTTAATTTTAGTTGTTTCAAGCAATTCTTAACGAATTTCTTCACTTTCATCTAATTTCGTTTGTATAGATTCAGCATAAAGTTTTAATTATTATTCAATCTAGTTATATCAATGAATAATATACACTTATATGTTTTCGAATTTCTTATTCATATTTAATTAAAGTTTATTCTAATTTTTCATATTCGTCATCATCTTTTGAAAATCTAGTTTATGCAGGATCATTATATTTTTCTAATTTCCTTTTGATAGTATAAATATATTTTACTTACGAAATTTTCTTATCAACCTTTAACATCAATTTAGTAAAAATCACCTTAATGATTCCAACTAAATATGATAAACTTTCATAATCTTTCAGTTCTGATTCTATTTAATTTATCTCTTCTTTTGTCTCAATATATTTTTCTACATAAACTAAAATCCTCTCAAGTAGATCTTTTAAGTTGTTTTCTATTTCTCTATCAGTTGTCGTAAAACTATTCATACTAGTTGTACTTTAATCCATAAAATTAAATATATAATTCCTTAAATAATGTAATATGTAACAAACTTGTTTTCTAATTAAAATTCTTGTTTAATTCTTATAAAATCAAAAAATTAATAATCAATCTATATAAATTAACACTTTATACTTAAAAATTGTATAATTTCAAAAAAAGACAATAAGAATAAGTAAAATTACTAGATTTTTAATGTAGAAGTGTATGAAATTAAAATAAAATAAACTCTTTAAAATTATATAATATATACATATATTTAATTATATATATATATAATTTTCCAATGAAGATACATAATAAGCATAAGGTCTTTAAATAATGTTTATCCTTATTTAAATATGATAGATATATTCACTATTACAAAGTTGTCTTATTTGTTGTCTTTTGACAATTGCTCTCTTACGAATTTGTTTGTTTATTTCTAAATTTTTTGGATGAGAAAGTTTTGAAATTTTAAAAATTTTCTATAACATTACTAATCTGTTAAGCTAAATCTACGAATGAAACAATCAACATTGGAAAAGCCTCTTAAAAGTCTTCGTCATCTTTTAGTTCAGTTAAAATAATGGTTGATATTTTTTACATAATTTATGTAAATGTTATGGCAAATTTCTCATCATTATGTATTAAATAATAATCGCTTTCCTCTACCCTTTTGATTATTTACTATTCTCTCATTATTCTTTTGATACTATTCTATATAAGTATGTTTATATTAGATCTCTAAATAATACAATTATTCAATTATTCTCTTGTATGTTGTGGTAAATGATCTAAATTTCCTACTAATCCTAAAAAATCTGTAAATTTTTTATATAAAATTAGAAGGTCCTTAACAGACTATCCTGTTTCACTTCTCTATTCAGGAGGTCTGGATGATGATTAACTTTGAGGAATCGATTGCACTTACAAATATGGTTAATCAACTATATTTAATTCTTATTATTGAAGTTTCTGTTTGGCCTATGGTTTTGTTCCAGAGCATGCTCCACCCATATTTGAAGACTAAAGGTAATAACTTAATTAAAATACTAAAAATTTATAAAACTCAATTCATCATATTCTTTATTATATCCAATCAACTTAATCTAATCTATTTATCTATAATCAAATTATTAACTTAACAATATTATTTTACAAATTGTTTTTTTTATACATTATACTTTTCTTTTAATTCTCAAAAACATGTAGACTAACCTTCCAGACTATATTGATTCTTTCAAGTAATTCAATAAACAAATACTTTTAATATTAATCAAGGATAATATGCTTTATTTACAAATCTTTAATATGCTGAATATGGTACACACATTTTAGAAACTATTCAATTATTTATTTTGTAAAATTCCTTTTATCAAATTTAGACCATAAATACTGACTAATACTTAATCTGAACATATTCAGAACCTATAAGAATTTCACTTTGTAAATCATTTATTTTTTATTATAAAACTCATTTTTCCTTTATTTATAACTTTATTTTAAAGAATTTATTTTAAATTATTGGAAGGTCTTCTTAAATTATCGACTAAAATTTCTTTCATTCAATTACATTACATTTTAGGGGATTATTGTTTAATGAAACAAAAATTATATAACACTAAAAGAATTCATATTATTATATAATATTGCTAAAAGAACTCTCCTATTTCTATTTTATTATAACTATTTCAAGTAGTTTTGAAATATAATACATTCTTAGATTTGATCCTAAGATTTATGATTATATAATGATTCAGAATGAGTAACCATTTATATATTATTAAATTCCTTTCAGGTTACAATTCAATTTTAAAGAAAATTGATTTAATTAATTTATCTCTATTTTCTAAACAATCTATTTCAGGAAGAATTAGATTATTCTGAGAACTGAGAAATTTCCAATTTTATTATTTCATAATATTTTTTAAAGACAAATATCTCTTAGGCTAGATCCAGTCAGCAGTAAGTTTAATAAAACCAGCCAGTTACATTATTAAGTATAATATAAAAAATTTTAATTGAAATTGAAGTTTAAAGAAAAAAACTGAATAATGAGTATCGTTTTGATATTTTATAAAAATTTTTGAAAAGATTTTGGCAAAATATCAAATTAATTTTTCTCTTTAAATCTCCTATTAAAATATAATAAAATAAGAAATAGATATCAGAAAAAAAGAGCTTTCAAGATTTAAACATATTTTAATTAAATAGTGAATTCAAGTTTTTAAATATTTATAAATAGTTTTAATATTCTTTATTTCCTTTGTTCAAAATTTTTATAGGAATAAAAAATATAAGGATAAATAAGAATTAACTACATCTAAAAGTAAATTTTAGAATGAGAATATTAAACAAATTTTATAAAAATTAATCTAATTTGATTTCTTTTTTACTTAGTATTGAATTATCCTTGATATATTTATATATTTTCTTTATCTCTAAATGTCAAGATTATGATGATTATGGTAAAAAAAACAATAATTTTTTAAATTAGATCTGAATATTATTTTAAGAATTGTAATTAATTAATTCTGTTAACAATTTCAAATATGTTTTACAGCAGATCAAACCCAAAATTGTCAGATTATTAGAATAAATTAAATACATCATAATTTTCAAATAAATCACGTGGGTCTTTTAAAGAAATTTCACCTGAGACTAGAAGTAAAAGTTTCTAAATATAAACTAGATATCACTCCTAACAATTTAAATAGACCATTAACTGCTCGTAATGAATATACAAATCCATAAAAAGTCAAACAAATGCTAAATAATTTAATCTAAGGTGATTAAAGCAATACCTCATCTACAATGGTTGGATAAAATATTTTTCAAAAAAAATAAATTGAAATCAGATCTAGTAGAGGCGATAGTTTATGTAACTTTTTAAATGATTTTTATAGTGTCTAGTAGAATAAGTAATTTTGGTAAATAATATATAAAGTCACCATAAAATAATGAAACTTTTCTAAAATCTGCTTTCATAGTCCCAGATACTAATAGAGATTAAGATAGGAAACCACATTAAAATTTGTATTATTTATCGAATAAGCAAAATGATTCTATTGGTTCATAGAAAAAATCCAACAAAAACTCAAAAGTGTTAACAATTTCTTAAATTGCTTAATAATGTAAAAAAAACAGTATAACACCAACAAGATAGAATACAATAAATAATGAAAATTGTAACAACTTAAATAATTTGAATTAAAAAATAAATAACCATTAGTAGAATAAATAGTAATAAATATTAATTGCTTAAGTTGGCAGCAATAAAAAAAAGTATTTATTTATAAATAATCTAAGCACAATAAATTATATGGAGACTTTTAATATTTTGAAATAGAAATTTGATTATAATAATGTGTAATCAAATTAGAATTCTGGAAAGAAACAAAATGAAAAATCAGTAAATGTTTCACCTCTTAAATCACCAAAATCTAAAATAGAAAATACAAAAATAGCAAGTTCGTAAATGATTGATGATGTTACTTAATAAAATATATATAAATCCCTTTTGTATAAGGAACAATTATGGAATGATATAATAATTTAATTAGATAACCCAAATAAAATGACTTTAGCAACTAAATGCACTTAACTTTTGAAGCAAATAAGATTGATAAGTGAAAAAAATAATGTATAAATTATGATTATGTGCTAAGAGTGAATATTTATTTAGAATGGAACCTCATACACTTGAGATATTTCTTTACGAATCTTTTGCTTGTTATCTTTTAGTTAGTGATTACTTACAAGATTAAATTAATGAAGATCATAATATAAAGAATTTGATATAGTATATTATAAGTAGCAATCTTTATGTGCTTCAAGTATTAGAGAATGCGACAAGCAATTAAATAAATTTGAATTTATTAAAATAGAGAATAGATTTAAGAACTTTCAATATTCGTAAAGTATGTCCAAAAGGGAAACAAGCTTTATCAAAAAATAATTTTATAATAAAATCAATTTTGGGATTAATGTACTTTATTTAATCAATATAAAAGTCTAAAAGGATTGACGAAATAACACGCCCGCAAATTTTTATGATTTTATCTCGAATAACTACAACACCTGATTAATACATAATTTAATAGAAGAAAATAAACCAATAGATTGAATAAATAATGCCACTTGATTTGGAAAGAGCTTTAGTAGTTTCAAATAAAGAATATACTCTTGTTTTAGATTTGGATGAAACATTAGTTCATTATTAAGAAGTAATATCATATACTATTTTTAAGTTTCCTAAAGGTGGAGGATAATTTTTAGTTAGACCTTTTGCAGAAGAATTTTTAGAATCAGTATCAAAATATTATGAGATATTTATATTTACTGCTGCACTTCCTGATTATGCTAATTTTATCATAGATATTATTGATAAGAAAGGAGTAGTTAAATAAAGATTATATAGAGATAAAACTATTTTTAAAGATTAAGTTTATATTAAAGTATTCATTTCATTTATAAATTATAAGGATCTTTCTATATTAAATAGAAGTTTATCTAAAGTTATAATTGTAGATAATATGCCAGAAAATTTTTAATTGTAACCTGAAAATGGAATTTATATTTAAAGTTGGTTTGGAGATACTAAAGATAGAGCATTAAAAGATTTATAACCTTTACTAGAATGTATATTTTATTTTTATATTTATTTTTAGAAATTGCAATTAAAAAATGTAAAGATATAAGAGTAGCATTGAACCAGTTTAGATAACAAATGATTGAAAGAGTTTAAATGGGGATAAAAAATCCATATTAATATCTTTAATTAAATTGAATAATAAAAGCAATTTTGTTATAAATATAAATCATTATTCAATAGCTCTATCTATTTATATAATTATGTTTATTGTGTCCTCTAGTTAAATTATTTAGGAAACTTATTAAATATAATTTTTAGAATTGACATTCTGCATTCTTTATTATTTTATTTAATTAAATGTATAAATTACAAAGTATATAAATTCATTTTAAACTATATATTATAATAATTATAGAATTTAAACACAGATTGAATAAAAGACAACTAAATTGAAGTTTAGATGATTATTATAAATTCTTTTTATTTCAAATTGATGATTGTTACTCATGCTGTAATAAATTATTTTGTTGTAAGTCTTGCATATTAATTTTTTTAGAATTTTTACATATATAATTAAACATATATATATAACGTATACTTTTTCAAAATTTTTTCGACCTAGTTATTATATGATAGTTTGCTATGATAAAAAGAAAGAGACGAAAATCCTTTTGGAAATATATATACTGTGATAATAGTAATTTTAACAACTTTTATATACTTAATAATAATGTTATATGATGTCTATTATACATAAAAATGTAAAAAATGGATTGAAGATTTTTATGACAGAAAGAGGATTAGAGAGAAATTTAAACTGATATAAACTATATTTATTATTATACACATTTTGTTAATAGAATCATTTAAGCCAAAAGTTACTGATTGCCATAGCAAATATTGTTGCAAACATAATTCCTGTATTATTTGTCATTGAGTTTATACACATGCATAATTCCTTACAATTTTATGGTAAGAATGATCCAGAAACTATCAAGTAATTGACATTCACATAACTCGCTCCTCCCATTAATCCAACCCATAACATTAAACATATTTAGATAGCTATATTTAATTGATAACTGGAATAATAATAAATAATAGCAATTGTTGCCCATAATCCACAATTGATTGCTTATATGATTGTTAATAATGTAACATTTTTAATTTAAATAATTTTTAATGATGACCTTGATATAAATACACCAATTTGATAACAAAATGCTAAAATGGCATAAGCATTTGTTTCAAAATAATTTCCATCAGTTATAGCAGGATTAGCACGATCTGCCCAACAAGTTAATACAAAATATTCAAAAAAATAAACTGCTCCTAAATTTAAAGAATATGACCAAGCTAAATTAAGAACATATCTCATATTTTCAAAACTCATTTATAAATTATCTGTGCTTTCATCATTTTCTGATTCTTCTACTATATTTACTTTTGATAAACTTTTTCTTTTATTATCTAACCATTAAAAATTATATAGATATATTAACAAAAAAGGAATAGCTGTTATAAATATCTAGTTTTTAAAGAGATTAATACCCAAAAGTCTGTAAATTAAAGTGCTCTTAAAACTAAGAAAAACCCAGAACCAAAAATTCCAGCAAAACCTGTTCCTGAACTCCAAAATCCAATCAAAGAAGAACTAAATGATTTACAATAACCAAGCATAGTTGCCTCTCCAAATGATTACATACAACCACACAATGTAGCACCCAAAAGGGAAATGTAGAATGCGTATTCTTATTCAATAGTGGTACTAATTTAATATAATTTATATATATTATACCATAAACCTATAATGATGAAACTTACTGCAGATAAGAATATTGCAACATAAATTCTTTTCTTATGTTAAATTTTGATAAATAGTTTAGCATTCATGAATACCATTCCTATAGATAGAAAAATCAAAGAACTATGTAGAATTTCAAGGTTTACAAGTTGAATGCACTCATAAACGATTCCATATCAAAATGTTTTGCTATAGATTAGGCTGATGTAGCAACTAGAACATATCCTGTATTATTAATCAATCCACATAAAAACATAGCTAGTGAATATTTAATTTGATTTTATTAAACATCTCGTTCCTAATTACTTTAATATACTTTACTAATATAGACTCAGATGTATTATCCTCTTAATTTAATTATTAATATTTACCATAAGTTTCATTTGTTTTGAGTTACTCTTTCATTATTAAATGTTTCTTAATTTATTATAATTATTTAGAGGTGATAAATAAATTGATCATCCAATTCTTGGTTAAATGTCATGTAAAAGTTTATAAGAGGCATACAAAAACTGTATGAGTTTTATTGATAATGAACAATACCAATAAAAATAATGTCGTCCTTATTATAATTTATGTATGTTATAAAAATCATAAAATTTTTAGCTGTTTCTTGTTTTTAAGCTAAAGATGATGTCGAATTTTAATAATTTATAGATGAAAAAATAGATGAAAGAAGAAGACTTGTAAAAGTAAAATCAATTTTAATTTAAGTTCTTAAAAGAAAATAAATCTTAATTACCAGAGTTGTAAAAGTCCAATCAATAATAATTTTTTAATTTATTTTAATTTGTAGATGATGAATAAGTATAAGAGGAATAAGTTAAAAATTATTATTAAAAATAATAATAAGAGAATAAAAAGTATTTATGAAGATGAATAAATTTATTTTCAAAAATTTTCAAACCATAAATAATCAATAAAAATACTACACATAATTAATAATGCTTTATCCTTTTCACTTGCACTGTCTGGGAATTTGATACCATCTTAAGAAAAATAAAAATGATGAATTTACATTGATCAGCTTTAGAACAAAATTCATTTGACCATCCATAGAATAAATGTTCAATTTGTCCATTTGTATAATTTTCATTAATTAATTATTCTTCTGCAGGTCTTTTATCGATAATTGAATATATAATAGATTTACAAGATTAGAAGGGCAAAAAACATATTAAGCCTTTTTAATTGATATTTGCCGTAATTTCATAAATAAGGTATTCATTACTATCATATATGAATAATTAATGAAACATGCCTTTCATAAAGGTGCAACATTATTCTTAAACAATTTTTCCTGCATATTCTCCTTCATATTTAACTTTCATTTCATTTTTTTAAATAAATGGAATTGCAAATTTTCTTTCTGCTTAAATAGGAATATTATTATAAAAATCTCTAGAAGTAATACTTAAAGGTCTAAAACTAGGACAACATATAGTTCTCATAAATTTATGGTTTTCTTCTTCTTCAATATCCATGATTTTCTGAATGAAATGATAATTACAAATACCATTCCAATTTATGAAAATGTTTCATTAGATTGAAAGAGTCTAAAATTATTAGGAAGTTCACAAGGAAATAAAGGAATACCAATATTTGATGGAATAGGAAGAGTACAAACACAATATTCAAGGGGATCATTTTCTTATTATAAGAGAGCAAATTTAACAAATTAGAGTCCTTCAGTCATTTTAAAAAATAATTTATATTTATTTTAAATAATTATAAACTAAATCAAGTAATTATTTGTTACAATAAATGATAATATTTAATTTAGGTTCAAATTTTATTAATGTTTGCTAATCTTCCTGGTAAAGTAGCTTTAATCACTGGTTCAACAAGTGGAATAGGCTTATCAGTAGCAAAGAAATTGGCATCTTAAGGAGTACATATAGGACTTAATGGATTTGCAAAACCAGAGGAAGTAGTTGCGATTAGAAAGGAAATAGAGAATTAATTTAAAGTAAAGACTTTTTATCATGGAGCAGATTTAAAAGAAGCACCACAAGTAAAATATAAAATGAATATAAATAGGTTAAAAATATGGTGTAAGAAACAAGTTAAGCACTAGGAAGTGTTGATATTTTAGTAAATAATGCTGGAATATAACATATTGAAACAGCAGTAAATTTCCCAGAATAAAAATTCAATGATATTATAGCAATAAATTTAACTGCAGCATTTCTTACAACAAAATATACATTGCCAAAAATGTTGGATTAAAATTGGGGTCGTATTATTAATATAGCTAGTGTTCATGGTATATATAATGATATTAATCTAAAAATTAGGTTTGGTTGCTTCTGTTAATAAATGTGCATATGTTGCAGCAAAACATGGTATTGTTGGTTTAACAAAAGCAACAGCACTTGAAGTTGCTAAAACAGGAGTTACTATAAATGCAGTTTGTCCAGGATGGGTTATGACTAAACTTATTGAAACTTAAATCTAATTAAGGGCTGATTAATATAAGATATCATTTGAAGAAGCTTAAGTTAAATTATTAGAAGAGAAATAACCATCTGTTACACCTGTTCAAACTGAATAATTAGGAGATTTGATTCTATTCTTGTGTTCTAATTCAGCTTCATAAATCAAAGGATCAGCTTATACTATGGATGGAGGATGGACAGCATAATGATAATCATTAATAAAATTATTATATAAAAGTTAATCAATCATCTTTTCTTTTATGCAATCTGAATTATGTTTAAATTCAAATATCTTTTTGGTGATATCAATAATAATGATGTTTAAAATGTATTTATTGAATCTATTTACATTTTCAATAATAATCGACCTAAAATCCATATTATTGATAATCCCAATACTCCTACACTTAAAATAAATATCATCAATGTTTCCTTATAAATTTACAAAGATTTATTAAATTATTACTATGCAATACTTACTACTTTATCTTATGCTTAAATTAAGATGTCACTTCCATAATCTATGTAAACTATATGTTCTAAACTTTACAAAAAATTATCTACATTTTCTTCACTATTCTTACCCTCTTTATTATAAAAAAATTAAGGATATGATTCAATTATCTTCTTTATTTAAGTAATTAAATATTTCATCCCATGTTAGTAATATTAAATAATCTATGGATTATGTATAGAAGTTTGACTTTCATTGCATTTAATTCCTATATTAATATCACAAATATTATCCTCATTTAAAGTTTCCAAATTCAACTTTTATTCTTCGTCACTTATAATTGATAAAAAATTATTATTAAATTCAATATATTAATCTTATTTATCACTACTTAAATCTTATGAATAATTTACAAATTATTTTTAACTCATTATATTCATAAATGTTTCTTAATTATATGTTTCATAAGTTATTAAATCCATGTTGTTAATAATATTCATAAAGGAAGATTGAGCTAACTTAAAATTAAATAATAAATCTATGTTTGTCAACAACTATTATGAAAGTATGAAAATCACAAAAAATATTATTAAAAAATAAGCCAATATTACGAATAATCCAATTAATAAAATAACTATATATCTAGTTTAATTTATTTATTATTTCTTCAATTTCTCATATAATTTATATCTATTTTTCTTATTATTTGTATTTAGCAATTAACTTTAACTTTAATCAGTTAATTAATGATTATGAGATTATTACATGTTCTCTATACTACTTTCAAACATTCTTGTTTCTGAAACAAAATCAATCAGCATCCATTCATATAAAGATTTCTTAAAAATTGATTAAACTGATTCATATGTTTCTATTTCATCATGAACTTCATAAATTTACAATTTCATTACTACTTTATACAATCTTCTATGATCATTAGATAATCTAGAGATTAATGGAATCTAAAGAAATTGCAACAGCATAACTAAAAAGAATATTACAACCATATAAATGGTTAATAATTATTAAATCTATTCCTCGTTTTCAATTTTATCAGCATAACAATAATCATAAGCTAATTATGGTAATTAACCAATTTCTTATAAATTAGCAACAGAAATCTAAGTTATTATTTCATTTTATAAAGAATTATTTTTAATCTTATAAAATTAAGCTAGACTCATTTAAATGGTTGCTTATAATGTTGGATTCAAAATTAATTCTTATTCCACATCATAAAATTAATTTACTCTAAATTCTACTTAATTGATATCAAATTATTTATTGCTTTATAAATTAATTAAGCTTTACAAATTCACATCAATCTATTCTAAGTAAAATTCTTATAATTTTAGATCCATTTAAAATTAAGATTCTAATTTTAAACGATAAAGTCCATGAGTAATTTAAGAATATGCCATTTAGGTAGATAACATTAAATCAATCAAATTTAAACAATCAGTAAAATTATACTTTTAATACACAGCTATTGTTAATAAGTTAATATAACTAACAATTAAGAATAGTACAATATAGAGAAGATATTTTTATATTCTAAATGTAGTTGGATTTATGAAATCTTCTATCTTTGATAAAGTCTATTTATAATTAGAATCAAACAATTTTAGATTTTCTTAATATTTAACTTAATATTCCTCTTAAATTTATTATTATGATGCTCTGCTATCCATAGCTAATTTACTATCATTTTCATTAAAAAAATCTTATTATTTTTTTTTAATAAAGGCCTTCGAATTCATTTTAGTGATTTCTTTATCTGGATACTTCAATTAAGATTCTTATGAATTTATAGTAAGTTTTTATTAAATTTCTACTTCATCACTTCTACTTGATAATAATTGAACATTATCAATTTATTTAGAAGGACTGGAAACTTAATCTAATTTTTAAGAATCCATATAAATTTCTTCAAAGTAATGAGAGGGATGTGATGGAAATAGATAATTGTTAATTTCAGCATCATGATAACTTCTCTATTCACTCATATTTCCTTAAACACTCATAGAATCTTCTGTTTATAATTGTTATTCTAATAATTATCTCTTAGATTAAAAGTTTTGAAATGTTTATTTAATCGTATCTCTAACCTATCTTTTATATCCCATAGTTGTAAGTAGTTATTATTCATTAACATTCAATTCAATTAGAAACATTTATTATTTTAAATCAATATCATTTTTCTTATATCTATATTCTTCATAATTAACTGAATAAAATACTGGAACAGGATTGAAATCTTATGGAGTGATTTTTTCTATATATCTTGTATATTTATCCTAATAGACTTTCTCAGCTCTTGTTTTCAATTATTCACTATCCTCTTCACTAGGAATAGATACTTAAGTCTAAGATTATTGTCTTACTAAAGACTTTTACATCTCTGATTATCTAGTTGTACCAAATTATAATGCTTGATGTCGCTTTAGATGCTCATCATAAAAAAATGCACATAACTTTTCATTAAAAATGGTTACTGCCTATTGAATGCTTACAGAATCACTTTCCTAATCATATTTTAACCCTTTATATTAACTACCATTAGAGAAATTGTTTGATTGAACACGAGTATCATCTATAATTTTTTATAAAGCCTTCTCATATTATTAAACAAATAAATGTAAGTCTTCTGGTACAAATAAGTAAGTCTCTTTATTAGAAACTACATTATTGCTATTATCTAAATCAATTAAATTTGGATATCTGTTTTTTGGAGGTGTTTCCCCATCCATTAGATACTCTATTCCTGTTTATTCTATTTCTCTACAGATGAATGGTAAAACCATCCAAATTAATACCTTATTATAGAAATCATCAATTGTTAAAATAGAATTTGACCATTATTATTCATAAACATCAAAACTCTCACTTTCTAATGAGGATATATCAGATTTGCTTTTTTCAACACTTTATTATTTAAGTGATGATAAATTCTGACTAGTTCTTAATCTCTATAATCTATCAATCATTTTAAATAAACCTTAAGTTACACCCAATATGTTTCCATTTACATCAAACAGTAGATGTTACACTCCTTTAAATGCTACATTTTTTAATTTTTTAGCATCTTCCCCTGTAACTTTTGGTTATTACTCTTCTAAAGATTTTAGACATCCAATCATAGTAAAATCATCTCTTAAATCTTTACTGAAATTATGAGCAAGATATACTTAACATCTAATTAATGTTTTATCATATATCTTTGCAAATGTTTAAAAGTACTTACCTATTCTAGCTGTTCCTCCTCTTCTTATATAATTTTACATTATTTCATCATGCACTGGTGATAACCAACTCGGCATCAAAGTATTAATATTTCCCTTTGTGAAATCAAGAAATGCTTCCATTGGATTATCAAAATGTCCAAATCCAAAAAATTTAGGAATCAAAGGTGAAATTACTTCATTTAATACTTTACCTATATTTGGCCCTTAAGCTATACAAACCTTTACAGATATAGCTTCTCCTTTAAAAAAATTGATATTTGTGATTTCAAATGTATTCATGCTTTTCTCTTATTACAAAATCTCTCTTCTCTCTAACATATATTAAAAATATTCTTACCTTTTTCTAATTCAAAATATTTTCTTACATTATTAAACAACAATAAATCAATTAAAGCACTATACTTTAAGAATTAAACATTAAATGTTCTTCCATTAGTATAAAAAATTGGATAATAAATCTTTAACTAATTTAAAATTTAATGTTTTAACTATTATAATTTTTACACTTGCTGTCCAATATCTGAAAAATTAGTAAATTTACCTGCTAAATAACTCTTCCAAAATTATATCTTAAAATTGTTCAATTACATTAATAAAGGAAGTAAGTTTTATTTTATTTGTTCCATTTAATATAATGTTTAAACAATACTTCTTTCACTCTTACTCACTTATAATTTTACATTAGACACTCTTGTATCTCTATTTATATTATAATTTTCATCCTTTTACATTTATGCTTACAATAGAAATTAAAGCAACAGACAAATTTAGATGAAATAAAATGAATAATCTCTTTTTTTCTAAAATAAAATCTTTAACTCTTAATAACTTTTAGGAGCATTATTTCGATATTTATTTATAAATGTTAAGAATTTTAAACTATAAATTTCTAGATTTTTAGTATCACTTCTATGTTTTTCAAATCCTATTCTAAATAAACATGATATTAAAATAACTGCCTCATCCCATTTTAATATTCCACTAGCACCAAACTTACGACATTAACATTTAACTGATTAACATCTATTAAAATGCAAACTAAATTTTTAAATTAATTCTATAGTTCTCTTTTTACTCTTTTGTGTTGCTTAAATTATGTCAAAAAAATCTTCTATAATCAATAATTCTTAATATTAATTCATTGTATTATGATATGTTTTTAATCTTTTATCTTACAGTAAAACTAGAAATAGATACTACGTTATTGGTTAAGTAACAAGAAGTACTGTTGATAGGCTATATCGATATTCAGAATTTTAGTACATAATTGTAGTAAAAATGAATATTAAAATATGCATAACTAATAATCTATTGTAAATCATTGAATATTTTGAAAATCTAGATTAATTAATTATTAAAATTTATACCCAAAAGGTAATTAAAAATAAGCTTCATAAAATAATATTAAAATTATTATTCCATGAATAAATCTGCTGATTATATTCATAATTTATTCTGAACTTTGATTCAAAATTGCCATAGGTATTATAAGTAACTATGCTATACAATTATTGTATGTAAAATGTTTTCTCAATTATATTTCATTGAATTCAAAATTTATGAAATAGATGTTTGAAATAAGTAACGATATTATCGAAAAGATCAAGTTTAGCAAAGCCAATACCAAAAGTAAAAGATCAGTTAAATGCATGATATTCCAACTTATGTAATGCATTTGAGGAAGGTACAGAAACCATGTGAAATAGAGGAAATAGTAATTCACTAACTTTGTGGCAGGCTTTAATTTAGGTGTTCTTGTACCTGTAAAATTGATTTTGAGATGATATCTACATTTTAATATTCGCTCCTAATTTTTCTATGCAAAATGATTAGATAAGGTAACACATTTATAATTGCTAATAGGACTCCTGTTATAATATTAACTATGTAAATATCTTAAAAGAGTGTTGTTAAAATGCTGATTTCAGATAGTGCTTTAATCAATCGAAATACATTTTCATCATATTGCTATGTTATAAAATGAGTCAGCTATAAATAATATATCAGAATCTGGAAAGCAGTCAGTTTGATATTGTTTATAGATGGAGATAGATTGGTCTAAATGATCAAATTGATGTAATCACGAATCCATTACATATTTAATTAATTTAAATTCATTTCTTCGCTCTTTCTTGTTTTCTCTTTTTTTAATTGTTTTCACCCAAACTCACTATTTAAGATTGTGATATCTGCTAAGAACTTCTTGTGTCTTATTTATTACAGTTACTCATCAATATTGGAAGATATTCTAAGATTTCATCATAACTAGGAATGTATAACAATTTTGGTTAATACATTACCTACTAATTCTATTAAAAATCTTTCTTCGTTGATTTGCTATATTTTTGCTATCTTAATTTCTTTATATATTAAGAATAAACACTCATTTCTTTCAAAAATCCTCTTAATTTTTCTTTACTGTATGCATTCACAAATTAATTTTAAAGAAGACTAATATTATTAAATTTATAGTATACCTATAATATTCTTAATTTTGTAGTAGAAATACATATTACTAGTATATTTCCTTCTTTTTTTAATTTAATTGATTATAATTTTTTAAAAGTTATTCTTTAAAATACTTCTACCAAATACTGTTCAATTATTTTTTATAGTTATTGAATTTTAATAGAAATTCTTGAAAGCTTTATCTAATTTTTAAAATTTTAAAATGAGTGACGATAACTTGGTTTTTGAAGAGATGAAGTTCAGCTCTTTATTTTAGAAAAGGTATTAATTTATTAATATGTTCTTTTATTTATTTTTGATAAACTGCTCTAGTAAAACATAAGGAAGCTCTAATTATTAACATAAATAATTTTACAATTTAACATCAAAAAATACTCTATCAAATAATGTTAATCCTTTAACAGCTATAAGTCTTTTATGAATTCTTCTCATAATTCTTTTAACTTAAAATGCCATCAAAGTAGATTAATTTTATGCTTCAATTTTATGTTAATATACATTAAGTATCCTACTACTCATTAAAGCTATATATATGAAATTAAGCCAATAATGACATATTTTATTTTTCAATGTTTTTTTTGACTAAACAAAATTAGATCTTTGTCTCAAGATTTTTCCTAATTCTCGAGTTTTTTATTCATATACTTTTCTTTATTGTTCATTTTAATTTAAAACTTTCTTTCTTAATAACACATCTTCTATTCTATTATCAGATTGAACTCTTCTCATTTCTCTAAAACTACGTTATTAATCTTCATTATATTCAACTACTTTTTAAATATTTTCTTTTATTAAATCCTTAAATAATAATCCTCTTTATTTTAATTTTAGATTTCTTCTTTTTTTAATTTAAGCTACTTGAGCTAATAAAAAATCTGAATTCATTCTCTCTAATTATTGTTATTATGGACTTTAAGGAATAATCAATTCTGTTTCCATTCTTTTTTACATTGTTTAAGGTCTTTTCAATATTTTTGTTCCGAATTAGTATTTTAGTTTCACATAAGTATCTAAATCACAAACCATGCTTATATAAATAAATTCACAATGAAATATTTTTGAGTCATCTATTTTATATTTCCATCCTTTAACGGAAATAATTTAATCACAAGAAAACTTGGTTGGGAATGGATTGACAGATGAAACAAATATTTTAAAATTTGTATTCTCATTTTAATTCATATAAAATTAAAGTGGAACAGGCTACATTTTTGATCTTATCTTATAATAATAAAATTCCATTTATCTAACAGTCTGAACATTCCATAATTCAGGTTATAACTCAATAGGATGCTTTAGTAAAACTTATAAATATATATTATACCTTATCATATTAATAATTAATTAAGACTTCTCCAAAGCTCAGCTACTGATTGTTAACTTGAATTGGTTAGTCATTTTAGTCTATACGCAAATCCAGAACTTTATCCCTCTTATAACAAATCCATTTTACTCGGCCTATGAAATAAGCTCCATTCCTCTTTGATATTCAGGCATCATTTTTTAAGTCAAATATGCCATCTAATTGAGGATCTTTGATCTTGTCTTCAACGAACTAGCTGTCTTCGGATGTTTTGAAGCACTCTCGCGAAATAAATCATTATCGGAATCCTCACTAAAAAGGCTCTATTATTTGAAGAAATCTGTTTTATATTTTTCTTATTCTATAGGTGTGTTGCATATAACTTGTGATTTAACTTTCTAATGTCTACTAGATTTCTATGATAGAGATTATTTTTAGCTAGATTCAAGAACACTTTGTGAAAATATGAAATTTTTTTTAGTTGCAGTTCTAATAACAATTTATTTATTCATTATAAAATTTAATATTATTGTTAATATTATTCCAATCATTTTAGAATTAAAATTAATTAATAATCATTATTATTGAAATTCACTCAATATCAAATTACACATATAAAAATGCAAATAAATACATATATACAATCATAAAAATACTACCATATAAGTGTTGATAAGTGCTATGCAAAAGAAAGTAATACCTCCAAGAAAATTGAAATTTTTTTCTGATAATTTATTTGCAATCAATTTTCCACCATGAACTGCTATGACTGTGCAAATTAAATGAGCTATAGTGGCACCCATAAATACATAAATGGGATTATATATTGATGTCAAACTAATCGTAGTAATTTGACTTTTATCTCCCCACTCTCCCAAAAGAGTTAAAGTAAAAGCTTACCAAACTACCGATTAAAATTATACTTATATAAAATCTATTAACAATATTTGGATTACTTACTTTTTGTAACATTATCGTTAACTTGATCTGTTTCAGGATCTGGTAAATTCATTAATTTCCTATCCAGTGTTGTTAGCTCCTATTCAACCTCTTATAATTCATCCTTCTCTTTTTACATAGTATACCATGTATATAAATATTTAACACCAAATCCATAAAAAACAATACATACTACTATCTATGCATAAAACATCGAAATCAACTCTGGAATTACTATCCCAAAAATTGTACTTATTGTTGTTATCATTATTAGTGCAAGAGTAGAACCAATTAATACTGCTATTCTATTATATTTTATTGACATTATAGCAGCTAAGAAGAAAGTCTATTATTATAAATTATTATTACTTTGTCTCCCAACTCAGTGACAATAATTGAAATAAATGATTAAGATAAACTAAGTATTATTTTATCATTTCCATCAAAGCTTAAAGTCTCCCTAATCAAAATGAAGAAAAATATTATGCTATGACATTTCATAAAATTAATAATTCTTCATCATAATACATATATTTTATTATTTTATCTAATCCTAAATATTTTATATGAACATTACCTGATACAATAATACTATAACTGTATTGAAAAATAGATAATAGATTTTATATCCAAATCCACTTTTAATTGCTTTAAAGAAATCATTAAATTGAAAATGAATTGTATATATAGAAAAAATGATCTACAGAATTGTCAAAGATATTACTTTAAAACTTTAGGGAAGAAAGGGATATTGAAAAAACTGGTAAAATAGTAAGGTTTAGGTAGGGATAGAGAGAAGAGAGTAATTTTTTGATACGAAGAAATGGTAAAAAAATAATTATAATTACAAGAGGAATTTTGAAGGAGTATTGAGCAGTTTTTAATTATTTTAATATTAAATATTAATTAGAATAGATAATAAATATTCTAAATATAAGATGAACGTCCAATAATTTCCAAATTTTTATCCTTATATGTTAGAACCTTAAATACCATTTTAAGGAGAGAATGAACAACAACAAAGTATGGGAATTATGTATAATAAATTAAGAACAAAACTCCAGTTCAAATTAAAATGAGTTTAATTTGATTCAATAGAATTTTTATCCTTCTGCATATCATCATTATCAATTTGAGTATGTTTAGGATCATGAAATTCCAAGTTAAATTAAGAATAAAAAACATAAAAAAAAAAAGTAATTAAATTGAATATTGAAAAAAGGAATAATGATTAAAAAGGGTTGTTGCCAAAGACATTAGAATCTGAGAAGCAAGTAGTAGAGGATTGTTAATAAATAGCTATACATAAGTAAGGGGAAGAGATGTAAAAAATAAAATAAATTTGATTGAAGATTAAAACCAATAACTCCGTATACGGTTCTACATTTTACATAGGGTAGTGCGATGCCAAAACTGTAATCAGATATAGTTTCAAATTAACAAAATGATGGGCCAGTAGTGTAATAGGAAGGTTCTTAATAAACTTAAAAAGAGAAAGGATAGAATCAATAAACAAAGAAACCAAAGAAAGAGAACATAAATACAGGTCATTGGTCTACTGAAGAGCATACAACTTATATATAATTTTTATAGCAATTTGAGAATATAATGACCTGTTCAATGATGAAGAAGACATCAAAAATATTTAAATAGATGAGTGAATTAATAGGAACAAGAACTCCAAGTCAATGTCGAAGTCATCATTAGAAATTTAATCCTTATGCATTAAGGGGAGAAAATGGAAAGCGTTTACCAAGAACAGAAAGAAGTCGAGCTGGTAGAAAGAAGAAGAATCCTTAATCTGATTTACCTAAGGCAGGTAATGATTATAAAAGAATAAAAGAGGAAGCAAATTTAATATTAAATTATGAGGGTGCTGATCCTTATTATTTAATGATGTTAGAACAATAGAAATATTTTTATTCTGGTTTCAATTAAGATTATTGGAATTAAGTATAAGAGATGGATTAAAATTAAAATATTAAGAAAGAGGAAGAGATTGATAATTAGAATCATGGATAAATCTTATAACCAGAATTCGAAGAATATTTTAAATATAGTTTTTAAAGGTATGGAAATCAACAGGATTACAATTTCGATGTTAGAAATCAGACAGTCAATGATTTAATAATATGATAATTATAATATATCATCAATAAAAATCAAATGTGATCCTTAAATTCAGTTTATAATATATATTCTGTGAATTTTATATAAATCAATTAATACTTAAAATGATAAATTCTTCTCCCGATTAATAGTGCAAAATATATAAACCAATAAAGCCTCGCTACATATAATAGGCATAACCTGATCAAATTGTTTCTTCTAATTACGATCTAGATTAAAATGATTACGAGATTAGACTGAGACATCAAAGAGCATTTAGAAAGAAAGGATCTATAAGAATTCGTAATTTGGATATCGATAGTGATATTATAAAAGAGGACATTAGTCAAGAAAATAAGAGTGAATAAGAATCAGATATCGCCTATATACAAAATCGTAATATTCAAGTTGCATTAACTCCAAACAATGAAGAGGAAGCCTATTGTCCTTTCAAAATTTGTGGTCATTAACATTCTGAAAGCTTATGGAGAGCAAATAATATAAAAAACCAACATTTTGATCATTAATAATATACTATTCCAAAATAGCCAAAATAACATGATTCTCCAAAAGCTGAAAATACTATAAAGTCTTATAAAAATCTCAATAGTGCTAATAGTTTATATTCCCCCACAAAAGGATCTCAAATTCTTATTTAATCAGAAAATACTATATATTAGAACTTTAATATATTTTAGAGACTCGTTCTTTATCATGTGTTTAATTTTATGAGGGAAATCAAAACTTTATTATAAACTTCTGTTCAAAAAATCAATATCAACCATCTTCCAAAATAAGCCATAAATGATTCTATTTAATTTAATTTGAAAATCCTATATCAGCAAATCAAAAATCATGTATTTTTTGACAATTAAATTAAATTAGGAATATTAAAATTTCAGTACTCTCACTCTTTTTAAAATCTTCTTTTGGAGAATCAATAAATTAATGACAATTCTAATTATATTTTTAGCAATGGTTGAAACATACTCTAGATTTGTAATGGCCATACTTACAGAGACTTTAATTTCTGCAGTTTAATCAAAAAAAATAGGGGATGCTTACATCTAAGCATTTGCACTTGCTTTATTATCATTAATAGCTTTGATTAGCAAACATTTTTAATAGTATTTAAATTTAACTAATTATAGATATATAATCAGTAATTCTGCAACTAAAATGAGAATGATCCTAATCAATTTAATTTATGATAGAATCATCGAATTACACTCATCTTAAATTGCATAATTAAATGTAGGCAAAATTATGAATTTGGTCAGTAGTGATTTAAATGTAATTGAATATTAACTTGCCTATGTATATTAAATAGCAGTTATTCCTGGTTCATTGCTTTTAACTTCCATCATATTATGGGTAAAATTACTTTAAAGTTTAGTTAAGGTTTGATGGTCCTATTGGATTAATTGCAATTCTCTTTTGTGCCATCCTTTACCCATTATAAATTCTTATTCAAAAAGCAAATAAAGTAATTTTACTGAAAACCAGAAAATTGCAAGATCAAAGAATTTCAGTATATTTTTAACTGATATCAAGCAAACTAATACAGTTATTGAAGGAATCAAATATATCAAGATGTATGTTTGGGAATGCATTTTTGAAAAAAAGATTATGTCCCTCAGAGATAAGGAATTCATATACTATTTAAATATTCACATATTAAATTTGATAGATAGATCATTTAATTATAGTGTGCATATTTGGGGTTCTTTCTGTTTTATTTTATTTTTGTATTATAATAACATTCCTCTAAGCATTTCATCCATAATGGGAACGATATAATTAATGTCAATGATCAAATACTATTGTATATTTTAGGTATCTTATGCATTTCAAGCATTAATGAATTTTGGTGTAATATTTCAAAGAGTTTCTGATATACTTAAATACTAAAGCAATAACTTAACAACAATTGATTTTTATAACAAAACAACATTTACAGCTTATGATCTTCAACATTAGCCTATATAGCAATTGATATAAGAAAGAAGCAGAGGTTTAAATCGAAAGGGAAGCATCAATCTCCAATCTGCAACCTTATTGACAGTCTTTTAATATTTTGGAAGATGGCATAAGGATGGAATTCCAGCAATAAGTGGGATTAATTTAGATATTAAATCTGGAGAGATAGTGGCTGTAATAGGGAAAGTTGGATCTGGAAAATCGACTCTACTTTCAGCCATATTGTAAGATGTTCCCTATTATGAAGGAATGATAAATCAATAGAGAAAACTTAAATTAGCATATGTAGAATAAGACCCTTTTATTTATACAGGATCAATACGTGAAAATATATTGTTTGGTAAAGAATACGATTACACTCTTTACTTAAAGGTTTTGGAAGTAAGTTGTTTAGATTAAGATGTTCTCTCTTTTTAATAAGGAGATAAAACTGAAATAGGAGAAAAAGGAACTAATTTATCTGGTGGTTAGAAGGCTAGATTAAGTTTGGCTAGAGCTTTATATTAAATGGCAGATTTATATTTGTTTGATGATCCTTTATCTGCTGTTGATTCAAAGGTGGCTAGTAAAATCTTTGATTTTGCTATAAAAGATTTTATTTTTAAATTTCAGCCAAATTATAGACCATCTATGATTCGATCTCATTAAGCCTTCCTTTATTAAATTCCATCAGTTATTTTAGCTACTCATTAAATTTCATTTGCATTAGAATGTGATTATGTAATCATTTTAGATGCAGGTAAAATCATACATTAAGGACCTAAAAATAAAATTAGAAAGCATATCCTAGAATCATCTAATATTTAGTCTAGTAATAAAAATATTGAAAACCCTCATTTAATAAGATCTCTCAAAATAAGAAGACCAAGTAAATTAATAAGCAAAGTAGTCAATCAGATAACAAAAATTTATAAAGAAGATACTCCTTAACTTTATGTAGCAGAAGATTAAAATCAACAAGATGCTTCATACTCTACTTACAAAAGATACTTCAGCTATTGGAGGCCTTATATTCTAATTTTTATAATTTTATGTCAAAATGTAGCCAGCGAAATTATTAACAACTATTACTATAAGGAAATGGCTCAGTTCAAATAAGAGGATACTCAAAATAATGAGATTGTCTTTAAGAATGCAGGTATTCTTGTAATAGGAGCTTATATCAATAATGTGATAAAATATTTTTTAAATATTTTTGGTGTTCTTACTTCCAATAATATCATTCATAATAAAATGTTAAAAAGATTGATACGTTCTCCAATAGAGTATTTTGATACAAACCCTTCTGGAAGATTGATTAATAGATTTTCAACAGATTTATCACTTGCTGATACTTAAATTTAATAAACTATAACAGATATTTTTGAGTAAGGTGCTTAATTCTTTGTCTCATTGGTAACAATTGCAATATTATAACCTTACTTTACTTTTCCTGCATTATTTACAGTTGGCAGCACTATCTTGATATTTCGAATCACAAGAACAGTTATATCATAACTTAAGATTTGTGATTTAATATCAAGATCTCCATTATTTGATTAATTTAAAATATCTATTTATGGTGTCACATAAATCAGAATAAATGAAAATTATTCTTGGATTAAAGATAAATTTCTTAAATTTTCAAATCAATCTATGTAAGCAAATTTATTATTTTTATATTCCTAAAGATGCTTTGGATTTTATATTGATTTATTTGGTTAATTTGCTAATATAACAGGAATCTTTTTAATAATTTCTATGATTGATGATCCAAAAATATTTTCTTAAGCATTGTTATTATTATCTACTTTCAATACTTAAGCTGGTACACTTCGATAATTCATGGCTTTTGATTCTATGATGAATAGTATAAATAGAATGTTTGAAATATGTGATATTGAAATAGAGGATTATAATAAATAAGTATGTGATTTGGAAGTCTAAATTTGGCCTAGATTAGGAACAATTTAGTTTTCTAATGTGGAAATGTAATATAGAAAAAATACTCCTTTTGTATTGAAAGGAATGAATTTTAACATTAAGGATAAAGAGAAGATAGGGATAGTTGGAAGAACTGGATCTGGAAAGTCATCCATCATTTAAAGTCTCTTTAGATTAATAGAGATTGAAGAAGATGGGTAAATCTTATCTATTATATAAAATTAGTTTAATCAGTATAGATGATTAAGATATTAAAAAGATAGCCCTTAATAAATTAAGACAAGAAATAAGTATTATTCCTCAAGTTCCATTCCTTTTTAAAGGAACTTTAAGAGAAAACTTAGATCCACTTAGAAAATTTGATGATATTAAGATTTCTAATACTTTAATATAAACAGGATTGGAAGGTTTTTTACAATTACTTCCTAATGGATTGAATCATGAAATAGATCCAGATTTATTTTCAAATGGATAAAAATAATTGATTTGTTTAAGTAGAGTTTTACTAAATAAAAAAAAGATTTTAGTTCTAGATGAAGCAACTGCAAATGTAGATATGATTACAGATTGTTTAATTTAATAAATAATCAAAGAGAAATTTAATGATTGTACAATTCTTACAATTGCTCATCGATTAAATACAATTGCAGATTATGATAGAATATTTGTTTTAGATGATGGAAAGGTTTTAGAATAAGGACATCCTTACGAACTTTTAGTATAAAATCCAAAGATTTCAACTTATATTAACAGTGATTCAGTTTTTGCTAAAATGGTTCTTTAAACAGGAAGCAAAAATAGTGGTTAGATTTATGGAATAGCAAGAAAATGTTATCAAAAAACACATGATATAGGAAGTAGAACAAATTGTAACAGTAAAATATTTGATGTGTCTCCAAGTAGTATAAATGAGTTTAACTTTTGATACTGTGATACTGTTAATAATAATAATTATTTGAATATTTAAGTATCAGAACAATTCTTCTTCATTTAATTTTTCAAGATGTTCATACTCTTCATTCAATGTTACTTTCCTATACATAAATCTAGTAACAGGTAGATTATTTCGATCTTCAGAATCTATTAATGATATAATTATATAATAAAATTACTTTTTTATGCAATTCTATCATCATAGTTTTCGCCAATCCAAAATTCTTTAATCTCTTTTTCAAAACTACTCTATCGAACAGAATTTCTAGCTAATTCAGCTTAGTCTATTGCTGATAAATCAAAAATTTATGATGCTATTGCATATTCTTCTAACAAAGGTTCATTTGTAAGATGTAAAATTAAAGGATCATCAGTTGATAAACAGACATTAAGTCCGATTTAAAAATATTTTTAAAATGGGGATTTTTAATAACGACAAAATAATTTATTATTTGATACAGGTGACATTGCTATTCCAATTTATTTTAAATAAAATAGATATTACAAAACAGGAGATTTTTATAATTCTAAACCATGATTAATACCATCTGAAACTAAATATGCTGTAGCTAAATGATCAATATTTCCAGCTTCTCCACAATGAGGTCGAAATTTGAATGTGTTTAAACCTCTTTATTATCTTAAAGCATTTAATGTAAATAAATTAGCATATATGTAATAAATCCAATATGTATATGGCGGATTACGATCTCCTGACCAATCTTTAGGAGATTATTTAAGATCAGAGATTGCAAAATATTCATATAAAGATTCATCATCTACAGTATCAAAACCTGTTATTTAGAATAAGGCTTGATATAGAAATGGATCTATAGTAGGATTAATTGTAATATCAAACAATGGTCTAAATAAATTATCAATCATATCTTAGAAACAATTAATCATACCAGATTTTTTATAAACACTATAAAGTCTAGGTATTTATATCATCCATCTAACTTTGGATGAATAGAGTTTATTTTTTATTAACCATTTTCCAAGTTTATGCCATTCTTCCATGGATTTTCCATAAATGGATATTCTCCATTCGCATCCAATATATTGTTATTTATCTAATTGATCCATTAATTCTTTAGTCAAATCTGCAAGATATTTGCCTTTAATATAATTGTCAGTTTTCAAAAATATCTCTCTTAATTTAGGAGTTCCCAAAGGATTATATTTATTGTTAAATCTATCAAATCGTTTATAAATTCCTTTGTCTGCTTGAACATCTAAAGAATTTAAAGATAAGTCAATAGGATCAACACTTATATTCTTAAATATATCTTTTAGACATATCTTTGTTCCATCTTTATTTATATCAACATGATCATCACCATTTTTTTCATATTTACGTTAAATAAATTCTAATAAATGCTTAGCACTCATTGCAGCTGAATGATGAATATGAGTGTCAACTTTAAAAACATTATAAAAATCTCTTCTAATAATACTTTTTTAATCTAATTATTCATTTTAGTGATTAAAACTAATTATAATTATTATAATTACATTTCATGCATTTAAAACTTTTACTCCAAGAATTTAAGTCTATCATAACAAAAACTAGCTATTGAATTATTACCAACACATTTCATCAAATTAATTAAATCACTTATAAATTACAACATTGTTGGTACTATAACATCAATATTATCACCTGTTCTTGTAAAAATTATTCCATTTTCTTAAAGTACTTCAGCATTCTCTAAAATAGGTAATACATCCACTCTTTTATTCCAAATAATATAAGGTTCATTTTTAGCATTATATTAAACAAATTTACTTGATATCTCACTTTGTTCATGTCCATCAAATGAATAATAATCTCTTAATTTCAAAATTTCAAGAATTTTAGATGCTGATTCTCTTGATTCCTTTGTTTTAGCTCCTTTATATGGTTTTCCAGGTTTTATTTACAAAATATCAAAATTTAATGCTTCTTTTTTTTCCTCATCTGCTGTATCACTAACTCTTCTAATAGTTTTAGCAGCATAACCAAATTAATTACCAAATACAGTTTTTTACTATTTTTAGAATTCAAATCATACACTTTTAGAATCATCTCTAGTTAATTTTAAATCAAGATATTATGTTTGCAGATTTTAATCTTCAGCAACATATTAAATTGATAGTCCTTAAGCATCTGGTTCCATCGAACCTTATCTTTAACTAGATCTCCTTTAAAATTCACTCATATAATTTAATTAAATATATATATATATTATAAAATTACAATATTCTCTATACAATTTAGATAAGATATAACAATAATAAAAAATTGATTTATTAATGATAATTAATAGAATATCGATCTCTTAATCTTAACTGCAAATTTACAACACACTTTTTTGGTTTAAGTAATTTTTCTATAATTATTTAATTGATTTCATCGAATTTACTATATTATTTCATTATATTTTATTTTTATTAATTTCTTACTAAATATGATAATGGATATTGTTCATAAATTTTAAATAAAATCAATTTAATTCATCAGATTTAATCTAATGTTATTTTGTATGGATAGATACTTTAATAAGAATAAGATCATATTTAACGAATTAATATTTAACCTTTTAATTTCTCTCATTGAAAAGATGATATTTCATCATTAAAATATATAATGATTTTCAAAAGGGATATTATCGTGGCCCTATTATTACATTGATTGAAAGATGGTAAAAAGTAAATAAATATTTTAATGATATAATCATTTCTTATCTATTTAGATTTAAATATGAATTACTTAAAAGATAAATCTTCAAAAAGAGATTTCAATAAATCAGCTTCATAGATTAAAACAGGATCAATATATAATAAATCATTCTAGTGCTTTCAAGTAGAGGTTCTTATTTTATAATTTACTGTTACATACATTTTATATTAATATCATAAAAAGAATCGCTTTTTAAGGGGAAAAAAGCAAATATCAATTATTATTCCTAGACTAGAGATACAATTATCCTTTCAAAAATAATAAAAGTCCATCTTAATTTTGTTATTTGTCTCTTGCAATTATTAACTCTTAAATATTTTACTGATAGAAAATCAAATTGATCATCCTAGCAAAAAGGATGTTATCAACTTTACATTTAAAAATACTTCTTTAATTCCTTTTTTATTTTCAGTGATACATTTTCTGTTATTTTAGATATTATGATTTTATGTACATGATCATGAGATTTCATAGCTAAATCAGACTTTACCCATAATCTAATCAATAAAATAGGAATTAAACCAAGAACAGCATTGAGATCCAAAATTAGATCTTCTTTAAAGAGATGTTTGTTGATTGTGATTGTATTTATAATTTATTAGATTTGATCTTAATCTTTAAGAATTTCCTTATCATTGAGAAAATTGTTACAATCCATTTAATTAAAATGTCTGAATTTGCATGCGATACATGTGAAAAGCAATTCAAATTAAAAAGAACATTGGAAGCTCATAAAATGATACATACAGGGGAGAAACCTCATGAATGGTATAAAATAACTTATTTAAATATGGAAAAGTGCGCAGTGTCAACAACGTTTTAGATAATATTCCTCCTTATAAAAACATCAAAGAATCCATTCAGGTGCAAAACCATATGAGTGTGAGGAATGCAAATAAGCCTTCTCTTAAGTATTTAGTAAATTTGATTAGATATCTAATTTGAAGAGACACTAACGCAAACATTCTAATGAAAAACCTTATAAATGTGATGATTGTGGAAAATAATTCATTACAAGTCAGAATTATTAACAACACAATTCAAAACATTAGTAAGATCGAAAACAATATAAATGTGAGAGGGGATGTGGGAAAACATATTTCTATAGGTGTAGTTTGAAGAAACATGAAAAAGAAATGCATTAGAAGAAAGAAAAGCCTATTTTTACTAGTGAATCATTTAATCAATAAATAAAAAACCTCAAAGATTTCTTTACATGCAATCATCCTTAAATAATTCATAAGAATCATGTAGATGTTTTATTTAATGGATGTTTATATTATTATAATGAAGGTAGTTGAATATGATAACTAGAAAATCAAAAAATTGAGTATCATGAGCTTGTTGATACTGCTAAATAAGAATGTGATCCAGTGAAAGAACATTAACATTTTTAAAAGAATCAACAATTTGCATAGATAGATTGTTCATAATGTCCTTAAGAAATCAACTGTTGTTTAGCGACAAATCAAGGAAATGTTTAAGAATAGGAATATCCACAATCCTATGTTTTACATTACCATGGACCAAATTGTGGACATCCTATAGTGTTACATAATGGGCATGTTGATTATTTAGTAAATGAAATGCTTCATTTTCCACATGATGGACATTGTGACAATCATGGAATTCTGAATAGAATCACAGTATAATGAACACATAAATAATTATATAATTCAAAAATGTCATTAAGAAGTGTTGTCGAAATTGTAACTCATGTAGAAAGCTTTAGAAATGTTGATCTCTATTATTAAGGTGTTTATTTCTTAAGAATCACTATCCATAATGATGCTCCACAAGATGTATCTACATTTATAACTTTTAGATTAATAAAATCTATGCTCATCCACATGATCCTTGTGAATCTTATAAAACTTATCCATAAGAGGCTTAATAGAATGTTAATCCACCTAAATATTATGAAACTCATATATTTAGACCAGCATCCATAGTTACATCAAATTCAGCATTTTATACTAAAGCATTTTTTATTAAGTTTTGTGAAGAGGAAATTGAACTCAATGATATTTGTAATTTCAGAATTGAATTCGATGCAGGTCCAAAAAAAGAATAGTCACTTATTATGTAAGTTGATTTAATGTTTTTTGATTGTTTGAATTCTTAAAAAGATTAACCAAAACAAGAACCACTCTATACCAAATAGGATAAAGAAGATTATGCTATACCTGATGGAAAAATTCAAGCAACTGCTAAATTTAAAATCAAAAATGTTTTATAACCAAATCACTAATTTGTACCTATCATCTTTGAAGAACAAAACTTTTGTTAAGCAAACATGGTTGTACATACTATTACTTTAGATTATCGTTTTCGTACTCATCCTATTCAATTATTTTAATTTGCTAGACTTAAATTTGAAGAACGTAATTAATTGTTAGAAGGAAAAGTACCTAACACTCTTGATAAAAATAAAAATCAATCCAAACCTTTAATTAATTCAGATCAAATTTCAATGTATGAAACCATTTAAAAATAATTCAAAGAGTTGAAAGGTTTAGATTATTATGGTATGCAGTAAGAATTTGTGGAAAGCTTAAAAGGTTATTATGAATAACTTTACTAACATTATAATTTAATATATTCTAAATGTATTTTAGAGAAATAAAGAAAACATTTTAAAAAGTATTTATATCCACCTCTTAAATTGATTGTTCCTGAATACATAACAAGTGAAACTTATTAGAATATAAAGGGACAATTAACAAGAAAGGAATTAAATTAAAGAATAGAGGAGAAATTCCATACTTCAGATCCTGAGACAATTATACATTCAATCCTTAATGAAACTAATTTAATAAGTTGTTAACTCTTTTAAATGTGGATTAAAGTGCTTGATTTATATAGAATAAGTCCTAGATTCTGTGTAGCCTTATTGTAATTTGATTACTAAAAGATTATTAAAAATAGATGGTAATAGTTTTGTGTAAGATCTCCATTTCAATAATTATTAGATAAGAATTTGGGAATAGAACATAAATCTAAAAGTGAGAAAATGAGATAAGAATCTAAAGTTTAAGAATTAGGAGTTGAGGATTTAAATTCATATCCTAAAATAGAGACTTAACCAATTATATTTGAGGAATTCACTCCTAGAGAAGATAAAGATAAAAATGAAGAAAACATAGTAGATGCAGATATAACTAATAGTGAATATGATATAATGTCATATAGAGGAATTCATTTAATAGTATTAGTGCATGGTTTCTAAGGTAATTCATATGATATGAAATTATTTAAAAATTACATATCATTAGCACATCCTGAAGCGATGTTTTTATGTTCATCAATAAATGAAGAAAATACTGAAGGTAATATATAAGAAATGGGAGAAAAATTAGCTACTGAAGTAATCAACTTTATATCTGAAAATTGTCCTGAAAATACTTTAGGAAGATTAAGTTTTATTGGACATTCATTAGGAGGAGTAATAATAAGAGCATCATTACCTTATCTTGATAAATATTAAGATAAAATGTATACTTATATTAGTCTTTCATCTCCATAATTAGGTTATTTTTATAATGCTAGTAAAATTGTTGATGCTGGTATGTGGGTATTGAAATAATGGAGAAAAAGTAAATGTTTAGAATAGTTACAAATGACTGATAATCGTAATATTGAAGAAACATGTCTCTAAAAACTGGCTTAAGCAAAAGGTTTAGCTTGGTTTAAAAATGTTTGTTTTTTTAGTTGTATCTAAGATAGTTATGCTCCTTATGATTCTGCAAGAGTTCAATTATCTAAGGAAGCAATTGAAGATCAGTATTTATATAAACTATCACTTTAGGAGAAATAAACCTTATGTTTAGATGGTTAAAGCTTTATTAAGACATCTTGAAAATACTAATGTATATCGTATTGATGTTAATTTTGAAATTTAAGAAAAGTAATTTCTAAATTAATTTATTTAAGAAATCTTGATACTTTGATTGGTAGAACTGCTCATATTTAATTCTTAGAATGCCAGCCCCTATTGAGAATGGTTGTTAGTTTATATGATCAATTCTTTTGTTGAAAAATATATAATTTATTCAATAATCAATTAATAGTAAATGTTATTTATTATATAATGACATCAGCTTCAATTAATAATTCGTATTATATTTAATGTAAAGAATTCAAGCACTTTCCAATTAGTTCAATCCTACAATTGCACCTCCTGCTGGAAATGTTACATATCCTTGGGTTATGAAATATCCTGATTTCTTTCCTTTTGAATAAGTTGGTAATCTTAAAGGTAAAACTGTAATTATCAGTGGAGGATCAAGAGTATATCACAATATTTATTTATTTTTAGGGTATTGGATTGGCTATAGGAATTAGAGCAGCCAAAGATGGTGCTAATGTTGTTATACTTGCCAAAACAGTTGATCCACATCCTAAATTGCCAGGCACAATTTCTTCAGCTTGTGCAGAAATAGAAAAAGCAGGAGGTAAAGCTTTAGGAATTCAATGTGATATCAGATTTGAAAAGGATATTTAAGCAGCTGTTTAAAAAACTGTTGAAACCTTTGGTGGAATTGATATAGTTGTAAATAGTGCAAGTGCAATCTCACTTACTGATACTGAATCTACAGATATGAAGAAATATGATTTGATGCATCAAATAAATACAAGAGGAACTTATTTGATGAGCAGAACTTGTCTTCCTTACCTTAAAAAATCATCTAATCCACATATTCTTAATTTATCACCACCATTAAATATGTAATCTAAATGGTTTGCTCCTCATTTAGCTTATACTATGGCTAAATATGGAATGAGTATGTGTGTTCTTGGTATGAGTGAAGAATTCAAAGGTTAAGTTGGAGTAAATGCTTTATGGCCAAGAACTTCAATTGCAACTGCAGCAGTTTAGAATGTTCTTGGTGGAGATTCTATGATGTAAGCATCAAGAAATGTCGAAATTATGGCTGATTCTGCATATGTGATACTAACAAGTTGTCACAAAAAAACAACAGGAAACTTTTTTATTGATGATGAAGTCTTAGCCAGTGTAGGAGTTAAAGATTTTAGCATATATAGATGTGATCCAAAATTCAATGATTCATAATTAGCACCTGATTTTTTTATCTGAGATTATTAAATAATGTTTATAATCAGGTATAATTATATAATATTATTTACAATATTTAAATTTTTTCTTCAAATTAAACTTTTTATAAAATAGTAAAAAATAAGTTTGTTTCTTTTGAAATATTAACTCTTTCAGAAATGAGCTATTATAGAAATTATATTATCTTAATAATAAATATTTAATTTTTAAAAGTCAAGACTATTTTATCTATTTATAAATTTTATCAATTTATGGACACATAAAAAAACAACTATAGTTAATTATTTTCTTTTAAAGATTGGGCCTATGCATTTTAATTTAACCTAATTTCAAAGATAAATCAAAAATGATGTATAAAATACAATCAATTTTGATAACAGTCTTGGAAAATTACAAAAAGGTAATTTTTAGAATATATTTATAGATATTCTGAGTTCGAGGATCTCTTTTTATTATTAGGGTATTCTCATAAATTTAGTCTTGATAATGGTACAATTAATTATCTTTATATACCTTACAGTTAAGGTTTTCCGATATGTGAAACTGATGTAGATATTAATAGCATTCTAATAAAATTACAATACTATATTATGATAATGAAAGATTTTTAATTCATTCACCATTGAAGGATTATAGAATAAGATAATAAATGCCATTAATACATAGAAAATAAAATCATGTTAAATTAATTAACTGATAATTGATTTATTTATATGTTTGATATTAATGATGAGTATTTATAATTTTTAATAATAGGTTAAAATGGTTTAAAATAATTGAGTTAATATTAGTATAAGAAATTAATAATTTTTGAAACTAGATTTAAATTAAAATCTTCTAATGGAATGGGACAAGAAAATGGAGAAATTATTATGATAAACAAAGGATCATTATAGAGACCGAAGGTAACTTCAAATTGATCTCCTCTGATTTCCAAGTAACAATGACAATCACCCTCCAGATCCTTTAGGTATTGTCAAATAGGGACCTCTTGACACTAAGGGGCAGCCTATTGGGGTGGTTAATCAGGGTAAGAAGTAAATTTTAATTTAAAAAAAGTATCTTTAAAATTTGAAAAATAACTTCAGTAAATTATTAAACTTAATACATGGATATAGAATATAGATTTTTTAGTCTTAAAAATTCAAATCTTTTTGGAGTAAATAAAGTTATAAATTTATTGAAAGTATTTAAGTATACAATCTAATTTTAGAATTTAGATGGAAAGTAGCTTATATTAGTAAGGAAAGCCAATGATTTAGAAATTACAAAATATTCAAAAAAAGAAGATTACCCTTTATTGGCTTCTATAGAGAGTAGAAAATTAATAAATGATTATTACCAATAAATCAGAGAAATCATTAAGTAGTATGAATTTAATTCTCATTAACTTAATTATCTTTTATTATAAAATAATTTACTTCAGTTTTTTAATTATTTCTAGAATTTTATTTAAAAGAGTTCTTTTGAGAATAAAAAATTTTAATAATAAAACTTTTTATAATCAAAATATCAATTAATATCAATACTTTATTTCTTTTTTTGTACTTAGTATGGTATTTCGAATATGAATACCAGAGAATGTTTTTAAATGAGAAGTTTAAATCATTCTTTTAGAGAAGTTTCTTGAAGTCAATACTTGAATGTCTTATTTAATATTTGAATTCGATTATCCTCTTCTTGGGCTGCTGTTTTTAGATGAATAATCAAAAGTTTCTAAATTAGGAGCAGATGCTCTAAGTGAAATAGGTCTAAGAATTAACTAAGTTGAGTCTATTTAATGATGACTAACTTTTTTTTAAGATGATTGTTCCCAAAGATATGGTTTTAAATTTAATGAAGGTACAGAAATTAATTTATAATTAGAGTTTAATTTCTTTTAGACAGGACTCTCAATCTTAGATTTGACTTTTTAAGGACTAGTATCTGGAAATGAGAGTAAAGTTGTATTAGACTTTAATGATTTTGTTGATATTGTAAGTAATGATTATTGTTATTATTGTAAATTTAAACTGGACCAGAATTCTTTTATTATTTTCTCTGATTTCACTTAAATATTATGAAATTTATTAATTTTATTATTTCTTTTACCACATTCATTACAATGACAACTAAATCTTCTTTACTGTGATTCATTGATTTCATACATCTTTTCTCTCAATATTTTCTACTTTTATTATTTCTTATCTCTCTATTTGAGTTTTTCTATGAAAATAGTACGATGATGAAAGAGTAATCTTCTTTATTTCTCCTAACTCTCTGTTTTTATTATTGAAGCTTAAGACACTTGATATTTAGGTACTTCTACAAATTAGTAGTAATGTGATGCATTTAAACTTCGAGCTTTTATAACTATTTTTATTCTACCTCTTANTACAATCTAATTTTAGAATTTAGATGGAAAGTAGCTTATATTAGTAAGGAAAGCCAATGATTTAGAAATTACAAAATATTCAAAAAAAGAAGATTACCCTTTATTGGCTTCTATAGAGAGTAGAAAATTAATAAATGATTATTACCAATAAATCAGAGAAATCATTAAGTAGTATGAATTTAATTCTCATTAACTTAATTATCTTTTATTATAAAATAATTTACTTCAGTTTTTTAATTATTTCTAGAATTTTATTTAAAAGAGTTCTTTTGAGAATAAAAAATTTTAATAATAAAACTTTTTATAATCAAAATATCAATTAATATCAATACTTTATTTCTTTTTTTGTACTTAGTATGGTATTTCGAATATGAATACCAGAGAATGTTTTTAAATGAGAAGTTTAAATCATTCTTTTAGAGAAGTTTCTTGAAGTCAATACTTGAATGTCTTATTTAATATTTGAATTCGATTATCCTCTTCTTGGGCTGCTGTTTTTAGATGAATAATCAAAAGTTTCTAAATTAGGAGCAGATGCTCTAAGTGAAATAGGTCTAAGAATTAACTAAGTTGAGTCTATTTAATGATGACTAACTTTTTTTTAAGATGATTGTTCCCAAAGATATGGTTTTAAATTTAATGAAGGTACAGAAATTAATTTATAATTAGAGTTTAATTTCTTTTAGACAGGACTCTCAATCTTAGATTTGACTTTTTAAGGACTAGTATCTGGAAATGAGAGTAAAGTTGTATTAGACTTTAATGATTTTGTTGATATTGTAAGTAATGATTATTGTTATTATTGTAAATTTAAACTGGACCAGAATTCTTTTATTATTTTCTCTGATTTCACTTAAATATTATGAAATTTATTAATTTTATTATTTCTTTTACCACATTCATTACAATGACAACTAAATCTTCTTTACTGTGATTCATTGATTTCATACATCTTTTCTCTCAATATTTTCTACTTTTATTATTTCTTATCTCTCTATTTGAGTTTTTCTATGAAAATAGTACGATGATGAAAGAGTAATCTTCTTTATTTCTCCTAACTCTCTGTTTTTATTATTGAAGCTTAAGACACTTGATATTTAGGTACTTCTACAAATTAGTAGTAATGTGATGCATTTAAACTTCGAGCTTTTATAACTATTTTTATTCTACCTCTTAATCTTCCTTCAATAGAACAACTCTAATTAATTGTTTTTGTTTTCATATTCCCACTCAATTATTATTATATTTATATTTTATCTCTATTTATGGATACTATTTACAAAAATATGACACTCAATTCTCATCTTAAATCATCAAGTGCTTCAAATATGATGGCAAGTCCATTTTCAACTAATACTCCATAAACATGTCATTCTATTTTACAATTTCTTCCTTTCATCTAATCCTCTGTTAATAAATAGGAAATGAAAAAAATTATTATGAAAGAAAGAAGAGAATATGATAAGAGAAAAACTATTGTAGAATGTGGTTTACTAACTTAAAGGGGCATGAATAAATATCTTAAACCAAATAGTATAACAATATTTCATACAAGGGTTCAAATGGTAAAAAAATGAATTAAAACTTTGTGATAGTATAATAGAGACTAAATTGAAAATTGCTGATCTAATAATGAATTCAAAAGGAGGACAATCTCGCAAGGAATTATTAATCGAAAAGATCTAGAAACAAATTGAAAGTCCAAGATAAACTATTAGCACAAGAACTATTAAGAGTGAACATAATGTTCAATTATTCATGGATAGAATCAAGTCTTAAACTATTCCACTTAAATTAAGACAAAATGCTTAATCTCCCTCGAAAATTAATCAATCTCAACAAAAAATCATCTAAAATTTCACAACTACATATTAAACAGAATGATTTTATTATACAATAATTTCATATCATTATTTAAATTGTTTTAACTTTGCTATTTATTTTTCATTATTCTTTGAAACTGTACACCCACATTCCTTACAATACATTGTTAATTTTTTTATATCCAATTTTAAGTATTTTGCTAATGGAACAATATCAAATTAAAATTTATGAATGAATAAATGCAAAACGATTATGTAACATATATATTTATCCTTCAAAAAATTTGATCTGCTAAAATTATATACATTTTCTCCTTGTCCAGGAGTTGCTTAATAAAATTTCTCCAAAATTGGAGTTACCAATTTACAATTATAAATTCCTAATTCTTGAGCTATATTTTAAGCATTCTTATTTTAAAAAACTTATTTAAATTGAAACTTAAATAAAATATTTAAATATTCCAAATATTTTAAAATTGTTAATTTGGTTTTGTTATCAAAAATTAATCCAGAAGCTATTTGTATTACTTAAGGATGATAATAATGTAAATTATCTTCCCTTTTAGTACTTATGAATACTTATAATTTTGAAATATCTAATAATTCCATATCTTCTTCAGACACAATTGACCTTATGTTGTAAATTTAGAAAATAGGAACATTGCCTTTAACAAATTCTGGTATTAACTCTTCTTTAATTGCAGCTTCTTCCATTTAGTGAATTTCTTTTTCTATTTCTAACTATTCTTGAATTTCTTGTTGTTTTTAATTAAATTTTTCTTTAATTGATTCTGCCTAAACAATATTCTCTTCTTCAACTTTGTTTGTTTCCATTTATCTCATTTTTCTTCTACTTTTATTTGTTCCCATTTCTTCAGCCACCATTTTTCTTTGTTCAAAATAAGTTAATCCATCTTCAAGTGCTGAATTTCTAGAATATTATTGTTTGTTTTATTTGTTTATTTATTATGAAAGAGTAGCTTGGATTAATACAGGATGCAATGAGATTGTATTTCCTTAATGCACACCTGTTATTAATGTGAAATATTACCAACAAATATGTTAGATTATGTATGATTTTATCTTCCTATCCAAATCATTTAATCATTAGATAATTTAATTACTTTTCTAGTTTAAGGCTCATTTACATCTTCTCCATTCTTTGTTAATATTTAAATATTAGAATAGTTTGGAAACCCTTAAGGACATCCCAAAACCACTGGGTTAGGCTCTTCTGTAAAATTTAATGAGACCTCCATAAATATTTATTATTAAATTGAGATTAATTTCTAACCTTTATTTTTATCATCCAAAAAATTTATTTTGTTATTTTAACTCAGAAATAATTCTTCCTATTTCTAAAGAAAGAAATCAATTTTAAATATTGTTTTAACAAAAAATATCAATTTTAATCAATCGCTTAAGGATCCTTATTATTTAGCTTTTCTATCAAGAAAGGTTGAACTTAAGTATTATTTAGCTCTTATATATTCGATTATTTCAAATTATTTTCTTGCTTTTTATTATTTTCAACTTCATTACTTTCAACTAATATCACTTACTCTTTATTTTATATTTGGCTTTTTTAAAGGGAATCATTTATTTCATTATTCTAAGATTTCTTATCAACTTAATACACTTCTTTTTCTTAGGGCTGATCTTAATTATTATTTTCTTAACTTTCAAATACAATCACTTATGATTATTAAAGTTTTTCAATGCTTTTTTATCTGCTAAGCTTATCAGATTTGATATTGTCATTTTTTGTTTCATCAATTTTTTGTGTATTTTATTCAATTTTTTTGGTTTAATTTAACAATTTTATAAATTCTTCATCAAGTTCCTCTTAACCATAAAGGATTTAGCTTTTCATATTTTTTTTTTAATTTTCATCTTTTTCATCTTTTTCATTACTCTCAAATATTTACATTGATTTATGAGTCTTGCAATTTTACTTTTATTTTTTATTCTAATCAATTATTAATTACTTAGATTTTTATTAATCATTATCATTGTCATCAATTATTTTAGTTTTTTCTTTATTTTTATATTTATCTTTATCAAATATAATTGAATAAGCTCCACTCTATTACAAACTTTTGGGCTAAAATTTAACTCCTGTTTAAGCCAATTTGATTTGATATGATTAAGCAAAATTATCTTTAATATATTTCTTTCCTTATGTTATTTATTTCTCTGATCTATTTTCTGAATTTTTAGATTACACTTCATTAATTAACTATGATTCTCCAAGATCTTCATTATTTTTTAAATTTAATTATTGATTAGATATTTTATCAATTATTTATTCTTTCTAAGTATTATTATCTAATTAGGGTATTTATTAATTATTTAATTATTATGATTGAAATTAAATCTCTTCATTTTGATAATTACTTTTCTTATAAGCTAAATCGTTTGGTTTAACATAAATACTGTTGACTATAGAATTAATTTCTGTTTATTCCTCGTTATTGTTTTTTACGCTTTATGGTCTTTAGTCCGAAGATTTTTATATTTCTTCCTTATCTTTTTGTAAATCTTAGGATATAGCGGGGAAAATAAGTTATTATTATTTATTTTCTTAAACTGTTGATTGTTCTTAGCTTTTTATTTGCTCTTAATTTTTTAATTTTTCTTAACTTTCTAATTTTTCTTAGCTTTTCATTTTTTCTAAACTTTCTAATTATTCTTAACTATTTGATTTATTCTAATTTTATAATTATTTTTAGCTTTGTATTTTTTCTAAACTTTATAATTGTTCTTAACTATTCTATTTATCTTAATTTTATTATCGTTCTAAACTATTTAATAGTTCTTAACTTTTTATTTTTTCTAAACTTTATAATTGTTCTTAACTATTCGATTTATCTTAATTTAATAATTATTGTTAGCTTTTTATTTTTTCTTAACTTTCTAATTAATCTTAACTATTTGATTTATCATATTTTTATTATTGTTCTACACTATTTAATTGTTTTTAACTTTTTATTTTTTCTAAACTTTATAATTGTTCTTAACTATTCGATTTATCTTAATTTAATAATTATTTTTAGCTTTTTATTTTTTCTTAACTTTATAATTGTTCTTAACTATTCTATTTATCTTAATTTTATTATCGTTCTAAACTATTTAATAGTTCTTAACTTTTTATTTTTTCTAAACTTTATAATTGTTCTTAACTATTTGATTTATCTTAATTTAATAATTATTGTTAGCTTTTTATTTTTTCTTAACTTTCTAATTAATCTTAACTATTTGATTTATCATATTTTTATTTTTGTTCTAAACTTTTTAATAGTTCTTAACTTTTTATTTTTTTTAAACTTTCTAATTGTTCTTAACTATTTGATTTATCTTAATTTAATAATTATTTTTAGCTTTTTATTTTTTCTTAACTTTCTAATTAATCTTAACTATTTGATTTATCATATTTTTATTTTTGTTCTAAACTTTTTAATAGTTCTTAACTTTTTATTTTTTCTAAACTTTATAATTGTTCTTAAGTATTCGATTTATCTTAATTTAATAATTATTTTTAGCTTTGTATTTTTTCTAAACTTTATAATTGTTCTTAACTATTTGATTTATCATATTTTTATTTTTGTTCTAAACTTTTTAATAGTTCTTAACTTTTTATTTTTTCTAAACTTTATAATTGTTCTTAACTATTCGATTTATCTTAATTTAATAATTATTTTTAGCTTTTTATTTTTTCTAAACTTTATAATTGTTCTTAACTATTCTATTTATCTTAATTTTATTATCGTTCTAAACTATTTAATAGTTCTTAACTTTTTATTTTTTCTAAACTTTATAATTGTTCTTAACTATTCGATTTATCTTAATTTAATAATTATTGTTAGCTTTTTATTTTTTCTTAACTTTCTAATTAATCTTAACTATTTGATTTATTATATTTTTATTATTGTTCTACACTATTTAATTGTTTTTAACTTTTTATTTTTTCTAAACTTTATAATTGTTCTTAACTATTCGATTTATCTTAATTTAATAATTATTTTTAGCTTTTTATTTTTTCTTAACTTTCTAATTAATCTTAACTATTTGATTTATCATATTTTTATTATTGTTCTACCCTATTTAATAGTTCTTAACTTTGTATTTTTTCTAAACTTTTTAATTGTTCTTGACTATTTGATTTATCTTAATTTTATTATCGTTCTAAACTATTTAATTGTTCTTAACTTTTTATTTTTTCTTAACTTTCTAATTATTCTTAAGTATTTGATTTATCTTAATTTTATAATTGTTAATAATTTTTTATTTTTTCTTGACTTTTTATAGACATTTAATATTTTTCAGATTTTTATTCGTCATTTGAAATTTACATCAACTAAGCCTAATTTTAAATTTCTAATTCTATCTATTGATTTTCATTAGGAAGCTTTTGTACTTTTTCTTGAAAATTTGTTTCATTTTGATTAAGTTGACCATTCTTTTCTTGTTCTTCATCATTTTATTAAATGTTTAAGGGTTGCTCATTTTATTTATTGTATACTACATCCTTTTTTTAATCATGATCTGGATAAAATTCTGGATCAGGGTTAATTTCTAAAATTTTTTTTGAAGAATTCTGTTTTTAAGACAATTTATTAATTTATTATTATTAATTTTTTGTATTTAAACTGTTTTTGGTTAATGGTTTTGTTTGTTCAGATAAAAATTCATTTGAAAATTCTTAATCCCCTTAATTTGAATAACTTTAAAATTACTAAGCTTTGCTTAATTAATCGTTTGTATTTTATCTTAATTCTATAGTTTTTTGATCAAACTATTTATGTTCATCTTAATCATTTGTGTCAATTTAATTTGTATTTTTAATTTATATTGGGCGTTTTTTGACTTTTGGAGTTTTCTATGTATTAACTTATTATTTCTAATTAATTTATTAATCCTATAATGAACTTTTGCTTTTAAGTACTTCTTGATCAACATCTTCAAAATCGCTTAATGAATAACGATTTGAACTGATCTGTTAAATAGATTGATTTCCATCTTATTTATTTTGATTTTGTATGATCATCGCATTTTAATTTGTCTTTTATAATTGATTAACATTATTAACGGATGATTGTTATTGTTTTTTTTAAGTTTCTACTAAATTAGTTTCATTTTAAGGTGTGATTTATTCTTTATTTTTAACATCGATATTAGTTTTGCTTAAATTTTGTTAAGATGATTCATAAATAATATTAGATTAATCGCTATTTTATTGTGTTACATTATTACTAATTTATTTGTTAGTATTTTCTTATTAGATTTATTCGTTATCTTTTTAATTAACATAACAATAGGATATAACTTATGATTATACTCTATTTTTTCGATTTTATGACAATATTTTTTCAACTTTTTATTTTTGAGAAGTTTAGATAATATTTGGAAATCTGGTAGGTCTTTTTTCGGTACCATCACTTTCTTCTGTAAATTCTGTTTTAACTTTAGCTGATTTTTTATTAATTATTTATTATTCACAACTTTGAGAATTAGCCCTAATCTATTTATTTGGTGTTTGTGTTTTTTTATTGACTTTATTAATATACTGTTATTTAGATTTAAGTTAGGATTGTATGTAGGAATGATCAGTTTGTTATTCTTGTGTAATTTTAAATTTTGGTATCTGTCTGACCGGTTATGATTGATTAATATCGCTAGGAGGATTTTCATATTATGATACTATGTACTATACATTTTCAACAGCAAACATTATTTAATCAAGGAATTGTAATAATTACTCTCTTGTAACTGGTTTTTAGAGGTTGCTGTTAGTGGAATCTAATTTTGGTAAGGATAAACCACCTTCCCTTTTATTTTTGGGAGTGTTTTATAATCTTGTTTACATATTTGGAGACATAGAATTGTCAGGATATTGATTTTAAGTATAAACACGATTATGTTGATTTTATCTGACACTAGGTCTTTGTTGCAGTTGCTTCATAAAATTTATAATTATTTATTTACAATGCTTTAATTTAATGATAAAATAGAAGAGTTTATTGGTTGTCGATTACTCTCAGTGTGAAATCTTGAAGTTTCTTTATCCTTTTACCTTTAAAGAAGATTTTAATTAAAATCTTTCAAGTGCTTATCTTTTTTTGAATCATATTATCTCACTCCACCTTTATGTGCCATTTATATTCCATCAAGGAGAAATGCCGGACGTCTACACTGTTATTCTATAAGTGTACTTGTTAGGATTCATCAAGGAAATATAATAAATTAAAAATTTTTAGTAATTTTGATAACAAATAATATAATGAATTAAAATTTTTTCGACAGTGCGAATCAAAAATAAGTATCACTATATTCTTTATTTAATTTAAGTAACTTTACAAAGCATTATCAAAATACAATGGTCCTACAACTTCTACTCCAAGTATATTATCAGAATATTTATCATCTGCAAAAACATAAACATCAAACAATAAAAATAACTTTAATTAAACAAGGCCTTTACTCAGTCCATAAAATATTACTAAGCCTATTTAAAATGATTCATTAAGAATTAAAACTTCCACTCTTCACTTTACTTAAAAACAACCAGTTTCTCATCATATTAAAAGTCTTTCCTCAGATATAAAATAATAACCATAACCTCCAATTAGAAGGAGAGCCAGATAAGAAAGAATAATATTTTAATCAGAAACATAATAAGCTCCATTCTTGATCATATAAAATAAAGTAAGAGATACAAGAAGAATGGATACTTTCAGAAAGAATACTTTGCCCTCTATACAATTAGAATCTTAAAGAAGCATCTAAAATACAAGTCCTAAAATAACAGATATTCCTTTAGTGCCAATTTAATAATTAACAGAAATTCAAGATTCAAAAAGCTAACTTTTTTAAGAAGCACAAAAAATTTATATAGATTAAGTAAATAAACCAAATGAAAATGAATTTGTTAATGAAAATAAAACATCATCTGAGTTCTTTAATCTTATAAAAAGATAGGTGAGTATTACTGAACCAATTAATGTACCAATCTCTGATAATTCTATTGAAAATTAGAATTAATAAGAAAACTTATAAGTTGAAAAAGAAGCGAATTTCGATGAAGATGAATTATAATCAATTAATGCTATGAAAAAATTAAGCGTTAAAATGAAATTTAAAAATGCTGTGTCTCAATAAGTTTAAAACATGTTTAAAAATAGAGAGGTAATCTTATTTCTATTAAAATAGTTAAAATCATTATTTACTGTTATCATTTCACCTGAATTTTGCTCAAAAAACGAAGAAGAGAGATAAAAAATTAGCAATTAATTTGAATAAGGAAATTTTATACTAGCAAAGAATTTATAAAATATAAAAGTTAATTTTAAATCTCAAAATTCTAATAAGTTCATTAAAGAACAATACATCTTAAAACATAATCATAAAATTCATGCTATTGTTTAAAATTAATTATAAAAACTACATACTACCAATAAAGCATTTTAAAGAAAAATATAAATGATTAAGGATACACAATGGACTACCAAAGAATGCGATTAACCATAATTATAATAATTTTCTTTATTGAATAAATTTAAGAAATAATCCATCTTTTAAAATTAAATTTTTAAAGGCGAAATATTATAAAATAATTTGGAATAGATTTTACCAAATCTAATGGATGATTCTAATAAACTAACTATTACTATTACAAATACACTTTTTTAAAATACAACTTTGGAATTTAATAAACCTAAATTTATTGTTCATATGGATTCGATTATTGATGAATAAGTAATTCAACCAATCTCACCATCAAAAAAAGCAATTTTACATTCATCTTCTTTACATTCCTCTTTTAAGTTGCAAAAAATTTAAAATTCTGCTTCTTAGTCTGTTATTGTCAATAAAGATCTTATATCTAATCACAATATTTATAATAGTATTTAAAACTTCAATGTGGTTGAAGATAACAACAATTTAGATATTAATTAAGAATATTCTAAAGTAAGAATCCAAATATTCATATTAGTCAAATTTATATGTGAGACTATATTATCAAAATAGATTACATAAAATGCCACAAAAAATTTCATATACTTAGCATAATTTGAAAGAGATAGAAGAAGTATTTTACTAATATGTGTCTATGATAACTGGTTCTTAAATGTAAATCTTTTATTTAGGATTAGTTCTTTCTAAACAAGTCAACATTTTACGAAATAAGGTAAAGGTAGCATAGAATTTTCAAATTTAGTTTAAGAATCACAAATTTAATTTGAGAGATATGATATTATTTAGAAAAGAAAATAGTTTTCATTTGATTTTGACAATTCTATTAGTTTAATATCTAGTTAATCAGATTAGAGTAATTCATTTGATCAGATTTTAGAAGAACCAAATCAAAGTAATTGATTTAATAAAAGTAGATTAGGACTGAAAGTTGATGAAAGACATGAGAGTAAAATGAAAAATATAATTTAATCAATGAAAAATTTAAGTGATGATTCTGAATCATAAATTTTCGTTGAGGATGTGGTAAAAAATCAAAAATGTAATTCAAATATAATAAATTTAGAAGTTTCAACAGGTTTGTTAAATACTATAAAAAAAGTTAAAAATAAATATCATTGTCCATTGAATGGATAGGTTATAATGAGTATATTGGATTAAAGTACTAAGAATGATCTATTAACATTTCAAATGATGGAATAATCTGAGGAATATATTCAAAAATTAATTCATGGAGATTATGACACAAATGCATTAACAAATTTAGATACTTTTTATTCTTCATAAGAATTAAGAAAAATGATAGTTCATGGTATTGAAATGAGATACTAAAACATACTAATAGGGAGATATTAAAGTTAATAAAGAATGATTGATGTTGAACATTCTGATTTGGTGTAATCATCAATTCTTGAAGCTCCTTAATAATATATTTCTTCCTCTTAACAATCTCAATAATCTCATTAATCTTCAGAATTCTAATTGCTTCAAAAACAAAAATTAATTAGTCTCAAATATTAAGGAAGAAGCAGAAATTTATAAAGGGATAGTTTAACTGTCATTATTAAGCCAAAGCTCAATTCAAAACATACTGCAAATTCACCAGATGTAACTAATGTTCACAGTAAACCAACATCATAATATACAAATTAACTTACTTATAATATATTTACTTAGGCATCAACATAATATCTAACTAAACCCACAAATCAATCATAACAATCAGTCAAAGTTTCAAGTGTTTAAAATCTAGAAGAAAATCTTTCACATGTAGAGATAAGTCCCTAATCATCCTTAAAATCAATAAAATCTAAATCAGGTATTGATACCTCCAATATTATAAATTAAACAAATCCTCCTAAAATCAGAAAAAGCTAAAATATTAAAGAATTTGATAAAGTGACAAAAGAAAAAGTAGGTCATCAGAAAGAATAAATTTAATTAAAAGAAGAAATAATGTGTTCAAAGAAATAAAAATCAACTAATGTTTCATTAATTTAATAACCAATTTTAGATAATAAAGTATTAACTATAATTGAATTTAGACTTTAAGTATGTTTTCATATTCTTTACGTATGAGAAACTAAGCTCTCGGTCATAGTAGAAGATAAAACCTCGATTAATTCAAAATATTAGAATAATTAATTTATGATAATGATTTTCAAGAGGTACATTTGAAATAATTAAAAGTTCTATGAACATCTTTAATAAGTTCCATCAATGTATATAGATCGTAGAATAAAGAACAATGATACTTTATTGACTTTAGCTTCCAAAAGCGGATGTAAAGAAATGATAAAAGAACTTATAAAGAAGGGAGCAGATATTAATATTTAAAATGTATTTTTTTACTTAAGCAGGATGATGGAAACACAGCTGTCCATCTAGCTCTTTCATATGGCCATTATAAAATTGCAGACATACTAATCGGAGCAGGAGCCAACACTAATATTCTAAATAATATTGGTAAAAATGCTTGGAGTATATTATGATGAATAATCTCTACTATCAAATTCGCTTTATTTACTAACTTTAAGTATGTAAAAAATCTTTATAGGAGATTGGTTTATCTCCTCTTACTTCTGAATTGCAAACATTTAGTGTAAATGTATAATCTGAACCACTTATTGAAGGTCTTGGAGATTATGAACTCTCTTCCTTAAGTATAAGTAATCCTTGGATTTATTTTTTCAGTAATTCTACTTCTTAATTTAAAAAATTGATTTTATCATCTCTCTATTTGTTGTCTTAAACTATTTAATCTACTTTTTTTTATAATTATTCTTTCTCGTTTAAAGCTTGTGTGTATAGCTTTTTGTAGTCTTACCTATTCTCATACAAATATTCATGATTTTCATCATCTTCTGTCAATAAATTCTTATATTTTAATGTCATATTATTTCTGCAATCTTATTTGTTTTATAAATTTATGATTTTATGCTCTAACTAATTCAAACCTTGTTTTGCCTCATTTATCATTATTCCAAATTTTTTTCTGTCGTTTTCATCCTAAACTGTTCTTATTATAGGTGATGGACTTTTTCGACTTTATTAATCACGTTAAGCATCTAAAAATTTAAGTAATCCATTAATGTTGTCAAATCCTTATTTTTTAAAAAGTGAATATAACTAATTAATAGTCTTTTCATCAGGCTTGGTCTTTTTATTAGATTCTGTATATGATGAATTTGATGAATATACAGCTGACTATCTTTTAGATGAACCTTTGACATATATATTTATTGTACATGAAGAAATATAAGGACTATTACATCTAGTTTTGTTTGTTTTATTCAATATGTCTTGAAAAGGGACAGAATTCATGTTAACTGATAAATTAATAATAATTTTTTAAGTAATTGAGTATTATTATTTTTATAAAGTGATATTATGATGCTAAATTTATTTCAAATCTTAACCAATCTCCATAACATAAGCAATTTTTCATAAAAGTTATGACATATGTTTATATATTAATATTGTTTAGATTTGATACAATAATTTAGAATAAAAGTTTAAATTTCTAAGTTTCTTTGAATATGTGAAGAATACTAGATTCTAATATTATTTCTCTTTCAAATTATAATAAGCATATATTAAAGATGATTTTAGTTTCAAAGATTTGAATGTTTGATTAAGGAAATAAATATCTTTAAATACTTTTGATATGATAAAAATTAATTATTAAAGCTAAGGATTATAGGGTTCAAATAGAAAATCGATGAATTGTCCCAAAAATTATTAATTATTTTAATTAAATAATGGATCCCTCTAAAACATAAACATTAAAGTTGTCACAATCAACAAAAGAGAGAGTAGAGGCTGCAAAATAATATATAGAAAAGAAGTACTAAAAACTGCTATATGAATAAAAAGAAAAGAGAGAGAAATGGGAATAATTGATTCAAAAATTAACAAATTTAAATTATACTTAGATAGAACAACAAGTAATAAAATAGGACTTACTACATAAAGAAGCAGAAATTTTGAGATTATAAAGATAGAAGTCTAACATAAAAGACTTTGAATCAATTGAGATTATTGGAAGAGGAGCATTTGGTGAGGTGAGATTATGTAGAAACAAGGTGTCAAATGAAATAGTAGCAGTAAAAAAGATGAAGAAATCAGAAATGCTTTATAAAAATTAAGTATTGAATTAATAACCCAGGTATGTCATGTAAGAGCAGAAAGAGATTTATTAGCAGCATCAGACAATGCTTGGATAGTTTAATTGAAGTGTTCATTTTAAGATGAGAAGTAAAAATATATGTTTATAATAGATACTTATATTTAGTAATGGAATATTTACCAGGAGGAGATTTGATGACTTTATTAATGAAGAAAGATATATTTACAGAAAAAGAATCTTAATTTTATATGGCAGAATCAATAATGTAAATAAGATATGAAAATATAAAAAAGGGCAGTTGATTCAGTTCATAAATTGAAATATATACATAGAGATTTAAAACCAGATAATATTTTACTTTAAGCAGATGGACATATAAAATTGAGTGATTTTGGATTATGTAAATATGTAGAATCTCCAGGAACAAGATTAGATGAAAGGATTAGTGTACATAAACCAGAAGATAAAGGTAGTAACTCTACAACCTTTAAAAGAAATAGAATTAAAGCATATAGTACAGTAGGAACTCCAGATTACATAGCTCCTGAAGTATTTGGGAAGACTGGTTATAATGAGACTGCAGATTGGTGGTCTTTAGGAGCAATTTTATTTGAAATGCTTGTAGGATATCCTCCATTTTTTTCTGATGATCCCTCATCTACTTGTTAAAAAATAATCAATTGGAAAAAAACACTAGTCATTCCTCCTGAAGCTAGATTGTCTCCAGCTGCTACAGATCTTATTCTTAGGCTAATGACTGATCCTTCAAATAGATTGGGTGTTAATGGAGTTAATGAAATCAAAGCACATCCATTTTTTGCTGGCATTGATTGGAAGAATTTGAGATCTAAAGTATCTCCTTATATTCCAGAAATTAAGTCTGAATTAGATACTAGAAATTTTGATAAATTTGAAGAATAAGACCCTTGGGTTCCTTAAGAGTAATTATTTATTAAAGCTATTAGTTCTGGCAAATCCATTAGAAAAGATGTCAATTTTATTGGCTATACATTTAATCGAGAAGTTGAAGTATAAAGATCTTATCTCCTCTAAGCCTTACTTGATCTTGATGCTTTACAAGCTTAAAAAAAAGTATTTATCTCTAATTCTATTTAGATTCACACTGAATCTACATCAAGTAAATCTTAAGAAAAAAAAGAACCTTTTTTCATTTAACCAAAACTCAATAGTCTATAATTAGATTCTGATTTATAAACTAAATTGCTCAAAACTTAAAAACTATTGTAAAATGCTTAATCCAAGTATGATTCAATATCATTATTTAGACCTGTTCTTACTACAAAACAGTAGGAACCAGCTAATAAATTTTAATAACAATTAAGTTTAAGTCCAACTCATTAAAATTTTAATTAGCAAAATTACCTTAAATAATTGATTAGTCCATAAAATAAACAAATGGCTACATCACCATAATCCAAACCTGTAAGCGAACACTAAAATCCTTCTTTGGCTTAACTATATAAACAATTCGAAGTTTAGAAATAAATGAGCAATACTCAAAGAGTCTAACCTAAATCATAGATTCAAATTTCGAATAATAATAATATTATTCCAAAGAAATGAATCTTTAGATCATAAAAATGATATTAAATTTAATAAAATTAATATTAATTAAATTTTTATATTCTATTAAAAAATAAAGAATTATTGCTCTAAATTTTTTGGATTTATCAATTACTACTATTTAACATAATTCTTTTTAGGAAACATCTATTGCAAGTTTATTAATTATTAAACAACTTATTTAGTAATTTTAAATTATTAATAGCCATCATGACATTGACTATTAAAGAGAATTAAATGAAAGATTATAACATGATTGTTGTAAATGAAGATATAAAAAATCATGAAGCCCAATCTTGCTTGTCTTTGACTAATTATTTTTTAAATGATTTTTTATAGTACAATTAAAAAGTTTTAAACTTTCTTAGACCTGCTTGTAAATACCCTGATTAATAATTGATTATTTCTCAAGATTATGACAAAATCACATATTTTTAAAACAAATCAACTTAATGAGCAAATAAAATGACTATAGGATTAGAACTTTTAAATTATTTATGACATACAATGCTTATTCATATTAAAGTTAAAATTTACCATATGTTAATATTTTTAGGCTACTTTTTATTAAAAAAATTAAATGATTAAGGAGATAATTTGATCTTTCAGTATTTATTAATTTTTGCCAATTTATTATATGAAATAAAATTTAAAACAATCATTTAAATTTTATTCTCCATTTTTTGAAAACAAATTTATTTTGCAAGCAAATTTGAAACAATTTTACATTTTTATTTTTTAAAATATCAAAATTAATTTAAAATATTAATTAGAATATATATTGTACATGATAAAGATTTTGTTATAAAACTTCACTTTTAATTTTTGAACTTTAGAATCAATTTTAAAAATATTTTATATCTTTATTCAAAATATAAAATTCAATTTGAGTAAATGTTTAGTTTTGTAATTTTAGGACTCAATTATATTTAAGTTTAGCGCATAAAAGAACTTTATAGATAATTATGTTACTAAGTCTTCAATTTATTAGTGTTCTACTTTGGTTATTTGATTATTGTTCTTTAACTACTAGATGTCTTTAAAATACAAAGCCTTTTGCCATTATTTTTCTTAGAAGGACTACAACATCTGTAGGTGATGAATGGATTAGTTTAAACTTCATCTGAAAATACGAAATGACTATTGCTTCCAAACTATCTATTTTGGCACTCTAGAACAGAAGGACTTTTTTATCTTTAATTTAAAGTTGAATCTTATATTCCTCTATGAGATTTAAGGAAAATTTAAAATAAACCATTTATTTAAGGAATTTTTTATTGGTTGTTTTTTTTTCTTCTTGATGTTTCAATCAAATTATCCATTTTTTGTTGTATTATCTGATTTCTATTTCTATGATCGAAAATTTTTAACTTCTAGTTTTTTTAAGATTTTGCCGAATTTTAATCTTATTATAGATCCTATTCTTCATCTCCTTCTGTTTTAATTTAGAAAAATCTTGGATATTTAAGGTGTGTTGATTATTCTTAATTAACTTTAAAGTTCGCATAAAAATTAATTTCATTTTTATGTTTGTCTAAATCTTAAGAATAGGATTCAAAAATTTTTTCAATTAGTGAATTTCTTTGTATTTTATATATCAAGCCTTTAGAAGATGAACAGACTAATGAATATTCATAAGGGATTTTATTGTAAAGATGATAAAATCCAAAAATTTGCATCTCTCCAATCTCAAAAAGCTACAATCAAAGAAAATTTTTACAATCAGAGGTTAAGATTTGTTAATCTATTTTTTAACTTAAAATAACCCTTATTTGATGATAAGAAAGCTATCAGATTTTTCTCCTATTTAAATGACTAATTAGTTCTTTTCATATTCATATAAAAATGAATTTAAATATATCTAAGTTAATTAAGTCCGATTTAGCTAATTAAAAATTGAAATTTGAGCAAAGAAATCAATATTCTAATATATTGTAATTGATACTTGTTCTATCTTTTTATTTTATTCATATTGTAATATCTATTAAAATTTTTATTTATCCAAAATAGCAAAAATACAATCAGTTACACATCTAATAGTAGCTAACCTAGGTTGTTTATGAATAAGTGCTAATTCACCAAAGGATTCTCCTCTTCTTAGAATTCTTACCTATTCTAACTCATCAAAGCCTCTCCTTTTTATTAGTACTTCCACTTATCCCTCTAAAATTACATAAAATTTTGTTCCAATTGTATCTATATATTAAAAATTTTAATACCTACATGAAAGACAACTTCGTTTATGCGTAAATTTTCTATGAACATATACTTGCAACACTCACGGTGAATAATCACTCCATTATCTTGCTTTTAATATTATTTAAAAAATGGTAGTTCTTAAGTGAATTAGACTAAAAGATCGATCTCTGCTTTGCTTCTATATTATGGTTATTTTTTAAATAATTGCAAAGGGTCTGTAANGATTTAAGGAAAATTTAAAATAAACCATTTATTTAAGGAATTTTTTATTGGTTGTTTTTTTTTCTTCTTGATGTTTCAATCAAATTATCCATTTTTTGTTGTATTATCTGATTTCTATTTCTATGATCGAAAATTTTTAACTTCTAGTTTTTTTAAGATTTTGCCGAATTTTAATCTTATTATAGATCCTATTCTTCATCTCCTTCTGTTTTAATTTAGAAAAATCTTGGATATTTAAGGTGTGTTGATTATTCTTAATTAACTTTAAAGTTCGCATAAAAATTAATTTCATTTTTATGTTTGTCTAAATCTTAAGAATAGGATTCAAAAATTTTTTCAATTAGTGAATTTCTTTGTATTTTATATATCAAGCCTTTAGAAGATGAACAGACTAATGAATATTCATAAGGGATTTTATTGTAAAGATGATAAAATCCAAAAATTTGCATCTCTCCAATCTCAAAAAGCTACAATCAAAGAAAATTTTTACAATCAGAGGTTAAGATTTGTTAATCTATTTTTTAACTTAAAATAACCCTTATTTGATGATAAGAAAGCTATCAGATTTTTCTCCTATTTAAATGACTAATTAGTTCTTTTCATATTCATATAAAAATGAATTTAAATATATCTAAGTTAATTAAGTCCGATTTAGCTAATTAAAAATTGAAATTTGAGCAAAGAAATCAATATTCTAATATATTGTAATTGATACTTGTTCTATCTTTTTATTTTATTCATATTGTAATATCTATTAAAATTTTTATTTATCCAAAATAGCAAAAATACAATCAGTTACACATCTAATAGTAGCTAACCTAGGTTGTTTATGAATAAGTGCTAATTCACCAAAGGATTCTCCTCTTCTTAGAATTCTTACCTATTCTAACTCATCAAAGCCTCTCCTTTTTATTAGTACTTCCACTTATCCCTCTAAAATTACATAAAATTTTGTTCCAATTGTATCTATATATTAAAAATTTTAATACCTACATGAAAGACAACTTCGTTTATGCGTAAATTTTCTATGAACATATACTTGCAACACTCACGGTGAATAATCACTCCATTATCTTGCTTTTAATATTATTTAAAAAATGGTAGTTCTTAAGTGAATTAGACTAAAAGATCGATCTCTGCTTTGCTTCTATATTATGGTTATTTTTTAAATAATTGCAAAGGGTCTGTAAGGTGAGAATCAAGCATTTTATAAATTTTAGTTTAATTATTGAAATAAATAATTTAAATTCATACTGCGAAATTATTTATAAAAGCTCAAGTTTTTATTTAAATTATAATGATTTTTACGATTTTTGGATGATAATCTACTTTGAATTTAATATACATAAAAGCAATATAACAATTAATCAAAAAAAAGGATTTTAGTTTATTGTCCATTCTATATAAATTATCACTAACTTTTTCCAAATTTTGCATTGTATTAATTTAAAATGGCATAAATTCTTATAGGTGGATTTTCATTATACCAAGCTACTTTAATAATTTAATTTTAAGTTCTCTGTCTATTGTATTATTATATTATTAGCCAATTTTTTTTGGAACAAATCTATTTTTTCATTTGTTAGTAATATTTAAATATCTATAGATAATTAAACACTTTAGAAATTATTAAAATTATCATAATGATCTAATAATATTTTTCGATATATAAAATAGCTAAATTTAGAATATAAATTACTTAAAATGTATTCGTAAGTAAATTAAACTTTAAGGAATTTAATATTTATCAAATAATGGCAAACCTAAGTTTCAAGATCAGGTAATCTATTTAATCCATAATTAACACGCGCATAGAATTTAGTGTTTTTTTCAGTTATCATTTACTTTGAGGCTGCTTCATTAAAAATCTTGAATGTATCTTAAATTTATAAATTTACTTATCTAAGTTAGGAAAGAACAACCCAAAATGTACAAACAATATTAGTAATAAAGACCATTTTCCTAAATATGTCTAATATTCTTTCGGCATATAGGTTCGAATATATCCATTTTTAGATTATTAAATAGTGTCAAAGCTTTTTCAGATGAAAGATTTTAACAATCTAAATTTATGAATGTTTTTTAAAGATTAAAGGACTTGACTATCTAAATTCTCAATAATATTTAAGTATGCATTTTTTTGCTATTAAATAACAAGACTCAGCTTTTTTCTCATTTCTTTATTTATCATAAGATTAATAAAGCAGATTTGTGTTAATAAATTTGATTTAATTTTGAGATCATTTATGAATTATTTATTTACTTTCTGTAATAATTTATTATAATAAAAAGG